GACAGTAATATTATGAATATTTTAATTGTCTTTATTAAATGTTTTATACTTGATTGTAACAAATTAATATTTTGAAGTAAAATAAAATTAATTTATTACAAACTACAAAATAAAATACTATCAAAAAATGGTCTTAATAATTAAATTAAATCAATCAATTATATTCAAATGAAACTTTGACTTCAAAATAGTAAATAAAGTATGAATGATTAAATTGTAATTACATTAAAAGTTCAAATCTCTAAACATATAGTAAATATTTACTAATTTTATCTTAGATTTCTAAAAAAAAAGCAATTAAGTATATTAAATATGGTATATTAGATTGTAAATACCTTGGCAATATACATTTGTAAGCTACTCAATTAAAAGGAAAGGAGAAAGCCTTAGCTGCTATTGATATTTAATATAGGTTATTTAAAAATTTTAGATTAAAATTAAGCTTTACATAAAATAAATTAAAATATAGTTCGTAAGAATCGTCAGATACAAGTTTTAGACTATAAGTTTGCTTAATATAAAATTAAATATAATATAGTAAATTAGTCAGTTTATATTCGTCAGTTTGTATAAGTAACGCCGGCTTGAGTTGTCATTCTAGAAAGTTGATTCAGCAATTGGTGCAGAAAATAATTTCGTGAAACGGCAACCGTGACCAAAATACATGCATAGTCTATAGATAACTTCTTCGTCTCTAAATGCATTGGAACTTGTCCAAATTGTCGATATATAAATATCCATCGTCAGGCCCGATGTCTGTCGTCGGTCAACGTCGCGCACTCGGCCGCAACTGCATCTCTCGTGCGCCTCCCATGTGCAACCACAATCCCTACCTCACTCCCTGCCCCACATTAATGGCCACATCGAACCGATTTTGTGGCTTCGTTACCAGGTAGCCGAACCCGTTGCTCCTCGGCTCTCGTAAATATCACCGAAGCATGGCAACTGAATGAATACTTCCTGAATTACGGCACTGCATTATGTAAGTTTAGATCTGGCCAAGATGACATGAGATTGGACATATCTGAATAGTATATCTTGTATTATTCTACATGCCTTGGCATTCAGGGGCTGCAGTAATCCACTTAAAACTGAATACCCCAAATATGTTCTCTTTGCAACTGTCAGTCATTAATGAGTCCAACAGCTGTTTTGCCTTGTTGAACACATTTGGCATTGAACCAGTTAAATATGATTGATGGTTCTGCAAATCTCATTTTGATTTAGTAACACACAATAGCACAATACAATGGCTGTAGACTATTGTAAGTAGGAAAAGACTCAAACTATTTTTAATTTTTTTTATATTATTTTAAATATTTTTAAAACAAAAGCAAGACAACTAAGAAATGGCGAAGATGTCTACTACAATCTAGGGCAGGTCTAAGACTGGTAGTAAGACTCAGATGCATTTTAAGTATGTAATTTATAGGGGAAGGCTTGACTTAGAATACTCAGCGGTCTCTTCACAGGACACTGTAGATTGAGTGAATAAAATACTGCCGTTTTTGTGGCAATGAGGAGAAATTCTCAAAGCCTATATCTTAAGGAAACAAGAGGACAAAAATGATTAAATTAGTGCCAGAATCAGGAAGCAGAATAATTATAATAAATAAACATTGCATTGTTTTTAATTTATTTCAAAATACAATTAGTCTGAAATCTTAATCGTTTTAATTTGTTAATTTGAATTTTTAAATACATTTTATATAAATAAACAAAAATCATGAACATTTTAAAAATAAACTTACACTGCATTTTTAAGAATTATCTGACTGAATTTTCTGTTTGTTGATTGCAAAATTATGTTTGATAGTTTTTTAAATGCAGAAAATTTCTATGAAATTAGTATGCGAAAACATACATAAAGCTTGCACATTTATGTGTGTGGTAAGATATTGATTAATTGCCTTGGCTCAATTGAGAATCGCACACGCGTAGTATATGAAAACAAATAGTTCCATATTGCATATAGATTGTTTGTTAATTAGCCAATAAAACCGAATCATTTCGACTTAGTCATTGATGTGTGGAGCATCCAAATTATTTCGGTAAGCATTTGTCACCCAATTAAATTGACTGCACTCGGCCAAGCAATTCGACCAATAAGATTTACGCATACATATATATATATATTATATATACACATAACTCAAGTGCATTCAAATGCAATAATCAATGCTTCGAGTGTAGAAATTAATGCAGACGGCCCAGACTTTTATTAATGATCAGCGAAATGCAAAATGAAAATGTTTCTAAATGTAAATCAGTGGCTCGTTGAAACCCCCCCATCAGGTTAAACACTTATTACGGCCCCTTCTGGTCGACGCCACTGTGCTCGATTGATTAATCATATGCGAAATACTATAGACAGGCACTAAAATGACTCAGTGCAGCGTATATGTACTTTCATATATATCTAGCTATATATACACACATGTGTGTACAGGAATATCATCATGTAGGTTGTAAAAATGTTTCACAAAATTTATTAACGACAAGCTAAAAGTATTTTTAAAACATATTTCATACTCCAAAACAGCGCACAGGTAAAAGGCACTACTCAATACCAGATCTGGTATGGGTGCACGGATAGATATACATATATATGTATATATATATATATATATACATATATGGGTCAGATTTGAGGCAGCAGTAGTAAAGCTGGCCATGTGGCTAAGCTGAGTACTAAGCAAGAGCAGTTGGATACTTGGCAACAGGTATATAGAGGCCATATACTATGATTATATACACACGACATATGTATTGTACATACCTACTAAATCTAAAAAACATTCATATGCGTTTAATATAGCCGCTGCTTTGGTCTAAAATTAAAACAAAAGCTATTTAGTTGCGAAGAAGCAAGAAAGAACTTCACACACATGAAAATGCTGCTGTGCAGTCTCGACGTATCTCGTTGTGCCTGTGGCTATTTCAAAATATATCTATACGAATATCTAAAATTTACTAGATACACACATACACACATACAGACACCACTACATACGTATACCAGATACAGCCGGGCTGTGTCCTGAGCAAGCATACGCCGTGTGGTACAAAGCACCAAGCACTGTAGTCCGACAATGTATCTCACAGATACATGCGCATCTGTAGCAGCATGTTGTATCTGCAAAAGTAAGCACACCCCAATCCCCAATCCCCCTGCCCCTTCCTCACTTGTGTAGCATCCATGTTCACATTCACGTCCCGTTTCTGTTGTCTTGTGTTGGATTTTTTCTCATCTCGAAAAATGTTTCAATTTGTCTATTTTTAGTCGCAAGTTTCTTTTTGTTTATTAGTTTTGTGCCTTTTGGCTGTGACTGTGTGTGTGCTATGTGTATGTATGTGTGCAGTATATAGTTTATATACATATATATATACAGATGTATATATATATTTGTATAGCAGTGGGTCGCACTCGATTCGACTGATGTTTCTCTTTCTCTCTCTGCTCTGATTTAACGTCACAACTGAGGAATTCATCTACTACTGGATAGATACGCACACATTGTTTAGCTTTGCCTTTCATTTGTTTTTTTCTCCCACAATTGTTTTTGCTGCAAAGCTCAAGGTACTTATCTATCTATCTATCTATCTATTTGTCCATTTATCTAGATACATATGTACATTGTACATATGCTCTATTTAGTATATAAAGCATTTCGATCAGTTTAAGGAGCTAAGGTCAAAACATTTTGAAGCAAAGGTGTCATAACTTATCGTATCTATAACGTATATCACATATCACAAATATTAACACATTTATATAAGCTACAGATTTATATAGTGACTTTTCATATACAATTTAAAACGATTGGATTTATATGACAGATATTTGTGAATGACTAACAGCCAAAATACACAGACAAAAAATTGGCAGAATGGAATATCTTTTCAATTTATTTTTGTTAATCATTTAAGTTAAGATTGAGAATCTCAAATCAAAAATATCTTCGTAGAAATGAGAATCAGTATATGAATTAAAGGGACAACAAACTTGACTTTAGAAACATGTCTTTTAACAAACTTTACTCAGTTTTCGCTCAGTCAAAGCTTCAACTAAGTCGAGAAGCAATGCATCTACAGCCATGTCTTGATCTTTATATTTGTACTACATTTAACTAAAAAATAAAACGATTTTTGATTAAAATTCACTTGAAGACGGCTGCAAATTCTGCACTCCTTAACCGATGTATAAAAGCTGTATACTTATATGAAAACAATTGAAAGTCGTAATAGTTTCCAAATCAATATGCAAATAAACACATAAAACCATAAAGCGTTTACTAAAGCGCTGATTTCCAATAGCTATAGGTGTACACTCAGAAAAAAATAGTATTTTTAAGCACTAGGGTTTTAAGATTTCACATACACAAAAAACTTAAATGTCGCTAAAAGGATTTCAACAAAAAAAACTACTGTTTTGCATATCTACTTTTTACAAATGCATTACTCGAAAAGAAAAATATTTCTAAAATGTAAAAAAATACCACATTTTTGGGACTGTTTTTCTTAACAAATTTAAACAAAAGAATTCTAGATTTCTCAAATTGAGGGCGATTTTATTTCTGAGTGTAGAAATGGCCAAGCAACTGTTTTATGTTCGAGTGTATTTACGCACAAGCCATAAACAATTATAAACAATACGTTTTGGTAATTAAACGCGTGAAGCGTGATTAACCCGTATCAAAGGCAAGCGCAGAGAAGGCCATAATTCCAGGCGTTACTACACATGTTTTTGATACGCCGATTTGTGTACAACACACAGTTGCAGTTGTAGTCTATCTAACTGCTATATCTCTGGGAGTACCATCCCTTATCGGGTATTCTGCCATGGCGAATAAATCAATATTAGCTTATCAATGACCAACTGTGTGAAATTGTGCAGGCCGTCAAAAACAAAAAAAAAGAGATATTGCGGATATATTGTAGAAAAGATATTGACTTTCACTTGCTTTTCATTCTTCCGTGCGTGTCGACCGCCGATTTTCAATATCCGATTTTTCAAAATGGGCTACTGGGGCGAGCTGAGAGCCTGGGTGTTGCGAGATCCTGCGAAACTTATACGCTACCTTGTCCTATTCGTGTGCAGCATCATTGTGATTGTGCAGCTATACGAGTGCTTCTCCAAGCTTACGGATCCACCCATATCGACGCATTCCTATTACAATGTGAATCAGACTATTGAAATGCCAGCAATTACACTTTGTCGAGAGCCTCCCTATCGGGCTGAAGTTTTATCAGTGAGTTTTTGGGAAAATTATACGCAAGATGTGTTTCTAACTCGAAAAACAACTGTAATTTCTGTTTTTAAAAAGTTTAATTTAATTTATTCTCTCAGAAAAAATCATGGCAATTGTTAGAAATAATTTCTTATGTTTTCGCTTATGTGATAGTGTTTGATTTCATAATGTTGCTTGCAGAATCTATCGCGAGGCAATTGTCCCCATCCTAGATTTGCCACCTGCTGGCAGAACTATCCCTATGATGAACTGCCTCTCGACGAGTTCTTTGAAAGAAGTACCTATGAATTTAACGAGACATTTTTCAGCTACGGGTTAGATGGCAAAGAGAGTAAGTGTTACTTGAAATAGATAGATCAATTTTGCTAACAGCAAATTAAAGATTACAAAGACTATATTATGGATTCCACTTCACAGATGTCGAGATCGATAGCAGCTTGCACTTTAATATGGGTCGTTGCTTTACGGTGCGTCCCTTAAAGAGCATGAATCGTGTCTCCAAGCCGGTGGGTTACTCCTTAATGATGGAGCACGATATGGTTGCATCGACGAGCGATGTGGATTACCTAGCCGGAGTGGGTTGGCACATTTTCATACACGACAAACGCGAGAACTTTACGGGTGAGTTGGAATTACTTTAGCTATGGTTTATGGAGCACCAAATATAATCCCTTTCCATAGAGATAAACATGAAGGGCTCGGGTCGCGTGGAATATGTATTTGCGAGCATCAACGAGGAGCTCGAGATCAAGTTGCAGACTCAGTTCTTCTCGAATGTGGAGACGCGCATGGAGTCATGCTCCCGCCAGGAGGGCTACAGTGATCTCAAAGTATAAGCAATCTGATCAATATACTATTTTTCTAAATCCAGCTAATTATTTAGTGTGGCGAGATATGCATTTGGCAGGATCTGGCTGATGAGGTCAACTGCTCGGGTCCCTGGATGCCGGATATCGATCACGAGCCCTGCAACAACAATGAGTCCATGCGCGATCTCGTTCTAAGCTATAAACTGTATGGCAATTGCTCAGTTGTCATAGTTATCTAAATCTATATCACGGCATTTTACAGGGTATACGATAGCGTTGATGACTACGAGTGTGATTGTCTGCAGCCCTGCGAGTCTCGCATTTATACGACATACATACAAAGTCGGAAGGAATTCTTACAGCCGGAACCACGCACTCTGCTCTATATATATTATACGACCAAGCTGATATCGGTATATATAGTTAAATGTTGTACTAAGTTTCCAGATAGGATACATTTTTACAAATATTTCCCCTCAAATTTAACAAAAATGTATAGAAATTTATCATGTGGCAACACTAAAAACGTTCACACTTTCTTATATATGCTATATAAACACCCTAAGATATCTTATAACATAAATATTAAATTCCATTTGTCATTCCGTTCCAGCAGATGATTGAAGAGCGTCCCAGCTACGACACTACGCAGTTTATAGCTGATGTGGGTGGTTCCTTGGGCTTTCTGCTGGGTCTCTCAGTGCTGGGCATCATTGGCATCTTGGAGCATGTAATTAGTATTCGAAATATTTCAATTTATTAGCTGTTGTAATTTTGAACTAATCTTTCAGTTGACTTTGTTCTTCTGCGGCGATTGCATTCGGAGACTGCAGCTAAAGAATGAGAAGCACAATAGTACCGAAAGTCCAGAGGATACAGAATCACACACCACCGATGAAACGGTAGACATCACCAACGTTTACACAGTGGAAGGGGCGGACTTGGACAAATATTAGACAGCCAGCTGGCTTGGCTTGTAGTTTTCATCCAAATAAAATTATTCAACCTATAAAGGTATCATTTTTTGGTTTAAATTTACAGATAATAAGAAGATATATTACAGACCCTCGTAGACCGGAGTCAATTTATTTCTTTTATAAACCACTTGACTATTTGTCTAATGGATGAGTTTGGTTCGGATATCTTGTTAAAGATAATATGTATTTAGTAGTCAAAATATTTGTTCAAATAACTAGTAACTAATTTTACTAGTGATCGTTCCTATCTCAGTTATATAATAGAATGATTCGTTCAGGATGTCTCCTACATATTTACTATCACGATGGCTTTTAAACTGAGGACTAATTTAAATATAAGCAGACGGAAATCGTCTCTGTCAGTTATGGGGATTAAAAACATATATATTTGATGGATTATAACACCCTCTGCAAGGGTAGACAAATTGTGAATGAAACGTCTTTTATTATTATTCTTACATTTAATCAAAGAATCAAAATTGTTGCGTGAAATTTATGAAAGTTATTTTAGCTTATAAATAATACTTGTATACAATTAAATTCCTTGTTTGTGGTATTAAATACAAATAAAATTCAGATTTAATAACAATTCATATGGAGTTCAATTGAAATTCAAGAAATTAGGAAACTACATTTACATTGGTGTTTTTTGTACAAAAGGCTAGACCTTAAAGCAGCCAAGAGATAGCTGAACCCAGCAGCAGGACGCTCAAGCTTAAGGACCACGCAGCCGAACCAGAAGTGGAACCGGATCCGGAGCTGGGAGTCGAGCTGGAATCGGAACTCTTAAAACCAATATTCGTTTTGATAACCTCGCCCAGTTTACTAATTAGTTCGGGCAGTTTCTTGGGCGGCTCACAGGATGTCCGCTCAATGGCATCTTTCACGCTGGCAGAGAGTATGCGGAAATTGATGCTGCCCCCATAGAGCTCGTCGTAGATGAAGCTCTGCAGCTGATTGGAGAGCACCCAAAGGCGTCGCTTATGATCCACCTTGACATCGCTGGGAAAGATTAACATGTTATCACTCGCATAGACGCGATCCTGCATCTTGTAGTTGTTTGTGGTTTGCCAGCAGCCCAAGGCATTCTGATTGGGCAGAGCATAGAAGAGCACACCAGTCTCCGGGTCCAGGCATTGGGCACCCGCCTGAGCATCCGTGCCACGTGAGCCCAAAATCTTGAATTCCCTAAAAATGTCACCCGAAGTCGCAAGTGTCTTATTCCGCAAAACGGTGGTATTCACGGAGAACTCCATGGTGGAGGTCAGTGGATGGAAGTAGAGTGTGGCAGAGCCATCCATTTGTGGCTTTGACAAGGCCAATCCATAAACACCGTCGTCCCACTGGAACTCAATGCCATTGATGCTAAAATTACCGGCCAGCGGATCGGGATGGAAGAAATGATGCTGGACACGCCACGATTCCTGATCCCGCCACGAGTAGACAACCAAACCGGGACTGCCCAAGTCTGCCATATACGCATACGTATTCTCACAGTCGCCATCCTCCACAGCCAGGTTGGCAAAGAATGAGCTCTGCTTACTCTGACCAGCGGGCAGAATGTAACGACGCAAAAGATCATCATTGTGGATATCATAGACCAGCAATTGAGCAGTTCCATAGAGTTTCGTCTGCTCCAGCACGCCTGAAATACGCGAATCGAGCACCCAAAGACGACCGCATTGATCGGCCTTCACCCGGAAAGGTGAGACAAGTTCCGGCTCCGTATCATTCAGATTGTGAGCCACCCAGCTGGGGAACGGCATCAGCGCGGGCATCTTCGTTGAGTTGTCTGGGAACAAAACAAATGTTTATACAAATGAGTACGCTAATTGGCTTTAGTGACAAATCAAGGTGAATGATCCACAAAGTGTTTGTGCATTTGACATGAATTGTTTTGGGTTATTTGCATTGGCTGCTGATTCTCAATCGAGTGATTGATACGCCAAGTTTGCCAGCTGAACAACAGCTTTGTTATGCATTCACACATATATGGAGTGCAATTAACGTACAACTGGTAATACCCTATAAACATGAGCGTGACTTAAGAGGGTAATATTTGCAAGTAAATCCCAAGGTCATAGAAAATAAACTGACTGGCTTGTGTCCGTTCTTCCAATAAGCAATCAATTAAAATATTTAAAAAAATCATGTTCTTAATAAGTTTTTAATGGGATATAAATCTGATGGATTTGGGTATACATTCATTTTAATTAAATCGCAATCAATTGAGTTAAAGCTACACAAGATGGAAACTTTACAATGCGCCAGAAAAATTAATTTTTCCTGCCAAATGTTTACATATCTGCAAGCATATGGATTTGCAATTTATATTTAGTTTTCTATGCAAACAGACATGGACGTAAATACGTATCTAAAACATGCATACATATTTACAATATCCACCAGCCATGTATTTATACACTGAATCCATTAGAAATGGGTAAAAATAGTATAATGATTGTGTGAAAATAGTGTAAGCAGAAGAAAGCATCTACTGAATATTTTTTAAGCTTTTACATTTGTGACTGCAGTAAGAAATGGGAGCACTTTCACACCTGCTTACATTCGGGTGTAATTTGGCAATAAAACAAGAATATATCTAACAGCTTGATTGAGGGTATTTCGTAGTCGAGTTCACTCGACTGCAGCACTCTACATGTTTTCCTTTATATACTTTCGCAGCACTTTCAATGTGTTTATTTGGCTGCCAAGTGTTTCTGTTGTGTTTAACAGCTTATTAATTACGCAAGTGAGCGAAAATGTGGGCGATGAACAATTCCACTTCTGAAGACTAAGAGTATTGTATTGTTTAGAGTCTAGACGAACAGAATGCATATCTATCAGATATCAATCTGACCATAACAAGTCAAAAGCACTCACATTTCCCACGTGTCAGACAATGCAATTGCTGAGAGCGATTCTTTTGCATTCAGCATAGACAAGCCTCACTTTTAATTGCATGTTGAATTGCAATTTGTTCGCTTACCATTTAGATCAAGGTAGGCCAACGAGGCTGGCACTCCGCTACGCCACCTGGGCAGAGTGACGAATAACCGATGGCGATAGACCTCCAATCCGAAGGGTATCACCGAAGTCGGCTTGAAGGCGCCCTGCTCTATGGCCGTCCAACGCTGATCGGGATTATCGTATTTGAAATCCATTTCACGCCATTCATATTCCACATGCAAATTGTCTTTGCCGGCTGCCACGCCCACAATTAGCAGCAGCGCTACCGTCACAGCCCATCTGGTCATCATATTAAAACTCGTCGTTAGCTGCAAAAATAAATTAATTACAGACCATGAATTGATTAAGTGATTTTAGACAACAGTGGGTAGTTGTTTTGAATCGCTTCCGTTTGGTGACCTTCGCTTAACCATAAAGTAAATAAAACCCAAACCAGATCAACGCAAATTGCTCTTGACACACGTCACAAACTCGACTTGAGAACCGAAACTGAAACCGCGCCTCCGGTTAACCGAAAAAAATGGCATTTTGAAAGTTGTCGGCGCCGTTTGCCGCTCTCAGTTTGCAGCTGGTTAAGTGGTTAAAATCGAAACTTGAAAACCAATAGACAAAAGTGACTCTAAGATGCTGTCAGAGCAGCGGTTAAAAACTCTCGCATAATATGTATAATTGTCTTTGAGTAATTAGTTTCCCTTTGGTTTTCTCCTATTTACTGATATAACTTACTAATTTAAAGTAATTGATGTTATTATAAGATCTACGTCTAAGATATCTTTTATACTAATCGAGTTACTCGGACCTAAAAATGTCTGTTGAAGTCGGAAAACAGCTTGCATTTATTTCTAACAATTGGGTCAAATCTCAGGTCTTCAGTCAGGGCCATTAACAAACTCATAGTGAGTGATGTGTGTCTGTTCATCACTCGAGTCACGAGGGTTGCTCTTGTGCCCCAAGTCATGTACAATCTCTAATATTTATTTAACTTATGATCCGCGCATTCTGGTCAGGTTTGTTTTTCACATACAAATATATATATATATATATGTATATATTCCTTTTTTTATAATTTATTACAAGCATTTTTGCGGGGTTTGTTTTATAGCCTATTCGTTTGTGTGTTTTTTGGGCTTTTGCTTTCCGCACGGATTCGGATCACTTCACATACTCGTTTGAGGCTTGAAAGAATTCAAGTTTTTGGTCATGTAATTTCAAATGGATGATTTACTAATGCACTTTTCGCGGTATTTGAGATACCATAGATAATATTTAAACTACTTTTATTATAATTTTAAAGCATGCTAATTTTAATGACTGATATTTAATGTTTTCAAAATTAGCTACGTATTAAGATAAACCGCATGACTAATTGTAATATTTTTATTTGAAGCTCTTTCAATTAGTCACCAGCGGCTTTTTACTTATCACGTTTTGTTGGTCTTTTTGGCACTTCCAGCTCTTTCTACCTGAGCAAGACAAAAACCCAAACCAATCCACAATTGAAATGAAGGCGTCAGTGTGAGTGTGTTTTTTTGGGGCGTGGCACTGTTATGCAATCATTTGTCACTCAACTGCAAGTTTGTGTCTTAAGTCTTTTGTATGGCCTGCAGTTCGAATATTACGTTTTAACTATCGTTTAACTAGTTTTGGCTAACGCTTTCAGCTTCAACACATGTAACTTATACACACACACCTACAAAATGTCAAGAAATCCTAAAGTAAAACAACCGACGGCAACGAAGCTCAAAACGAAACTAAAAGTCAAGCTCAAAATGCTTACCAACCAAATTGAAAAAAGAAACCAAAAAACACCAACACGAGCAAAGCCGACTAATGCCGAACAATGCTGAAAGCTGAAGCTGTGTGTGCGTCGTATTTTGAATTCCAGTGAACTTGAATTAGTCAGTCCATCAAATTTACATACAGCGGCACATCTCTCAATTATTGTGACTAATATAGTTCCATTACAGTTTAATTGTTTGCAATTTCGCGTAGTAATCCCACAACAAACTTGATAATTTCGTACAGATATCGGCTCTGCAGCAGACAAGCCCCTGAAACTAGTCCCACACGATTGCTTATAAATGCTAAGCCTATCGGCTTTAATCATTTTACAGCCTACCTGCCGCCGTTTTGGCTATGGAGCAGCCCATGCGTCAAACGGCTTTGTTGGGATTTTTGGGTTTTTTGTTGTTGAACTGGTTCTCCCGATTGCTCACAGTCATGTTGAGCGTTTTCATCGCAGATTTTTGACCTACGTGAATTGTTCTCGAATAGTTAGACTCTGATGAAGATTCAGTTATTTTGCAGAAGACAGAATATTCTAATAAGCTGTACAATTTGCAACAAACCCGTTCCGAGCGACATTTAAGCTCAGGTTCTGATTCCAGATACAAAATATCATTAATTAGTTTAAAGAACCAATAAAACATTTGTTTCGATATAGTATATTTTATTTATTAAAATTCAATAAATTAATTTAAAAAGAAGAGAACAATCAAAACATTAAACTAGAAATATTATCAGTATACGATTGATTTTTGTTTTTTTCGTTTAAAAGAATTTAAACAATTGCTTATATAACTTCTTGTTGTTGTTTGTAATTATGCTTAAAGTATGTTGTGTGTTTATTAATTTAATAGTACTTCTTTTGTTTTTTTTTTTTGGTAGAAACATTTTGTGTACAAACGCTAAAATGTAGTTTTTTGTTTTTTTTTCTTCTTTACCCATTTACAACATTAAAAACTTTTAACATACACATTGTGTTTTTTTTTGTTTTTTTTTTTTGATTTTATGCCATTGCACTAAATATTAATTGCATTAGCTAAGTATTTGTGTAATTAATTGTTTATCGATTGTTATTAGCAAATATTTAAAACAATGTCAAAAAGAATACAAAAATTCGCTTAATATTTCAAGGCATTAGTTAATAATTGCAACAAAAAAATAAAAACTAAAACGATCCAAGCATGTGGAAACCGTATTCATTTATGTGTTATTATATATGGATGTTTATAAAGAATAGCGATTCCTTGAATTCGAAAGAGGAGTTGGGGGAGCGGCGCACAAAAATCATCTTTGGCAAAGGTTAAAGCTAGACTGGTTGATTGTTGAATGCCGCACCGATACTCTTTAACGTATTTTTATCGAAGTCGAAATCGTTATCGATATCTCAAAATGGGGAAACGAATTTGCAAAAGGGGCTCGCAATGAAATAGCAAATTGAAAATAAATTTAGTCACAATTAACACTAAAACACAACGTAAACAAACTTTTTTCATTTTTTTTTTTATATCTGCGCCTTTGATGCTTAACACCTTCCGGTGTCTATGTATGTGTGTGAATAAATGAATGAATGCATGAATGAGTGAGTGAGTGAGTGTAGAGTGTAGCGTATAGAGAGAGTACACAAGTAATTAGACTCGCAAGACAAGGACCGAAAAGTCCAACAGTTGCTTTTGGCAACTGTGATGTGCTTCTTTTTTCTAAAATGGACGGGGCAGATAGTGTTGGGGAGGTTATGGGGTAAACAGCGGCAGCACATCGCCTGCGTCCTGGGGGGGAGGTTTAGGATATGGGGGGACATGCAAATTGAGTTCTACTTTCGACTCGATACAATACTCCATTAATTTGAGTGAGAGAGAGAGAGAGAGAGAGAGAGAGATGGGACGCAGGGAACTTTTCGCTCAGCAAAATTAATGTGACACGCTTTCAACTGAACGGAGGACAGACAGTTTTCTTGTCCAGCTACTCGCGTGTCGCCCAGCGCTGGGACAGACATTGATGGCTCGTCGTACATACAAATATATATGTATATAAATTGTATATATAAAAAAAAATTAAAAACACACACCTATTAATCGGTTTTTGTACTTGCTTCAAAACAACGCGTGCAGCTTACAGTTAATTATTGTATATGGTTTAAATAGTTTGCATTGTTTACAGTTATCAAAAAGAAAAAATAAATTTATATAGTTCAGATTTGTGTAGTATGACTGTCACCAATATAGATATAGATAAAGAGTTTACAAAAAAAAAGTGATTGCCAGAAAACTAAAATATTTAATACAATTAATTCGATTTGTTGAAATCGATCAATAAAAATATTGTTGTCTTAAAATACTTTCATAAATAACAATTGAAATAAAAAATGTATGCAATGTAAAATTTACAAACAATATTAATTAGTTTTTATTCTGACTTGATTACCCAAAAATTAAATCTTTCAATACAATAATTACAAAATTGTAGTTTTTAAATATTTCCAATAAAAACAAAAAACAATTGAAATCAAAAATGCAACATTTACATTTATAATTTAAATGATTTATTCATTTTAGTTTCCGAGCAATCACTGTGTAATGCAAAATCAACTAACTATCTATTTACTAAAAAGAAAAACGTTTACAAAACGCGGCCATCATAAAATATGTAAATATGCTTTGGACAAATGTTTATTTTTACATAGGAGCTGTTTGTGTTTGTGAGTGTCAAGTATTACTTAACTAGAAGTTAATGGATACATTATGTGCGTGTGTGTGTGTGTGTGTGTGGTTGTGTGTGTTTGTGTGTGTGTGTTAAGCCACCAATACAATATAATAGATACGAACTGTGTCTGTCCCGCATTGAGGTACACTCGTCTGAAGCACGCCGTTCTAACATCGCATAACACCCAGCTGGGCCCCGCGCTGGGGAAAGAAGAAGAATCGGGGGCCCAGGGGCATTCGTAGACCGATGCGGCGAATTTGCCAGACCCGAGAGTCCAACATCAATTTTGCGCTAAACGTGGCCGGGTGGCTACCGGTACAAGTGTTACCATCATTTTTACCCAGCCAGTTTTTTTTCACTTGTCATTGCATATGGTTTTTATACTATATATGGTTACAGTACATATAGAATATTTGATTTGTATATAGGTAATTTGATATATATGATAGATGAATTACACATACGAGGATTAGTGTGTGTCTGTGTGTGTGTATTTGGGTGTGCGTGTAGGTGTGGCATTTGTTAGTTGGGTGCTAAAATTTGACTAGCCTAGGCTACACTGGATTCGCAAAAGGATTATTTTTTTGAGTTTGAGACCAGATCCTAAAATCATGCCAAAAACTCATTGTTATATATGCCAAAACAAAAAACTACCCTTCAATCTACAAAACAATTAATGAATTGAGTGAACAACTTATAAGCTAGAGTTCTAGTTAAAAATACATATATACTATATATAATTAGATTATTGGGCCTGCGAGCCTGAGACTGATTGTGTTAAAATGTACTTTGTGGTTGTTGCTAGGAAGCAAAAGTTCTTTACGTTTTTCGGTTATCTTTGTTTGAACCAATGGAAGAGCGACGCTACAAGGAACTAACTATAGATATTTGATATAGAAAAGTATAAGTTTGAATATACTTACTAACAATGTGCGGTGTATTATTTAACTGGGAAACGTTGTCTAACTAGTAATTATATGGATGAGTTTATTGTTGTTTGTTGTTTGTTTTAGTACGATACCATAACCAAGACAAAAGAAATTATTTAAAATATATATAGTATGTAATGTATGATAATAATAAAAAGAAAATGATGTAGATACCTGATTGCGGGTTGCGCGCATCGACTTTATCTTTTCGATAAGAAAAAAAACAAATATCATATAAAAATGTTGTTGGGAAAACTTACGAGTACTTTTTTTTCGTCAGCTTCTAAATCGAACGAGTAACGAGGATAACGAGTAACGAGTAAATGAAAGACGACGCATTTTTTGTTGTTTGCGAAATAGTTGGGTGTTGGGGGAGAACTGGGGGGAGGGGCACATGAGAAGTAGTACATAAATGCAGTTATAGGCTACATATATAGAATATTCAGATTGTATAACAGCATATCTATAACAGTTTGTTGTGGAGCATTGAACATGGACAATTATTAAACTAAAAAGCTACGCACATTTGAATACAAAATTCGCACAATAATACAATAGATATATATATATATATATGTGTGTTGTGGTACAATATATTTGCCCGATTCTTACCCAGAGCGTACAGTTTCGTTTCTTTTCTGAGAATAGAGACATGGCAAAAAGGAGAGAGATTGAGTGAGTTCAGAGCGATTTTTTTTTTGTTTCTTTTTTTGTATCTATTGTTTTGTTGTTGTTGTGTTTTTGTTGGTTAGAATATTGGACGGGGCGTAGTTAATGTTCGTGCCCCAGAGCTCTAAATGAAACTAAAACAAAAATATATATTTATATATATTGTGTATATATATATATAAAATAAAAAAAATTAATGAAAGAAAAAAATGGTAAACAAAGAAAGATTTTTTGTTGTATTATTATTAGTTAGTTAAGTATTATTGGTATTATACAAATACAGTTATTAGTTTACATAACTAGGGAGTGAGTAATATATATAGAGAGATAAATGTAGAGAGAGAGAGAGAGAGAGAGAGATCTAGACGCTACAGCAACAGTACAGCAAAGAGAACCGCGTGCCAGCAAAGAGAGCGCCAGATGAGAAGCGATGCGTTTAGCACACAGAACACAGAATGGTGTTGGTGTTGTTGTTACTCTTTTACAGTGTTGTATAGTGGTGTTAAGGAGCATGTATTTATGTTATGCAAGAAGGCAAAGACTGTGCACATACCAAGAACAAAATAAGGGGGAAAAAACCCAAAAAGATAGTCAAAACACATAAGATTAGAATGAAAGTCAAGATCAATTTTTTGGTCAACAAGTTAAAGGTGCATAGAAATCAACATTGAGATACGCGTATATATATATAAATATATATACATAGTGAGTGTATGTGGGTGTGTATCAAATGTGAGTGTGTTTGTGTGTGTGTGTGTGTTTCAAAACTGTTATACATTGAAAAATAACTTTGAAATTGCTTAGCTTTGAGTATGTAAACTTGCTTGCAGAGTTGTGATTGCTTTTTCGGTTTTGCACTTTTTCTTGTTGTTGTTTGTTGTAGTTTGCTGTTGTTGTTGTTCTTGTTGTTGTTGGTAGCCGCTACTCCTACAATCAATCAATCAATCAATCGTGAAACAGCAACGGCAACGGCAGCCCCATCAGCGATGCCTGTTGCGCTGCATGTGCCACCTGCGGATGCGAATGAGGATGTGGATGCGGCGGATGCAGTGCAGTCGGCAGCGGCGTTCGCTGAAACTGTCGCGCATGCTGTGGATGCGTCTGCGTTGGCGCCTGCAACAGTCCCGGCGCACCGGGTATGCATCATCTAAATCGCGGCTGCATCATCTGCAACATATTCGGATGACCCGGCAACATGACACCCATGCCTGGCATTGGCATCGCACCAGCGGGCAAACCAGGCAATCCAATCGCTTGCATCGGCATCAAACCTGCAGGGAAAACGATAAATAAATATGTAAAGAGATTTCCTAGACATAACTCCATTAATTCACTGACCTGCCGGCATGCCTGGTATATGGCCGGGACGCAGCATATTGCCGCCAATGAGAGCGCCATGGGGTCCGATGGCAACGGTGCCGGGTCGCAGCTGCATCGGCTGCATCAGTTGCATGTGGCCGGGCAGTTGCATCTGAGCCGACGAGAGAAGAGCATGGAAGAGAGGAAGGATTAAGCGTATTAGTTGCATTCTGTTAGCTATGATTTATACAAGTGTGTGTATGGTGTGTGTGTGTGTCTGTGTGTGTGTGTGTATATATCGAAGCCATTGTACACAAAATTAGCTAAGTTTGTTATTAATTATGTTTTTTGTATTTTTTTTTTTGTTGGTTTTTTTTCTTATTTGTATTAAGAATATATTAATAATAAGTTGGTTTTTTGCGTACTTATTCTTTAAATGAATATAATATATTTATTTGTTGTTTTGTTGTGGGTGGATGTATATGTGTTTGTGTATTCTTGTCGAAACTTTTGCATCGCATTACAATGTTACAATGAGATATATATCTATATATATATATAAATATAAATATATATATATACATATATATATATTAAAAGACAGAGAGAGAGAGAGAGAAAGAGAAACAGATAAAGAGAGCAACTTTTATCTGTTCTTTTGTGGCAAACTTGTTTTTTGCTTTATGTTTTTTTTTTATATATATACAAAACTATCAAGAATAAAATGAATATAAATAAATATATATATATTTAAATTAAATGTAGATATTATGGTAGAAAATTAAATTGTTTGGTTAAAAAAGAAACGTACTTACAATTCGGAAACTGAACTGACGACGATGAGGGATGGGGGGCACAGATCGTTGCGATACGATCTCGACCTTAAAACACTTTAGCAAACAGTTCTTAAGATTTTCTTAATATTTTCTTGGTTTTTGTTTTGTTTTTTTTTTTTTTTAATAACGAATAAGCAACTTAAGAAACAAATTATAATAATGATAATAGTTATACATATTTGTCTTGAGTTAACAAATTCAAAAAAGGTTTACTAACCAGGCAGGCAACGTAAGTCGAGTTCAAGTTCCAATACTATTTTTATTTTTTTTATTGTTTTTTAGTTCAAAATAATTGTATGTTGTATACTTAGCTATGGTATGGTTGGTGGGCGTGGTCGCCATGAGGCGTTTCATATGTATAGCTGTGTAATGCTGTTAGTAGTGCTTATTGAATAGAGCTGAAAAACTATCAATAACCAATCAAAATTTTGAAACAACTACTTTAATTTCGAGTAGAAAAAAAGGTGTTTGGGTTCGATCTGGATGAAAATAGTTTTCAGACTGGATTTTTAAAGCGAACATCTCAAAAAGAAATATAGAAAATATATTAATAATGGTTATCGAATTAACGAGTGTTTTCAGCTCTTTTATAGGACAGTTAGAGAGAGGCGAGCAGAGAAGGGGTGTGTATTGGCTTTTACATTTAGAATGAGACTAATTATTCGAAAAAAGTCGAAAATCACGCCACCAAAACCAAGTGGGAACATTGTGTGTCGTACTATAATTTAAGCGCAGATGGTACCAGCTCTCGAGGTATGTGTAATAACTAAGTGTTAGTCGAGATGAGATGTATATATATATATATTTATGGTATGTATAGCGAGGCGAGAGACAATGGGAAAGAGTTAGAGATGCACAGAGGAGAAGAGTTGGAGAGTTGAATGCTCTTAGGATGTAACATAAATATGATAAAGGAAAAAAGTGTGTGTTTAGAATAATACGTATTACAATTTACAGATCCAAAAAACATTTAGATTAAATAGATTTGTTATGTTGTGTCGAATTTGTATGTGTGGGTGTGTGTGTGTGTGTGTTCATTGAGAGATATCAACAATCATATACATATAAATATATATATTTATTATATATAGTAGTCAATGCTGTGTGTAGTTTTTGTGTGGATATGAATTAATCAATCAACCAACCAATCAATCAATCAATCAATCATTAACCAACCAACGCAGCAACCATTACGACAAGTTCAAAGTAATTTTAAGTAGTAGTAATTAATTATACAAAATGTACTTACATGGCTTGCATTACGTTACGTTACGCTAACGCTTACGTTACGCTTACGTTGACGTTTAACGTTTATGTGCTTTGCAAGGCAGTAGGTACTACTATGGAACTTTTTCTTTGCATTACCATTTATCACTATATATATTTTATATCAAAATCGATGGAATCAGTTTTGGGATCAGGTTGTAGTTTTTTTTTTTTGGGATTAGGTACGTGGATAAATATGTAAAAATGTAAGTATGCAATGTTTGCGTGTGGAGGGAGAGCGGGGGGGCGGGCTTTTGGGGGGAGGAGGAGCTTGCTTAGACAACTACGAGTAATACTTGCATAGTAGGTACAGTAATGTACGAGTACGTTTACGAGTATTATGTATACATATCATATTATAATGGAATTTTTCAATTTACTTATCTTTCGTAATTCGCATTTTGGGCTACTTTCTTGTTTTGTTCGTTATTTATATTATTTTTATTTTTTTGTTTTTTATAATATGGAAAGTGAAGTGTACAAAAATACATACTGTAGTATAGAACTGTTTGTCGGCCCTGCAACTGGCATTTTGTTTATCAACACTCAACTGTATTGCACTGCAATTGTAATGTTAACTTTTAATTTTGTTACTGCAACAATAGATTCTTTTCAAATTTTGATTTAGGTTTGTTGTTTTTTATTTAGATTAATTAATATGCTTATAGAGGTGATCACTGTGCTAGAGCTGGTCTAGTTTTTAATATGTATGTGCATATGGGATAGGCGGAATACTTAAAAGGTACATGTTAATTAGGCCCAAATATCCTAAATGGTTTGTATACGAAGAAAACTAGACGCCAAAAATAAGAGCACCTCCAAATTATTTTAAGATATTTGAAAAGAAAACTGTTATAACCGCATGACTTTGGGTTTGCCTGACAAAATAGATAATAGAAATAGTGCTTTATATTGCCTTCAGATATATAGAAGTTGTTCAATAAAATACTTAAAAATAATCACTTTAATTTATAGAAATCACAGAATCATAGAAATTGTTCGACAATCAGAATTTTCAGTAATTTTACACGATTTCGAAAATTTCCATAAGAATTACGAAATTACCTTTTTCGAGACAAAAAATCAGGAAAATATTTTATACAATAGATAATACGAAGTTCATAAGAAATGGAAAACATATCTTTTTATATAAATCAAACCGATTTTGTAAAATAGATAAAATTATGCCACGATCATAATTGGTGAGTTTTCAACCATTGCAAAATTTATATAAATTAAGGAAAGTTATTGTACAATATGCAAAATATTTATATAACACAGAGTTATCTGGTTTTGTAAGAGAGAGAAATTGTTTTTATACAAAAGAGAAACGTATAACACAGTTATCATATTCATATTTAATCAGAAATTACATATTATTGAGATTTTCTGTCGCCTAGCTTTCCAACGTATACAACACTTAATGAAACTATAGTTTTGAATGACTGCTAAGCAGCAAATATGCCTGAGCTTTGTAATAATGAATGAGGAAGTGAACTCTGATGATGTGATAATCGCTAAACTGGAAATACACAAAAGTAAAAGAATAGATAAAGACTATAGCTATGCTAGCGCCTATAGCCCCAAAACATTCTGAATGATTGGATAAATCATATTACACACGTTATACATATATATAAATATTTGATAACGATGTTGTGAGAATCGAGAATAACTTTTTAGTCAAGGTTGGAAAAGAGAGAGATGTTGTCGTTGTTGGCGGCAGCGGCGAGCGCTGTGCAAGCAGCACTTGGCCAAGTTTAACACTTACCATGCCCAGGCCAGCGGCAGCAGCCGCCGCAGCAGCTGCGCCCGGATTGCCCTGTTGACGCACCGCCTGCAAACGTTGCATCATCACAGCCCGGTTCAGTTCCTCCAGTTGTTTGGCCTGCTGTTGCTGTTGTTGTTGCGCCTGTTGTTGCACCTGCTGTTGTTGTTGTTGGTGTTGTGCCTGTTGTTGTTGCGCCTGTTGCTGTTGTTGTTGGTGTTGCGCCTGCTGCTGCTGCTGTTGCTGGACAGCAACGGCTTGTGCCACCTGAGCAGCCTGCACCTGTGCCTGCATATGCTGGACATGGGCGGCCTGAACCTGAGCGACCTGTGCTGCCTGTGCGTGCGCCTGCGCCACGGCCACCAAAGCGGCGGTCTGTAAATAGAATTGGTTGTGGTAGTTGTTTTTCTTTTTTGTTTTTCTTTTTTTTTTAGCAAGCAAACAAATTTTGGTTGCAGATTTGGAACTGAGCTTTCAGTCCATATCTTTTGCAATATATATATATATGCGAAATGCAGCAGCTGCAGGTCGTCATCATTAAATTACATTTTGCTTTTGCGCTTTTGCTTAACTTAAGTAATGACTTGTTTGTCGTTTTGATAAAAATTGAAAGCCGCCGTTCAGTTTTGTTGCCATTAATTTGTTTGTTTAATTAAAAAAGTTGTACAGACATATATCATACTATATGCTAAAGTTTTAATCATTTGTTTTTTTTTCTGTTTGTTTGTTTGTTTTGGGTTTTCTTTCTTTTTTTTTCGTTTCTTTCCGTGTTCCATTGTCGGCTGTTCATCGAAATTGCAAATATAATTGAACCAAAATAAATGGTGAAGCCAATTTTTGAATAAAAAATGAAGAAAAAAAACTATAGAATGTCCAGCGTGTGTGGTATAAAATGGAATCCTTAAAAATGCGAAACAAACGCATTCAACACACGACACAGTCTCGTTTCAAAATTGAATTGTTAAATCTGTAAATATTTTCTTTTACGTATGTATGCAACTAGCTTTAACTGTATATTGTTGTGTGTGTGTGTGTAGTGAGTGTGTGCAGCGTGTGTGGCATGTCTTTTTTGTACAGGGGTCCGTGTCGTGGTGTCGTTTTGTGCGTCTGTCCGTCTGCTTCATTTATATTGACTATGGTTTCTATAACTATGATAAGAACTCACTTCCTGTGCCTTGGAGATCGCCGTGCTCACAGCGATTGCATTCGCAGCGGCCGCGGCCGCCGCAGCAGCAGCAGCAGAACTGCTGCCCGTCGTCGTCGTCGTCAATGTCGGCGAGATGCCGGAGAGTGAGGGCGGTGGCGGCGTTGATGGCATCGATGAGGCAGCACTGCCACTGCTACCACCTCCACCACCACCACCAACACCAGCTCCACCACCACTATTGCCGCCATTAGCATTAACATTATTGTGGCTGCTGATGATGCTGGGGCTGTTATTGCTGTTGTTACTGCTGTTATTTTGTGGCTTTTGGAGCGCCGCTGCATTGGCGGCCCTTGCGGCAGCCAGTCGCATCTGATACTTTGGCTGGCGGGCACGCAACTCCTCCAAACTGGCATCCTCTGCCGGATGCATGATCTTTGTGGTAAGAGCGGTGGCAACGCTGCCATTGGCACCACCAACACCACCAGCTGCTGGATTATTCCCAGCCACATTTGGTGGCCGTCCCTGAGTATGTGGATCCAGTGCAGAGGCGGGTGCAGCGTTTGACGCCGCACCGCCGCCGATGCCAGCATTATTGGTGGTTGGCGGTGCACTTATTGTGGCATTGCTGCAAACAAAATACATTAATTTGATGTGATCGACGCCCAAATCAAAGATTTCCCAACCCACCTATAAGCCGGAAACGTGGGTTTGTGCTGTGCCATCGCAGCGGCATGTTGCTGCTGTTGGTGCTGTTGATGTTGCAGCTGCTGTTGATGATGATGCACGGCTGCTGCCGCTGAGGTTGTTGCCATTGCCGATGGGAATAACGGTCGCGGTGGCATCATGTGTGGCATCATTGGCATCGGATATGGAGGCAACGGCGGCATATGCTGCATCATGCCCATGCCATATTGGCCCAACATGTGCGGCGGCATCATATTTGGCGGCATCATCATCGGTGGCGGCACAGACATGGGATCTGTAAAGAAATTTGCAACTGTATATATATCATAAATTATAGTTCCTGCTTAGAATCTGAATTTCACTGTTCACAGTTTATCGTTTGTGAATACAGACATATAAAACATGAAATAAGTTTTCGAACACCATTTCATAGCTTATACAAATTCTACAAAAATAAGAACTTATTCTTTGTTATTTAAGAAATAAGATTTGGAAAATTTCTTTCTAATTGTTGCTGCTCACATTCAACTTTCTTCTTGGCGGCCGGTTCATCATCATCCGAATCGGATTTGCCGCCATTCTTTTGGCGCTCGTGATCCCGCAAATCCTCCGCCGGAATGCCGTCCATGCCGAAGATTTCGATCTCGATGTTGGAACGATTGGGCAGCGAATTTGGCACCTTGTCCACCGTCTCCTTGTGCACCTGCATACAGTGTATGGAGAGCCCTGGGCCTGTGTACAACTTTTTGTGGCATATATGACACTTGAAGTGTTTCGCCTTCTGGTGCTGCACCAGAATTTTCTCATCATCGAACTCACGATTACAGTACCTAAAGTTAGTTAGGGGTTAAGGAAAGATCAAAGTTGAGGAACTTGTTTTTTTTTTTTTAACCATGCCGACAATTAAACAACAACACTCGACATTATGTAAAATGCACACAGCCTTTTGTGTGTGGGTGCCTCTGTGCGTGTGTGTGTGTGCGTTAGCAGATACAAATTTTAGCACACGTAAAATAAAGTCGGCGACAATGGCTGCAGAATTTTTTTTGTATGGTTTGTTTTTCAAAAGGATACCAGCACCAGGGCTTTGAGGCCTTCTTCTTTTTGCGACCCATTTTATGAACTGCGCTTTAAACACTTGAGAAAGACAAGGGGTTTGGTTTAACAGCAGAATTTTCGACTTTTTGTCGAGTAAAAAAAACAATTTTCAAGCGTCGTGTCGGTATCGGTATCGTGACAAAACAAAATGGAGTGTGCCCTAGTGGTGACACGCTATCGATATATGCATATATAGAATGTCAATAGTTTGTCGACCACTATATCGATAGTTTGGCACATCGAACTTATCGACAATAACTTTGTAAAACAATAATATTTATTCATAATATTATTGTCTGTTTGTTGATTTAATTATAAAAAATGGTTCGACTTTTTTCATAACGATAGCACAATCGAAAATAATTACTATCGTTGTCAAAATTATCGACTGACGACATGACGACGATATAGTCGATAGACGGCTACCACAACCGATAGACTGACATCGTCGATAGATGGTTACCAATGCCGATAGTCAAAAATAGTCGATAGATGGCTACCAAAACCGATAGACAAACATTGAGGTGTGCAGTTCTCCAAAGCCGGCAAATAAACTAACAAAATGGCTGATAAAAAGGTAAATTAAACGTTTATTATTAAAGTGATATGGTAATTTAACTGCTGCTTCCTCGCTGCAGACAGGTGGCAACAACGATGGCAAAGAGAAGCGCCGCAAGGAGTCCATTTTGGATCTATCCAAATATCTGGAGAAGCAAATACGCGTCAAATTTGCTGGAGGCCGCGAGGCGTCCGGAATACTCAAAGGTTACGATGCGCTGCTCAATCTAGTGTTGGACAACACCGTGGAGTATTTGCGGGACTCCGACGAGCCCTACAAACTCACCGAGGATTCCACACGCAGTCTCGGCCTGGTTGTGTGTCGCGGCACTGCATTGGTCCTGATTTGTCCGCAGGACGGTGTCGAAAGCATTGCGAATCCTTTTATAACGCAGTCAATTGGCTAGGTTAAGGTAAAAAAGCAACATACGCATAGAAACTCCCATTAATTGAAGATAATGTATAGTATATATATATATTATAAATACAATTTAAAACTAAACAATAGACTATTCTAGACCGAATTCGTTGCGTATCCAGGGATACTGGGCCGGGCACTCCATGCACGTGTAGAAAAAGCGATCCTCCTGCAGCACCCGACTGCGCACCTTGCACACATTTGGCATCGGGCAGACCATTTCATGCGGCTCCAGCTGTTTGGGCGGGCAGCGCCACGGCTCGAACTGATGCAGGCGGTTACTGGGCGTCGGTTGGCGCATCCATTGTATGGCCTGCTGATTGGTCACGAAATGCACATCCGGCAGCTTCTGCATATCATCCAAGAATTTCTGCAAAGATTCACTTAAGATACCATCCCTTAATCCCATTACTTTCACTCACCAGAAAGGCATTCAGATAGTCGATTTTCTTGAACCACGTGGAGTGAAAATAGAGTCCATATGGCGCCCGATTGCTCAGATAGTGTCGCTTAAAGTTGTAGGTCAACATGCGATAGACATCATCGCCCGTCAGATGCGGTGGACAACTGTCGACCATGCCACAATTGTATTCCCCGGCGCCAGCCTCCAGCTGATTCATGACCAACTCCCAGATGCCTGGGTAACTGCGCGTCGGGCAATTCTGATTGGTGCCCAGACAACTGTGCGGCATCTTAAAGTCTAGTGTGTAGGGCCAGAGTGGTGGATTCGAGTATGGTGCAACCATCGATGCATCGTAGACAAAGCCAAATTCCTTCATCATCAGAAACTGCCGGTTCCAGCCCACACGCAGGAAGGGCACACGCATGCCCCGAATCTCATCCATGCGAACGCCCGCAAACTTATTTATGATGTTCGCCTGGCCAACCATCTCATCGAACCAATCCTCAATGGTGGCATTCTTGGACCACCACAACTCCGGCCCACGATGACTGCAAATGAGAATAAATAGATGAATAATAATCCAAAATTTTATGCTAGGCATGTCAATCTTACGTCACTGAATGGACGGCAATCTCGTGGCCATCGTTCCAGAGTTTCTGCACATACTGATAATTGGTGTACGGATGTGAGACATAGAAGCTACTGCGTATGGGACAACCATTGGGATTGCGTCGATTGGGTGTGAACAGCACCTTGGAGAACAGTTCCCAATTCTCGTGATTGACGGCATCATCGAAGGTCAACAGAATCATTTGTGGCACAGACTGTGCCAACAGATTGCCTGGTATTTGTGTGCCATCCTTCGAGCAGAAGCAGTGGGGCAACTGACACTTGCGTGGATCACAAGCGCCAGCTGCATTCGGATCATGATCTACATCGCACCATCCCTCATCGGAGCCATCGGGGCAGTCGACGGAGCCATCGCAAAAGTAGTCCTGTGGCAGACAGGTGCCATCGGCACAGCCCAGCTGCTGCTCATCCACACAATCGGCCATCTCGAGGAGTGGTTTCGGTGCCGGCGTCTCTGCGCTGATGTCACAATTATCCACATTCGCCTTGAAGTCACAGATCTGACGTAGGACATCAAAGAGCAGACCCTCGGAGCACTTGAACTCAAAGACTTCGCCATCCAGGCACAGGAAATACTTGGCGCACTCACTGTTCGTCCAAATCTTGTGCACCGCCCGATTTGGATTCCGATAGAAGCGTGCATCGTGCATGCAGGCGGCACCCGTTGTTGAGCTAGTTGAGCGCCTCGAACGACTATGATTGGAAGCAGCAACCACACCTGCCACCCGCTCCGGTTTGGTGGCATTGTCTGTAAAGCAGGTCGTCGTTGTGTGTGAGATAGCTTCATATATATGTATCTGTACATTTGTAGCATGTATGTATGTAGTGTAGCGTAGTCGAGTAATTACGGGCAAAAAAAAAACTAATTAATACATTGACCCAAAAACCAGCTGCGCTCACGTCCACAATTGGGGTTTGTTTAACTCTTGCGGCAATAATCTTGGCCAGCGATTTGATCACGCCGGCATTTGTTGTCAGTTGAAGCGAAAGGGGTTTATTTATATACAGCATATTTAGCGTAACTACCAAATTTAAGCAAGATTTCCAATCTCAGGATTGTAGGCTCAAATATAAACAAATATATTTTTACAGTAGGCATTTTGTCTTTTAAGTTAATTAATATTTTTCGATGTGAAGTGGATTAGTCTTATATAGCTAAGTTGCCAAGTCTAAACTAGACTTAAGCAATTTCAAAGAAGGCATTTTTCCCAGGAAGTTTATATTGTGTAGCTAAACTGGTAAGTCTGAGTAAGATTTTCAGCTTTATAATTGTGGTTTAATATATGATATACTACCGTTTACACAACAAAAATATATTTTTTAAGGAAACTAATTTGAAATGCTTTTATATATATTCTGCAGTTTTTAATGTGGTTTAATAATACTTGATTATCTGATCATATTTCCTCAAATTTTCAGCTTTAACGTTGGAGTACAAAATATAATATCAAACACTTTTACAAAAATATCTGAACAAGAAAAAAAACATTTTTGAAAGTTAACTACTTTGAAACCTTGGAATTTTTGGATTATGCGCTTATGAAAGCTGTATGATAACTCGAATATCTTATCTTTTATAACTCAAATTTAGGAAAGATATTCAGCTTTAACATTCTTATTACTATTTGATGGACTTCTAAAAATCATTTTAAATTTTCGTTATTTTTCAACTATTTAATGGAGTTGAAAAAAAGCGACCAAGAACTTTTCAAAAGCAAAATTAACAATTCTTTGAACTGTCCAGAAACTGTTTATAATTTTGCAATTCCCTTTTGTGCATATACCGTTAGAATTGAGCGCTTTTTGTTTGTTTTGGATTGGCTTTCGTCTTTGACCTTGAGAATTCTATTCAAATTTGTCCATGCAAGATCATTCTTGTATATAAGCTAAGAAAAATAATGTAACTAATTGAATAATACTTATATTTATATATTCCGCGATTATGAAAGCTGTATAATATGACACGATTATAATTAATTAATGCAAATAAATTCCTCAAAATATTAATTAGGCAGTGAGATTTGCTAGCTGAATTATTATTATTTTTTTCGCTGCTACGCCCCTGTGCCAAGTAAGCCAACTTTTGGTGGCAGCAAGTCAATTGCGTTGTTTTTTTTTTTTTTTTTTTTTGCAAGCACACAAAACATACACATAAATATAGACAGAGAGACGGGCCGACAGATGTGGCATAGCTAGAGCAGCGATTGGGCAAGCGAGCGACGAAGACGCATAAAATGTGTAAAATGCATGAAGCGATCTCAAGATTTCTTATGCGATGTGTGCTTGTTTGTGTGTGTGTGTGAAGTGGCAGCTGCAGCATTTAGAAAGTAAAATTTAAAGGCATTTTTTTGTGGTTGTTACTCATTTTTTTTTTTGCTTGGGTCAGGAAAAATTCAGCAATTGTCATTTGGGGTTCAATGCACAGGCGGTAAACGATACCCACAACCACTCCCCCACCCCCTGCCAGTCGTTTATTATATAACAAACAGATCAACAACTTTCACACCCAACGCGCAACCAGCAGCAACAACAACAACACCAACACGCACACCCAATCAAAAGTCAGGTAGTAAATTTTTTTTTTTGTGTCAAACAAACACAAGCTGAGTGAGCGAACGAGCGAGAGAGAAATAGAGAAATTACCAATGCTTGTAGCATCCGACGACATAATCACAAACATGGCAACAACAACAAAAACAGCAGCAGTAGCAGCAGCAGAAGTTACTGTTAGATTTGTAGATTTCTGCTGCGTGCAGCAACAGCGTCGACGTCGACGTCGAACGGAAGCGACGACCTTGACTGTGAAACCCGTTTCGTCATTTGAATTTTCCCCCGGGCCCAACATTTTTCAGACGCGATTTCCAGTTTACGATTTTTCGCAAAAATAAAAACGAAATTAAACTGAAAAAACCAAAACGCGCGCCGGTCACGAACTTTGCAGCCGATGCGCAGCCGCCGAAGACTTTAAACAAACTGAAGCCGTTGGCGTTGCAGACGAGGCCATTTATAGAGTGGAATATGAACGGATATCGAAGCGATATCGAATTATCATTATTGTTGTTGTTGTTGAGAGAAAGCTCTCTCTCTCTTACTCCTACTCTCTTTCGCTGCAGCTGGCCTTGGGGAAATTATCATTTGATACATTTTCTTGCTGTTTTTAATTAAATTACTTGCGCTACAATTGCAATAAATCAATAATTTGCCATTTTGGCATGCGAAAGTTTTTATGTAAAAAAATGTGAAACATTTTTTTAACATACTCGATCAATTTTATCATTTATCACTGTCAGATTCCTTAAATGTCGTTTACATAAACATCTTAAAAAGTTAGTTAAGGACTCCAACTAAGTTTGTCAACAACAAATACAAAAATAAATTAAATAAAAGCAATTCAGTTATTAACTTATTTTGCGAGAAATCTGAAACTTACAACTTGTTTGTGATTTGCGATAAGCCGACAAATTGAAAACAACAATTAGCGATAAGACGCAACAAACGAACTTCCCAATTCCAATTCCAATTTGAATTGTGTATTTGAATTACAGCAAAAGAAGTGAGACGTTAACAAACGGCGCTGCCAACTCGCTCAAAACACGCAAGCGATTAGTGCACAACTTAGCCGCTAGAGTGGCAATAGAGCGCATACAACTCTGCCTGAGCGTCATATTTTATTTTAGCGCCAGGAGACGCGAACTGTTTTAAGGCTTTTAAATAAATGCTACAATTGTTTAAACAATGAGACGCAGCATGGGTGCACCAATGGCACGCGGCGCCAATCGCAGCAAAGGTGCCAGCGCCCCGAATCGACCAACAACCAAAGCACAGCAGCAACAAGACGTAGTCGCCGCTGCAATTGATGCCTTGGATGAGGCGTTAATATTTGATGATGAAGAGGGCGGCACACGGATCGGTGATATATATATACCTCCACCGGTGCCCGCACACTGCTCGATGGAGAGTGTCGGCCCCCGCTTAATTATCAAACGCATTGTGAACTACAATTTCAAGAGCTATGCGGGCGAAGTGTCGCTGGGACCATTTCATCATTCGTTCACGGCAATCATTGGTCCAAATGGCAGTGGGAAGAGCAACGTCATCGATTCGATGATGTTCGTCTTTGGCTGCCGGGCGAATCGTATACGCTGCAAGAAACTCTCCACGCTCATCCACAACTCAAAGTATTTTCCCGATCTCAAAAGTTGCTCGGTTGCCGTTCATTTCGAGCTCGTCGTGGATCAGCCCGATGGCATCTGCACCAAGCAACCGAATTCGGAGTTTGTCGTCAGTCGCACTGCCAATGCGGATAACACATCGTTCTATCAGATCGATAAGCAGCGGGTGCAGCTGAAGGATGTTGCCAAGCTGCTCAAAAAACATCATGTGGATCTGGAGCACAATCGTTTTCTCATTCTGCAGGGCGAGGTCGAGTCCATATCGATGATGAAGCCCATGGGTGCCGGGGAAAATGAGACGGGCATGTTGGAATATCTGGAGGATATTATAGGTACACAACGCTATATTCGCCCGCTGCAGCAGATAAATCAGCGTGTGGATCAACTGTCGGATGACAGGATAGAGAAACTAAATCGCTGCAAGCTGGCGGAGCGAGAGATGAAGGATCTGGAGCAACCGTACAACGAGGCCGTCGAGTATTTGCGCATGGAGAACGAACATACGCGCAACATGAATATTATAGCGCAGAAATACATCAGAATCAAACAACAATTACTGGATGACTTAACCAAGAAGCACGAGACTTGCGCAGCGGAGTTGCAAAAGCATGACGAGGGCACCAATGCCCTCAAGAAGGAACGGGCCGAAAAGGAGCTCATCATTCGCAAGGAAATTGAGTGAGTCTTATAATATATAATAACTAAATAATATGGATTTAGTGTAATTTATCGCAAATCGATAAATATCGATGTGTGTCGATTCTTTGTAAATAAGTACCTGAAGTGAGCTAGAAATCGTGAATTCGCTTTATAGTTTCTCGTTTATTTATTAATTGTTTTCCTAGCGTCTTCAGCAGTTTCTCGCAAATCGATAAATATCGATGATATTTGAATAGACACCTGAAGTGTTATATGTGAGCTAGAATTCTTGAATATGTTATGTAGATCCTTCTTTACTAATGTTTAGCTTTCCTCACATTTCAGAAAAGGGATAAATTTACTGAGTTAATAGCTGATATTGTAAAAGCAATATATATTCTTTTTTTAGGCGATAAATATCGATTTGTGCTGTTTCTTAAAAAGTACATCAACTCTTATAGATGAGCCTTAATTTTAAATTTGTTATTTAGATCCTCGTTTATTTGTTTTATTTTTTCAATAATATCGACATCTGAGATTATTAGAGCATGATTCAGCTTTTCTATTTTAATCGATAAATATCGATTTGTGCCGCTTGAGTTTCTTTGATTTGTAATAAGAATGTTTTCAAACAAAACTGATAAATATGCAAAACATTTCATTAAAACATTTTTGAGTTGAATTAAGAAGTTGGGGCAGCAAATTGGCAATGTCTAATTGCATCAAATAAAATACAAAGGCCGGGTAACTGCTATTCGGGCAGACTCACTAGTCACTAATCGCCTTTGCATTCACTTCCTTCGTTTTGCAGAGCCTACGAGGCGCTCATCAAGCAGCGCGAGGCCATCAAGAAGGAGCTGGTTGGTGCGGATCGCAGCTATACAGAAGTCCAAAGCGCCATGGAGAACACAAATAAACAGCGTAAAAAGGATAAAGCGCAAATCGATAAGAATGAAAAGGAACTAGATGAGTTGCACAAGTTGCCGGCGAAAAACGAAAAGGAAATCGAGGAATGCGAACACAAAATGGAACGCCTCGAGCAGGAGAAAGTCACACTGAGCGAGGAGCGCGAGAAACAATTGACGCTGTTCAATGAGAAATCGGCGCCGCTGACCGAAAAGCGCCTCAAGTACAGCGATGAGCTAATTGGCCACAAGGAGGCAGCCAACGAGGCACGCGAGACGCTGCATGTCCACGAGTCGAAGATGAAGATACTCAAACAGGTGGAAGTGACAGAGACGCGCAAATATCAGACACTAAAGAGCGCCTACGAGGAGGCCCAAGAAAGCCAACAGCAGATGACCACAAAATTGCAGGAGCTAAACGAAAATATGCCACAGCTCGATGAAGAGATTGCCATTAAAACGGCCGAGATTGAAAAGCTGACCAAGGACGAGCGCAACATGAGCACTCAGCGCACCAAGCTGCGCGAAGAGGTGCCTATTCAATAATATATATATATATTAAATTACTATTACAAGTTATATATTCATATCTCAACAGATCAATGAGCGCTCGACAAATATGCAAGCGCAGCGCTCCAATAATAATGTCCTCAACTTTCTGATGCGCATGAAGATGGAGGGCAAAATTCCGGGCATTCTGGGCCGTCTCGGGGATTTGGGTGGCATTGATGCTAAATACGATGTGGCCATATCCACCGCCTGTAGCCGACTCGACAATATTGTGACGGATAATTATGACACGGCCACAGCTGCGATTAAAGCACTCAAGGAGCACAATGTGGGACGGGCCCAATTTATACCACTAAATCGCATGGAGCATTTTAGGAGCAAATCCTATCCCATTGATACGTAAGCTTGCATAAAACAATGAAAAAATAGCTCTATTATCAACATTATAGACAACATTATAATTCGTAGACAGCATAGATAAGTTTGCAATAGTTTGGGACAGCGAAAAGAGAAATATAAATAAGAAAAAATATTTATTTGTAGGAGTAATCAATTTTAGTTGACTTTTCAAACAAAATGAAAACAGAAATAGTTCGAGCTCACTTGAGATAAGCTAAAACTTAGTAGAGCCAAGAAAAGTTATACTTTTTCAAATTTACCCAAAGAGTCTAACGAAAGTAAAGCGTTCTTTTTATAGTTCTAGTAGGTCGCAGTGCAGATGTTTTTGAAAAGGCAACAAATAAATAAAATAATTAAGTAAATATTAAAATGAATAGTTTTTCATTATTATTCAATTACATGTATATTTGTATTATTATAATTATATGTGTTTTTATATGTATTTTTGTTATTATATTTAGTTATTATTTATAAATATATTTAAACCTTTCTTCTCTCTACCAAACAGCCCGGAGAATGTGCCGCGTCTGTACGATCTGGTGCAGGTGGAGGATGAGCGCGTGAAGACCGCCTTCTATATGGCCTTGCAGAATACACTGGTGGCCAACGATCTGGAGCAGGGATCACGCATTGCCTACGGCCAGCAGCGTTATCGCGTCGTTACACTCAGTGGCGACATCATTGAGCAGGCCGGCACCATGACCGGTGGTGGCAATAAACCATTGCGCGGCAAAATGGGCACACAGGTGCGCACAAAGACCGCGGAATCGGCGGACACGTCAATGGTGTCACAGCAGGCGTTGCAGCAGATGCAGGTGCAGGCGGATGAGTTGCAGCAACGCATTAGCTACTGCCAGGAGCAGCAGGGGCGACTCGAACACGAAATTCAAACGCTGAAGGCGAATCGCCAGCGCAGCGAATCGGAACAGAAACGTTTGACGGTCAGCATCAAGTCGCATGGCCAACAAATGGCGAGCAGTCTGAAGCAGTGCGAGGCACAGCGTCAACGTATGCTCAGCCACACCACGGATGAGGCTGCTGTTCGCGAATTGGAGCTGCGCATTGAGGAGACGCAGAAGCTGTTGACGGATCGCCAGGCAACAGAGCAGTCGGTCGACGACAAGCTCAAGGAGATTCAAGATCAATTCGAAGTGTTGCGCTCGGATACAGTGAAACCAGTTGAAGCCAGACTCAAGAAGGTCACAACACAAATTGAGAAGCTATCGAGCCATGTGCGTTCCCTGAATGTTGCGCTGTCCACGGCGGAGCGCAACATTGAACGTCTCAAGAACAACAATGCAAATCTGCAAGAAAATATCAAAACGGCTGAGGATAAATTGCGTGCGCTGAACGAGGAGCGTCAACAATGTCAAGAGCGTAAGAATGAGCTGGAGAAACAGGCCAGCGAAGCAGAAGAAGCCATCGGCACAGCCAAATCTCAATCGTCGGATGTGAAAAAGGAAATCGATGCATTAAACAAACAGGAAAATGATCGCAACATTAAACGACTCGAGCTCGAAACGAATCTGCAAGCGGTTGCAAGCAGCGTGGACAAAGTAAATGCGGAGATACCATACTGGAAGGAGCAACTGAAGCCGCTGAAGCTCAACGTGATCCCAGGCGATACGGAGCAAGAATCAGCGGCACCACTGAAGACGCACACACCCGAGGAACTGGAGGCGTTGAATCTTGCTGAAATACAGTATAAGCAAACGTCGCTCGAAGAGCAGCTGAAAACTAAACCCAATTTGGGTTACATTCAAGAGTTCATGGAGAAGCAGCTTGTTTATATGGATCGTGTCCGTTTTCTCGAGGACATCAGCTCGAAGCGTAACGAGATGCGCGACAAGTACGAGGAGGTGCGCAAACGTCGCTATACCGAATTCATGGAGGGATTCAATATCATCACACGCAAACTGAAGGAAATGTATCGCATGATTACCCAAGGCGGTGATGCTGATCTCGAGCTTGTTGACTCCATGGATCCATTTCATGACGGCGTCCAGTTCACTGTTCGTCCGCCCAAGAAGAGCTGGAAATACATCTCGAATTTGTCCGGTGGCGAGAAGACTCTCTCCTCATTGGCCTTGGTGTTTGCTCTGCATTATTATAAGCCATCGCCGTTGTATTTTATGGATGAGATCGATGCCGCTTTGGATTTTAAGAATGTCTCCATTGTGGGTCACTATATTAAGGTAAGGATTAGCATCGATTTATGGATATGGATAATATTTATAAGATGATTTGAGCATTGCAAGTTGAAAATATTTATACTCAATCAGCATCGATTTAGAATTAGTCTTAAGGTTTATCCTACTCAAGTTAATGATTTGAAGAAAGTATCCATTGAGGATCACTAAATTAAGACAAAGATTGGGACAGATAACTGAACTCTATTTATATTTGTTCAATAGCCGAGCCGATTTAGACTTCAGTTAAAGAGGTATTTCAGAAAGTGTCCATTGTCTGTCACTACTAAATTAAGGTAAAGATTATGATAGATTTATATTGAGATTGCCATTTGCAATAGTTATACTTGATCGCCATAGTTTTTGGTCCAATCCCAGACGGGCTTGCTCTGCCTTTGATCCCGACTAAATGGGAATTATTTTAGATATTTGTTACTTTGTTTTTTATTTTTAAGTGATGCTCGTATTTTATTAACATTTGCAGTTACCATTTCAGGAGCGCACCAAAAACGCCCAGTTCATCATTGTGTCGCTGCGTGTGAACATGTTCGAGCTGTCCAACTATCTGGTGGGCATCTACAAGATCAACGATTGCACCGATTCCTGCACCATACTGAATTACCCGATAAATCTATTACTGCCATCGGCTTCCCAGCTGCGCAAAACGTCAATAATGCCGAAAGATATGATGATCGGCACCTGTTTAAATGGCGATATTCAAACGTTTCTGACGCAGCACATGGAACTGTCGCGTCTGATCTTTGCTCCTCCACTGGACAGCACGGCCATGTCCAAGGCGGATTAGGAGTAGGATGAGAGGTGTCTATCTGTTGCTGATGTATGGTTTCCACTTTCCATCTAAATCATCTATGATAATGATTTAAATTTACATACATATATATAAATGAATATCTTTAATAACCAGTACAAATCACAGTTAAATGAAATTAACTAAACTTATGTCGCATCACGTATCACGTATATTGTTGATCTACTTGAACAATCATTTATTTTTTCCTTTACGAATTTAGAGTTATGTTTTCTTTTCCCCACGAAATTATATTAAATTATGCATTAGAAAATGCTAGCATTATTTTTGTGAGTTTGAATTTTTATGGAAGTGAAGCGAAAGTCTCCGAACTGCTAAGGTAGTACTATTTTCAGTAGCTCTTTTTGAAGCCGCCCATCATAGTGAAACTTACTTCAATATATACAAAAAAATTACCATTATCGGTCTACTATATCATATATTACTAGTATATAGTATTATCTACATATCAAGTTATATGTGAAAGGCTCTCTAAATTTTATTTAAATTCTTTCTCCCTCCGAAAAACGAGACAAAATAAAGATATCTGTTTGATTTTCTTAAACCTATGTATAGAATATTAATTAGCAGAATAAAAGTAATAAAAAACCACCAATATATATTAAGTAATTATCAATATCGGTCTTCTACATCATATAGTAGTATATAGTAAATGCCAAATCATTTCATACATGAAACTGATTTCCGTATTTAACATTTAAATGCCTTACAAACATTCCAATATATTTCGAAAAATTATGGCAATCGGTCCACTATCTCATATAGTAGTAGTATATGGTAATTTAGTATGATCTTCATATCATATATCTGAAACAGCTTTATAAATTGCTTAAAATCCCTCTCCGATAATCCACATAAAATACAATATAAAATTATGGTACTCAAATCCCCCAAAACATGTTCAATATATATAAACAAATTATACAAAATCGATCTACTATATATATATATATATATATATATGTGCATATCAAATGTATACATGAAACAGCTTTTTAAATATTTCAAATCCTCAAAACTTCAAAATATATCGCAAATTTGCACTACATGTGCAATCCTTAAATATATCTAATGTATTTTAACAAATGAACAAAATCGGTCTACTATATCATATATGAACTTGACATTTTCTTCATTACTTTTAAATTGCTAACAATCCCGCCAAACAGCAGAACAAAATACAAAAATATCTGTTTTAAATTTTAGCTTTATATGTACAACATACCCTGTTGATTAACAGCACATACGCGCTAAATAACAATGCACACCCTGTTAATTAACAGCACAATTCAAGATAAAAATAAAAAAAATAGTTTAAACTAAAAACTGGACATGATCTTGGAGCAAATGGCGGCCAGTGCATCGGTGGTCTCACTCTTCATGGCTGTAATATCCTCGCCCGCATCGCAAGCGCGTGTCACTCGCGGATCGAGGGGCAGGGAGCCCAGCAGAGGCACCTCCATCTCGGCACACATTGCGGCGGCGCCGCCCGTCTTGGCTGGAAAGATGTCGGAACTGTTGCCGCAGTGGCCACAACGAAAGCTGCTCATGTTCTCGATGACACCCAAGATGGGTATACGCTGTTTCCTACAAAAGTTGATCTCCTTGCGCACATCCAACAAGGCCACTTCCTGCGGCGTCGTCACAATGATGGCACTCAACGAATCCTTTGGCGCCGAGTCATCCCGCAAATAGGTGCATACCGACAGATGCTCATCCGATGTGCCGGGCGGTGTGTCCAACAGTAGCAGATCAAGATTACCCCAGTCCACCTCGCTGAGAAATTGTCGAATCATGCCGTTCTTTTTGGGACCACGCCAAATAATCGCATCATCCACGGAGCTGAGCAGAAAGCCAATGGACATGAGACACACATTGTCATCGATGCCCACTGGTGACCAACCCGAGCCCGACTGATGCACATTCTCGCCCAGTGCGCCCAGCAGTCGAGGCTGCGATGGTCCACAGATATCGATGTCCAGCACGCCAAAATTGTTATCCGGACAACTGCGTGCCAGGTAGCGTGTCAGCAGCGTTGTCACTGTACTCTTGCCGACGCCACCCTTGCCGGAGAGTATCAACAGTTTGTGCTTGACATCCTTCATGGCGGCGGCGACAAGCGCTTTGCCGGGATCCTCCAGTTTCTTTGTGGGATCACTGCATATGCTCTGATTGGGACAGCCGGCACAGGCGCTCACACGGCCAGCCTGTTCACTCTCGACGCCCGGACAGTGTTCCGGTGGCGGTGCTTGCATTTTCTATACTATTTTTATTAATGACTGAAAATCGCGTTGTGAAACGTAAATCAATTGTAGCTGATAAGGGAAGTAATGCGTGTCGGCGTTCGGTGTGAATGCCAATTGTTTATTTCGATCGTTTGTTATCGAATGCAATATCGATTTAGATTATTTATTTTATGCGTTGTTAAATATAAATTAATTGCAACTGACAATAGTAATGCGTGTCGGCGTGAATGCCAATTATTTATTTCGATCGTTTGGTTATCGACTAAGATTCATTATTTGATTGAACAACATTTAATATCTGATTATGTTGCAAATTTGTCGCCTGTAAAATAAATACAATTACATACATTAATCAATCACAATGACAATCAAGTTCATTTAAAACTCATCTCATACCAAAAATCCAAATCTCTAATTCTGCTTTATTCCTCATCATAAAAGATGCATTTAAAATGCATACAAAAAATTAGATTAATGGATACTTAATTTAAGCGGCCGCATTATAATCAACCAAACTCTTGGCACTGATTTGGTCCAAGTGGCGAACACCATTTTTATCGACAACAGCAACACTAAAGTTCTTCAAGTTGACAATGAGACGCTTTTGGATTTCCAGTACGCATTTCTTCAGCACATCGTAGGCCTCTTCCTGGGTGATATTCGGGTGCCAGTAGCGATCGAAGATGCTGGCGCAGAACATGCTGCCGTAGCCATGACCGGCATAATTCAATGACTTCGACGACGCCAGATAATCGATAAAGGTCAGTTCGGGTCCCTCATTGGGATCGTACCTAGTAAAATAGTAAATATATATTTGACTATGAACATTCACCAATGGATTGGTGCCGAAATTGCAACTCACCCGGCGACAAACATGAAAACCTGGTAACGGGTCCGGCTCCGCAGACTTTCCGCTAGATTCTTGCGAGTGAAATGCGCCGCTGAACGGGGACTCAAATCGTAGCCATTGCGCATCTTGTACAGGGCAATATTCTTGGCAATGAACTCTGTGAACTGTTCCGTGTCCCCAGACTCGCCAACTGTCGAAATCAACAAATTATCGGCCACCTTGTGGATCTTGTTTTCATCTGCAAAGTGATGCAAAAAACGTAAATTAACCAAACCCGGCGCAGTAGATTAATTTCGTCATTTACCTTCTTTCATCACGATTACTGAATGAGCGTGAGTTGTGTCTGCCGCAAGCATGACAAAATCAGGACCCTTGATACCCAGCAGAGTTTCCATTTTTGCACTGTAATATTTATTCGACTCTTGCTCGTTGTTAGGATGACTTGATTAAATTTTTTGCTGTGTGCTGCTTCAGTTTGTGTGGCGGTTGGCCAATAAATAGATTACACATTGTGGTGGCCGCCCGATAAGACTTTATTCCAAATAATCAGTTCAATCAATCAAATCAAAGGCGTGATCCTTTGTTCTATCTCTCACGCACACATACAGAAATGGCATTAATTGTGATGACAAAATAGAAACAAATGCATTGTGCATTTTGCATTGTGCATTGTGCAGAATAAGTCAATCGATAGATATGTGCTCAAGCAATTACATCGATACTTTGCTCGATAGCTCGCTAATAGCCTGAGCGTAAAATCGCATCGCATTCAGCGACATCAGCAACGATATATATCCGAAGCACGCTTAGAATTATCGATAGCGATGTGAACGATAGAGCAGCCGTCTCTGAGTTTTAGTCTTTCCTTCGTATTTTACTTCGTGTCGTCGTCGATTTTGTGAACAAAAAAAATAAGAGAAAAATTGAAAGCCAATGAAATTTTGCTTCAGCATTTTGAGCAAAATTTCAAGAAATAAGTGCAACATATAGCTAGCAACTCACTGCACATAATTTTGCTAACATACACACCCTTTCCCTCCTCCATCGTTAATAAAAAAAGCCGTCAAAATTGAGTCGACAAAGATTGACGAGACTTTTCCTCCAACAACTGCTATGGAGGATAAAGCAACAACAAAAGATCTAGATCAATGGATTGAGCAGCTAAACGAATGCAATCAATTGACAGAAACACAAGTTCGCACACTCTGCGATAAGGTAAGGAGTCGCCAGGTCGCCCTTATTCCCCATCTAACTAAAAAAAAAGTGGGTTTAAAAATAATTTTCATCATCATCGTCGTCGTCGTTGCTTGAGGCACCACAAACGGCTTCTCTCGCTCCCACTCATTTGAACGACGGCTATGGCACATGAATCATGATGCGCTATGTCGTCGCCATATTGGAATATATGTAAATTCCAACAGCCAAACGCCGCTGCGCTGTGCTGTGCGTGCAAGCAGGATGCCAATAGGCGTTGTGTGCAGTGCGAATGCGACAAATCGTTATGCCCTGCCACTGCCTAGGAGAGAATTTATTTTCGCTTTTTTTTCCATTTTTTTTTTACTTTTATTATTTAGCATTTGTTTAGTTAATGATAATGGCAATCGTGCGTAGTTGTGCTGAAAAAAAAACAACATCGCAACAACCTTGCGCCGTTGTTCCCTCTGCGTCACAAGTTCGTCTCTTACGCTAAGTAAATATTACTTAATGTTTTTCTCTATGTGTTTGTGTGCGTGTGTTTGCTTGTGTGTGTCCGCTCTTAGAATATGTATCTATGTATGAAACATATACACACGCACACAAACAAACTCACGCACACTTGTTCGGTAATTGTGTGTGTTTTTTTTCTTTCCAACAATATTGAATTCAATTAAAGAAATTAACGCGTATAGATAGATAGATAGATATATTTATTCACACCAAAGCGAACGCATCGATATCAATTATTTTCAATTTGCTGATTTCACAGTTACTTCGGCTGGCTGTCTTTGTTGCTAGAAGTGTGGTTATGTTTGCTTCACCCAAATATTTTGTTCTGTTTCGATTTCGCTATTCCGCCATTCTAGACAATAAAGGTAGCTGCAGTAGGGGAGCGGCAGGGGGGTAGACGCCGCCTCGTAATGTTTGCCAAAATTAATTTACATTGGCCATAAACATAGATTCTGTCTGCTGGTCTGTCTAGCGGAAGCGGACGTTGATCGCGCGAGTCCGACAAGGCAATAAAATTTATATATATATAAATTTCTTGTTTTTCACCCGGAAGCTTGTTTAGCTATCTATCACAAATTATGCTATAAACAAATGTTTATATTATAATAAACGTACACATCCATTTATTTCCACTAGCTCTGTGATTTGCACTGATGATTAATAGGTTAAAATGCTGGAATTTGTATTTATCAACAATTCTCGATAACCCCATAGAAATGTGTAAATGATAATTACTACTAAAATATTGCCACTGTTAATTGTTTTTAATTAGTAATAATTAATAGTTTTTTTTAAGTGAAAGCTGCCAGAAATTAGAAATAATTTATTGCATTTTTTTAGTGATTCCTGACAGAAATGAAAAATGATTGTATAATTTTTAACCATACCTTGCAGAAATTAGATATCAATTATAGAAGATATAATTAATCCCAGAAATTAGAAATAGTTTATGGTAATTTCTATTGAAAGCTGCCAGAAATTGCAAATCATTTTTAGTAATTTTGCATGAAAGCTGCTTTAGAATTTAGATCAATTAAAATCCAACTTATAGAATAATTTACCCATATTTATGATCATTTCAAAAGCGACGACCTTCACAACTTATAACTGTTTCGCAAATTATCTCATATCTAATCAGGATATATATCTTATCAGCATTTATACTTTAGCTTTTAATTATGTTTTTTTATATTATTTTTTTAATTGCCTCACCAATTATTGTAATTAATTAATAGTAATTTTCATTGAAAGCTACCAGAAATGATAAATAATTTGTAATAAGTTTTAATTCCTAAAGCAAATATCAAATTCCATTGCATCACATCTAATCGAATTATATATTTCTTATCAGCATTCTTCATTTACCTACATTTTTTATATTGCTTTTGGATAATAATGAATCATGTTTGTATTTTTGCAATTCATGCAGGCAAAGGAGATCCTATCGAAGGAGTCCAATGTGCAGGAGGTCAAATGTCCCGTTACCGTGTGCGGCGACGTTCACGGCCAGTTTCACGATCTGATGGAACTGTTCCGGATAGGCGGCAAATCGCCCGATACAAATTATTTATTTATGGGCGATTATGTGGATCGTGGCTATTATTCAGTGGAAACGGTCACACTGCTCGTCTCACTAAAAGTCCGGTATCGGGAGCGCATCACAATCCTGCGCGGCAATCACGAATCCCGACAGATCACACAGGTCTACGGCTTCTACGATGAGTGCCTGCGAAAATATGGCAATGCGAATGTTTGGAAGTATTTTACCGATTTGTTCGACTATCTACCATTGACGGCACTGGTCGATGGCCAAATCTTTTGCCTGCACGGCGGCCTCAGTCCGTCAATTGATAGCTTGGATCATATACGTGCACTCGATCGCTTGCAGGAGGTGCCCCACGAGGGGCCCATGTGCGATCTGCTCTGGTCCGATCCCGATGACAGGGGCGGCTGGGGCATTTCGCCCCGTGGAGCGGGCTACACCTTTGGACAGGTGAGCAGCACTATTCGATTACTAATATTTGTATCTTTCTAAAATGCAATTTGTTGTCATTTCTTTCAACAGGATATATCAGAAACGTTTAACAATACAAATGGTTTGACTTTGGTCAGCCGTGCACATCAGCTTGTTATGGAGGGCTATAATTGGTGTCATGATCGCAACGTCGTCACAATATTCTCAGCGCCAAACTATTGCTACAGATGTGGTAATCAAGCGGCTCTCATGGAACTGGATGATTCACTTAAATTTTCATTGTACGTATTCACACCGGACAAATATATATATATATATATATATATATATATATATATATATGCATATGTATATATAAAGCATAACAGCGGTTGTTTATTAATTAGTTTGTTTAATTGTCGAATAATTCGAATATTTGAAAAATTATTGAATGTCAAATGTAATGATATAAATCTATTTTAATATGTGAAAAATTAGCGAATGTAAAATGATACGAATCAATTAGACTATTAGAATAGTTAAAATCGATTTATAAAGATTTGAAAATATAATGAATGTTAAATGTAATGATATAGTTAATATTAATATTTGAAAACTTACGAATGTAAGCTAACTATTCAAATTTTCGTAAATGTAATGATTTTACATTCGTTAACTTTTCAAATCTCTATAAATCAATTTTAATATTAGAAAAGTTAAATGTACTTGTAAAAAGTACTGATTTATTTATAGAAATTGTTGCCAATTCTTATAAATGTACAATATTATTTTAAAGTAGCTATAATTCACGAACGACTTGTAGTTTATTTATTTGTATTATCCGCTTAACTTATACTTCTTATCAATATTTATTTAAATTCTCCGTTAATTCTCAAAAATGAAAGATTGTCAAATGTAATTTATTTATTTATTTTTATTATTTTGCAATTTGAATTTAAAGTAGTTCTAATTAGCTGACAACCACTGTAGTTTCAATTAACCACCATTTTGTAATCCTTGTCAATACTAATTAATTTCTCTTTGTCTCTCTCTTTCAGCCTTCAATTTGACCCAGCACCGCGACGCGGAGAGCCTCACGTGACACGAAGAACACCCGATTATTTCCTTTAAGCTGTTTTCTTTGCTCTCGGCACGAATGCAGCTTACAACAACATTTACTCACACATTATTACATCGCATTATAACAAACAAAAAAATACAGAAAAGAGAAAAGCAAAAACAAATATAAACAAAATCAACAAACACCAATAATAAACAACAAGAAAACAGCAAAAATTAAAACAAAATATAAGTAAAGGCAAATCAAGAGAAAACAAAGCAGTAGCAGTAACAACAACAACAATAAACAAATTCAATGCATTTTCTATTGTATAAAAAAGGAGCCAAGCAAAAATTAATTCTCTGAGCATATAAATTGTAAATGCATTCGAATTTTGTTGAAGTAGAAGAAAAAGAAGGGGGTGGAGAAGAAGAGAGCGCCAGACGAGTTGATATCAAGCAGCGAATGATGGAGAAGAAGCGGGCGGGGCGGATAATACAATCCAATCAAACCTACCAACCAACCAAGCAACAACAAAACAAAAATGAATAAAGAAAAAGGAAAAAAAAAAACACCGCAACAACTACAACTACTTAGCTAAATTTGTTAATTTATAAAATAACGAACTAAGCGTCGCAAGCAAGCAGCCTGAAGGATGATGGATGGATGGACGGACGGATGGACAGACAAATGGAAGGGAATGGGGAATAGTGGAACGCAGTTGTGGGTTGGGTTTTTGACATGGACGTACAGTTTGGATATGAGAAGCGAGAGGACAAAACAAAAGAAAAGAAAACAACAACAGCAGCAGAGCAAAAATACAGGAGCGGTCGGGGGCTTTGTCAGCAGCAGCGCGGGGCAGTTCTGCGATTCAAATGAATTAAGAAATAAAAGTTTAAAAAAAGAAAAATTAATATTACTGATTAAAATTAAAAAAGAAAAAAAAAGATTATTTAAAAAAAAAAAACAAAAAAAATATATACACAAAAAAACAAAAACAAGAAAATTCATGCAGCAAATGTGCCTGTTTTCACTTTTACGCCCACATCATCTACAAAAATTTCATTTTGCTTTTTGCAAACGAAATAAAAAAAATATAATAACCCCAAATCATAATAATAAAAAACAAAAAACCAAGAAAGTTTACATTTTTTTAAAGAGTTTCGTAGTAACAGTGAATGCAGGCACATAGGCCTGATCTATAAATTAAGTTCATATGTAACTTTAATAATAATAAAAACAAACAAAAATAAAACAACAATGTGCGTGTAAAACGGAAGCAACAACAACTGATAAAAAAATATACAACTAGTAGACGAAGAGAATGCCACAGCAGCTAAGAGAATCGCACAAAACTTGATGTTGGCAATGCTTTTGACTTTCGATAGAGAGAGAGAGAGCGGTTTTTGGCGTGAGAGAGCGTTTGCCTTTGCAACTACCTAATTGAGACCTAGGCTGCATGCAAGGAAGTCAAAACAACAGTTGAAATCTGACTGCCGAGTATTAGTCAAAAATGTTTGACACTTGAGCACACACACACGCACGCATAGACTTACACATGTATGAGTAGGTCGAAATTGTATAAAAGTGGCTCAAAAACTTGCAGGCTTCCAGTGTCATATGCCATCTATCATGCCTAGGTGTGGGTGAGAGAGGAAGAGGGAGGAGGTAATTGTCACGGCTGCTGCTGTGTGCGTAGGTGGGAGGGTGAGTGGGGCGACAGCTACTGCGATGCGACATGGAAAATCCATTATCACGAAGTGAATTTTTACTGAAAAATTTACATATACCCGCGAGCTGACTGCTGACTGCCCCCCTCCCCCCTCCCCCTGCCCACAAACATATATAGAAATGTGAAAATAAATCCTGAGTGCGTGTTTGGCTCTGCAAAGGATGCTGAATAAACAACGACAACAAGAGCAAGAAGAGGAACCAGTAGAGGGAAGACAACAGTTGGAACAAGAAGAAGAAGAAGAAGATAGCAAATCATGTTTCTTTTTTGGTCTATTCGATGGGGCATTATTAAGTGCATATTTTTGGGGCAAGTTTCCCGTCTAAACGTAGATTGTATTTAATTAAAGGCATAAATTTCGAGGCATAAAAACAAAAGTGAGAGACCCGAAAATATTAAAAATTTAAATGAACTGCTCAGTTTTTACGATTTTGTCCTTTAGTTTATGACTTTGGGTTTTGTGATGGGGATATGGGGAGGTAGGGATAGGTATAGGGAGGGGTTGGGGGTGGGCATCATTGGAGCTTGCCTAAACAAACGTTTTGTATTTTTATCGTCTGGTTTTTTGAGGGGGGGCAGGGTCTTTGGAGCGAGTATCTTTTACGATGCAAATTTGTTGCTATAAAATTGAAGAGTGTAGTTGTTGTATTCCCATATTCTGCCTAAATAAACTTTACAGACTACAACAACAAAAGCAACAACAACGATGATTTTGATGTTGATGATGATGATGATGATGAGTTGCTCCTGCTGAGGATGTGTGCTGAGAGTCACTCTGTGTGTGCCACGTGCCGCTGCTACAAAAAAGGTTGAAAGGTCAGGCACTGCTAGCATTTTTGGGTTTGGGTTTTGGATTTTGGGTTGTGCTGAAATCAACGAAAATCGATTGCTGCTAAATACCCAAGTTGCCTGGGACTTAACTCAACACTGGGCATCAAATACATCACATACATATATACATCACATATATATATATCGACACAAAGTTCTGCTCTATTCGATTTATTTTATTTATTTTCTCGAGTTTTTTCTTTCTTGTAAATCCCCAGTGTTTGGGGACTTTTTCTTTTTAACTTCGATGTATTTAAATTTTTTTTTGTTGCATCTTTTTTTCTCTCTTTCGTTTCGCTTTTGCATAATGCGCTGCTTTTCTCGAGCATGTTAGTTTTAGAGCTCATTTTATGGTTCTGCAATACGAAAATAAAAGTAAAAGACACTTTAAATAATTTTTTGTGTGTGTTATTTAAATTTCAACTGGGATTTGCCTGCATAGAGGGATGAAGGATTTTTCTCGTGGAATTTTTATAGGTTTATATATTTATATATGTGTGAGCGTAATTAGTGCTTAAATAATTAGCATCTTTTAAATTTGAAGCTTAAGAAATTGCCTAATCAATGTTAAAGGAAATTTCTCCCTCTCTGTTTCTACCTCTCTTTGTGTGAATACAGTTTGTCAAGAAAGTGTTTGGACACAGTAAACATGATTCTCTTCTCACTTCTTTTGTAAAAATATGTCAACAATAAAATACATTTTCGCACTTCTTTTTGAAAAATATGCCAATAATAAAATACGTTTCTTTACAAAAGAAATATAATCAATACATTTTCTTTACAAAAGTAGTCAGAAAAGATTCATATTATCCTGTGTCCAAACACTTTCTTGAAGAACTGTACATATGAACAGTGAGTGCACTGGAAGTGCTTTATGTGCAAGTGCTATTTCTTAAGTTCTTTCCAAAAAGCGCAAAGAGCTGGAGAAAGGAAGCGTGGGAGATAGAGTTCCAATAATGGCTACTGGCTGGAAGTTAGTACAATGCTTGATCGCTATATGAAGAAGTTTTATATTTGCAGAATTGCAAGATAAAATGTGGATAAACCCTTTTCAGTTAGTTCATTAATCGTATGTAATCACACAACATACAAAATCAAAGTAAACGATTTGTTTTATCGATAGAAAGAAATGCATCAAGTGATTTTAGCATGACCGTAAAAAGTTTTTGGTTATGCAGCAAGCAGCGCAATGCAAGTATCGACGTCTCTTCTAGCCGGTATCCAAAATAGCGACTCCTGAGTGCAGCTGCAGCTGAAGAGAGCGCCAGAGAGATCGTGAACTTCCACGATGGAAGCTGGAAGTGTAAACATGCTAGATAAATATCATAGAGCACTCATGTGATTGTTTTTAGTGTGCTTTTGGCGCAAGTGCGAGCAGCAGTCAGAATGAGCGCTTTTATTGTTGCTGTTTTAGGTTCCAAATGCGAGACGCGTTTAAAAAAATATAAAACAATTCTTAATGCTTATCATAGGTTTAATTTTTTTGTGTATAAAAAATGTTGAGGCGTAAAGTGAAAGATAATGAATTTATTATTACTGCGCCAATAAAATAAAGAACAAAGCAATAAATCTCAAACGTAGATGAGTTACTTTTATGTTTTTACCGTTGTTTTATTATTTTTTTTCGCGAAGTGAATAAAAGTGATTTACACTTGGAACGGAAGAATATTAAATTGATGTTTTTTTTTTTTTAATTTTCCATGTATTAAATCTTATAAATAAATGAAATTTTTTTGGTACATGATATCAGGGAATTTCTTAAAATTCCTTTTATTTTTCATTTGAACCTGATTACACAAAATTACCTGCATGGTGTCAGTGCTGCCTGAATAAGATTTATTACACAGCTCAGGGAATAACGGATAATGGCAAAGCCTGATGAACTATGAGCTATAAAGAGAGCTGTGCCAACTATTTGAACATTTTATGGATGAGTAGGCAAAAACACACATGGGTGCCATAAATACACCAATTTCAGAACAATGAAATTGCGGTATTTAGGCAGTTATTTGTCAGCCATAAAAAGGATGCTGCTCATTTTGTGCTTTGCTTTCAGTTTTGCTTTTTGTTTTTGTTTTTGTTACACCTGTTCAATTATCTGCCCAAAAAAGAAAAAAAATTGCTGCACGCCATTTTTATAGTCTGCAACTAAAAGATAGAGAGAGGGGAGGAGCGGGGAAGAGGTGTGTATTGTGTTTTGTTTTGTTTTTGTGTTTACTTTGTGTTTTGTCGTTTTGTTGTTGTTGGTTGCCTTTTTGCTGCGGGCATTGACAGACTTCCTTCCGCTCACCGTCTCCTCTTCTCCTACTCTTTGTGCTCCCCTTCTTGCCTGCTTTTGTGCGTGTTTCGCTTTTGTACGCTTTTCTATTGCCCGCTTCCTTTCGATATGTTCTCGCTCCCTCTCTCTCTCTCTCTCTCTCTCTCTCTCTCTGTCTCACTCTAAAGGACTAGCTGTATATTTCATGTTCGTCTTTAGCTTTTCTGTTTTTTTTTTTGTGTTTCGTTTTTCTTTTTATTTCGCAGTGAATTTGGTTGTCTCGCACGTGAGCAGCATAATCAAATTTGCTCTGACGGCCACTCCCTATTGTGTATTAGTGTGTGCGTGTACGTGTGTGTGTTAGTATGTGTATTAGTGTGTGTGCCCAGCTGCTTAGCCTAATCTTATGTGGCAGGCGCCTTTAAAGAGCCTTTGCCTGCTGCCTGCCTGTCGATTTAATGTGCTGAGAAATCTCGGCTCTCGCTTTTTGCTCTTATTTGCATTAGCACCGCCCTCGCGCCCCAAAAAAAGGTGACAACACAAAATCTTCAATGTGCCAACAAAAACACACACAGACACACACACACCACCCACACACCACCTACACTCCCCCCACACACATCCCAAACACAATTATATAGCTGTGTTAAAGTTGAAACTTTGTCAGGCTGCAACATGGACCACAACGCACGGTGGATACAATTTCAATAATTTATGACATTAATTAATAACTCAAAAAGGTACAACGAAAACTGGTAAACAAAAAAAATAAATTAAAATAAAAAAAATGAAATAAAGTTAAGGCTAAGGATGTGTTCTTAATAAGGCTGACACCCGAAAGATTATGACTAAAGTCAACTTCGAGATAAAATAAAAGTTCAAACTGTAATGAAAAACCTTTTGATTGATAAACATCGGTTTAGTTATGACAAATTTATGGTAGTTAAAAAAGGCCGCCAAATAAGATAGATTTCTGAAAATTTAAGGAAAGTAGTTTTGACAATGTTGTAGAAGTTCCTCTGACCTTTTTGGAGCCCTTTTCTTGAGGCAGCTTTCTAAATCTAAAATGACTTTCTATGCAAAATTTGGTCTATTTATGCTATTGTGCAGTGTCTGTTATGACTATCAACTTCCCCCCAATCCGAATCCCCATGCAGCTCAACTAAATACATCTGCAGCCAATGCTTGTTTCACACTTTTTGGCTGAAGTTGGAAACGAAGTCGAAGTCGAAGCCGAAGCCGGAGCTGGAACTGTTGAAACTGTGAACTGTGTGGACTGTGGACACACTGTATGTGGCCTGTGCCTGTGCTTTCAAGTGGAAAATTACTTTCGCAGCTTTATGATGCGGAAATTATATGAAAATCATGGCGAATTTGCCTCTTACAAGGAATGCGTTGTGAGTCTACTGCTCCGCAGGACCTTTTTAATACATGCGACACACAAACACACACATACATATATCCGCATATATCCGCATACATCCGCATATCTGTACATCTGCATACTGCGTACGAGTCGCTCGGTGCTATCTGTGCGAGCCGATCAAGGCGCCACAGACACAGCCACAGTCACAGTCACAGCCACGCCCCGTCGCATATAATGAAATGGGCAAACGGCCGTTGACAACCCACAGGAGCAGCACAGTACACTTCAAGAAATTAAACTAAACTCTAATTTAGAAAGAAATCATTTTTGGCTTCTTAGAAGTCATTTTGGGCACTTTTTTTAAATTAGTTGTATAAAAATATGAATTAGACTTTGTCTGGAAATATTATTTTCTTGTTGGAATTAATATTGATATTAATTTTTGGAAACTTTTTTAACACTAGTACAAAAACATTATAGAAACTTTCCTTAAATTAGTAGAAAACAAGGACTAGAATTGAAAGTAGTTGAACAAAATTATCATGAAATACTTGTTACCTGATCTTGAACACTTTTCTAAAAGTAGTTGAAAAAAGATAAGAAAATAGCTAGAAATATTTATTACTGCATGCGAATGATTTTAGAAACTTTCTTCAAAGTAGTCGAAATAATAATAAGGATTAGAATTTAGCTGAAATTTCTTTATGATTCCTTGACAACATTTTTGAAAACAGTAGAAAAATAGAAACTAGAGCTCAGTAAGATATATTATATGGATTCATAACTAAACTTCAACTGGTCATCTTGAAAATCTTACTGAGAGCACTTGAGAGTAGAAGCTGATAACAAACTTGCTTTAAGATTTTTGATTCTAGAATGAAGAATGACTGAGTTAATTATAAAATTATATTGTTTAGTTGAGGTTGTTTTCTATGTTGATTTTATATATATATGTATTATTGATCCTTTTGTAAAGATATATTTTTCTGAGTGTCGGAGCAGCAGCAGGAGCATCGGCAGCAGGAGCAAAAGCAGTAGCTGGAACTGAAGCTGGAGCAGCTGCTGACTGGCTCCATTTCCATTTGAATTAGCATAAAACGAGGCGGCTTACGTCTGTCTATTGTGCGCAGGGGTTGGGGATTCTATGTGTGTAGAGGGAGGGGGGGGGAGGGGGAGGGGCTGAGTGGTGTATAGCGTATTTTTTATTCAGATATCATCTGTTGCTGCTGCTGCTGCTGCTGCTGCTGCTCGTTGTTGCTGCTGCTTGTGTCTGTTGTTGCCGTGTGTTTGGCGTCGCGACTTCGTTATCTTTTTAACTTGGCGCTGTCGTTTATTTAACTGATAATGATTTGATGGCAGCTGGCTAAGCTTGCGACAAAGCCACGCCCCGTAAAAACCCCCTCGTCCCGCCCCGGAAAAAGAAAGCCAGCCTCGCCTCCTTGAATCCAACGCCATTTGCTGAGGTCAATTACACGCTTTCGATTAAATTTGCCATGGCTATTGTTTGTTGTTGTTGTTGTTGTTGCCGTTGCTGTTGCTGTTGTAGTTGTAGTTGTTGTTGTTGCTGGGTGTTGACAAGGAACAGCTGCCCAACAACTATGTAGAGATCTGGAGATGCCCCCCTTTCCCCACCACTTCCCGTTCCATTTTGTCTTTTAGGTATGTGTGTGTGTGTGTGTGTGGCACAAATAAAGTTGAATTATTATTTTTCTTTATGTTCGGCAGTTGGGGGATGGTTGCAAGCGGCTGGAGTTGGAGCTGGGGGCGTGGCGCGTGCTTGGCATGCTCAAGTGTTGCCATTGCCATTGCCATTGCCATTGCATATCCGCATCGTTATCCTTGGCAGGGATACTGGGCTGTTGCTGTTGGGCAACTGCCTCCTGGAATGACACGAAAAGCTCTTTAGGAATCTAGGTTTTAGATTAAATGCCAATACACAAAATTGGTAAAAAGAAGTAGGCAGTAAACTAGAAAGGTGGTCACATTTCTTTTCCACACAAATTCCTGTGTCGCTGCGAGTATTTAAAACAACAACAACAACAACAGCAACAAAAAGAAAACTTCAATTTGTGAATTGTTGTTTTGGTGTTTCAAGGGTTAGCTGAAAGTGGAAGTTTTTACTCCAAATGGTATTTGAAATTAATGAAATAAAGTCAAAAGGGTGCAAGTATTTGACATACATTAATGAAATTGGAATTGAACGACTCAAAGTATTTGTTATAATTTGTATTTATTGGAGTGCCTATTCAATTTCAAACGTTTTTGTATATATTATTATATTAGATTGAACATATTATTAAATACTGTTCAACCCACTCACTTTGCAGATCCTCCTCCTAGCCCTGAAAGCAAAGTGTCAAACCGAAAGGAAATTAAGTTCCAATTCTGTTTCTGCTTCCGGTATTTATTCAAAGTATTTGAAGGTATAAGTGAGAACTTGCCAGACCGGCTGATAACAGGTGGCAATCAGCCAATAATTATCAATATAGGACATATATACTATATAACTAGGTGGGTATTTTACATTTATAATGAAATTAGGTTGAACCGATGTCTGATAGGGTATAGGGTATAAAATGGTTATAATGAAACTTAAGCTAGAAGGACTGCAACTTCATTAAAGATATATATATATAATAGTCGAGTCGATATAGCCTTGTTAGTCTGTCTCTAAGTTCTTCTATACCAGCTAGACACATACACATAAGTAACAGGATCGATCTATAATGATGTTTCCGAATTTCTATCGGTAAAAATTCAGTTCCCATTCCGTTTCTGGTTTTGGGTTTACTCAATGATTTCTACTTATTTTTGGATTATTTTCAAACAGCTGATTCTGGAAAGGAATATCAAATGATGTGAATACTTCAATATTTATATAGAAACATTGGTTAAGTGACTAGTCGAGTTCAGTTCGAGCCAGTTAGAGTCGTTTGTTCAGTCAGAAATCGAACAACTTACCCTTTCGATAGTGATCACATTGAGTAATCCAAAATTGTGGGTGCGGACTTCAATCGGATTGTCATGAGTGAACCGATGTCGAGTGGTGGTCTTCGCTTCATTTACAACGGCCTGCTGCTGACGACGAGCGGATTGGCGATGCGCCATCTATCGTTGGAACGCCAAACGTTCGCCTTTGTCGCCTGTCTGGTGGGCGGGGCAGCAGCACTGGTCGGACTCTGCCGTGCGCTGTTCGGGAGCAGCACGACGATCACGGGACGCAGCAGGGCACGGGATGTGTGCCAAGGTATGCTGGAACTAGTACCGCTGCCCCTGATCAATATGCAGCTGTATGAACATCGGCTGGGTTTGGGTAATGTGGTGTTGGCCCATGGCATATTATTGCTGCCGCCGCTGCTGCTCGAACTGCGCTGCTCGCTGGTCAAGGAGCGCAAGAATTGCGATCTAACGGAGACGTTGCGTGATCTCTCCATGCTGGGCAACATTGTTTCGCTGCTCTTTCTTGCCGCGCGGGAGCATAATTTTCTCTATATGCGCATGGGTCTCGTTATGCTGCTGGTCAAATATTATCCGGTACTGGCCGATAGCGCACAGGAGGAGACCGGCGAGGATCTGATTGTTTGCGGCAGTGCCCTGCTCTTTCATCAGCTCGGCCACGCTTTGGCCTGAACAATAATCATGTTGTTGTCTACATCTTTTGCGGTCAACCCTCGTCAAGGCACCTGCCCCGCCTCCATCTACTCGTACTACACTCCGCTTTAGGGTTTCGGCTCTAATTCTCAATTCCTTGAATTCACTTGGTTTTGTATTAAATTACCTTAAAGCACCTTTTCAATTGCTGTTCATGTTTTTCGTAATTGCCAGGGCACATTATAAAAACCCCCAACCAACCCCAGCCAGCTCCTAACTCAACTGAACCGTCAACTTGTATGGCTTGTCGGGTGTGTCATAAATAACTGTTATATATATATATATATACATATATATATATATATTTATATATATATATATCTGGACTGTAGTTTTAGCTGGAAATCAAATCATTTATCATATTAGTTGTCATAAAATTTAGATTCAGAATTTTTGATAACAAAGCAGAATGCTTTAGTCGAGAGCGCTCGACTAGTAGATACCCAATTAACTATATAGCAGACTTCCAGTTAGTAGTTGGTTCAATATAGAAATACTTTATGAATTCCAAAATCTGTGTTTCTTTGCTGATGTCAATGGTATTTTTACAGTTCATTAACAATTTATCTGAGCATTTTATATATCAATATAGAACGCTATAACTTTAAAATTAGAGTTATTTATGCATCTGTATGCAGTTGAGTAAATATAAAAATATTTAAACAATTCGAAATATGTTGATGAACTTGATTTGTAACATTATCCAGGAAAAGTGAGCAGCTATCGATAAAATGAAATAAACTTGATTTGATGTGGGATTTACGAACTTATTTTCCCAAAATTTAAAGTATCCAGTTCTTAAAGGGTCTAGGAATGGCTTGCTTATATAGATGAACAGACGGACATGGCTAAATCGACTCGGCTATTGCTGTTGATCAAGAATATATATACTTTGTGCTTTCTTCTGTCTGTTACATACTATTGCACAACTTCAACGATTACAATGATTTATGATTTAGGTTCTGATTATGATCCCAATTCTGATTCGGTTTGACACCACATAGTTTACTATTTTTAATGGATTAATTTGATGAACTAAGTGCTCTTAGTAGTATTATTAAAATTAAATAACTCAACACTTTTAGTGGCACAAATAATGCATAGTAATTCAGCCCAGCAAATGTGCAGACCACATTTTTCAATCTGTTAAAGCACTTTAACTTTTATTATCTTTATAATTCAAAACCAAAATTAAATTTTGCCAGCAGTGAAAAGCTAATTGGGGAGACGACAGAATTGGACACATAGAATGTATATTTTGTTTGGCACTAATTGAAGCAGATGTATTTATATATATATATATATATATATATATATAAAGATATGTTGCGACTGCGAGGCTGTTAACAATATATATGCATGTGTATATATGAATGCTGCCAAATGACAAACTCTAATTGCAAGTGGAACATATTTTAATGACTATATATGTATATATAAACATAAATCTACACACATCTATATATATGCACATATATTTACATACATATTATTATATACTTTTTATGTCCCTTTCCACAGCAACTTGACAAGTGAAGTGTGTGTGAATATTTCATTTTTTAGGTCACGCCCCAACACTGGACGTGTCAGGTAAAAATAAAAGAAAAAAAAATAAGAGCAGGAAAAAATAGGTAAAAAAAAAAATGGAAAGCAGAAAGAAATTTGGTTCGAATCCTTTTTGCCATCCTGTTGGAGGAAATTGCTGTCAGCATTTATTTCCGCAGCCTGATGAAAAATTCGAAAATAATTTGCGAACCATAATTAAAAGGCGACCAGCAGCAGAAATGTGCTGCTGGGGGCAACTGCGGGTCATAAAGAAAGTCCTGCCAAAAGGCAGCGAAAGGGGCGGTGGCGAGATGGGGAGCAGCAGGACTCTTTCCCTTGCTTGACGCTATGCTCTAGGGTCATAAACAATCCGCATAGACGCGTTTTCGATTTTCGCCTCAATTGGCAACATATGGTGAACAGACGTCGCAGCAGCAGAAGCAGCAGCAGAAGCAGCAGCAGCAGCAGGAGCAGCAGCAGAAGGCGGTGACTCCACCCCCATCCCTCAACTAGCCCCATTTCGGGTGGGAGGTGTTGTGGCAGCATTTGCATTTGTGACTGCGTATTGCGAAAATGCGAAAATTTAAAGTTTTCCTGATAAGAGGGTTGTAAAATCAGCAGAGCAGCAGCAAGCAGCAAAAAGAAATGGCGACGTTTGCCACGAAGCGACACGAAAAAGGCGGCAGACAAAAGGCGAACAAGAAAAATCGCTGTGGGTGGAAATGGGAAATGGGAGGATGGGGTTGGGGTGGAGAGTTTCTACTTAGAAAGGAATATTCGCATTGTAGCGCGGCATTTGCCAGAAGGTGCCAACACATTTTATTGCGCCAAATACCCTTTCCCACAACGATGCCATCAACTATGTGAAAGAATTATAGCGTTAGAAAATGAAATAATGATGGAAATTTATGCAGTAGATTTTTCTTTGGGCTATTACCGTCTAAAGAAATGTATTTATTTATTGATTTTAACAAAAATACCTATGTTATTTATATTTTTTATAATTTAATTGTGTACAAAAATTACACAACAATAAACTTCAAAAATAACTTCAACAAATTTTATCGACAAGATCCAAAATAAATCGGGGTATATAAAAAATAAAAGCACTTACATTTAAGCCAGCGAAAAACATATTTATAAAATACATTTATGTACAAAATATCATTACAATCAATAATAGTCAAAGGAACTATCGACAAGTGATTTTTATAGTGTATTATTGGCATCCTCTTAAAAAGTCTCTGTGAAAATAGTCATTAAATTGAAAAAAAAACTCAATTACTTTAAATATTTGCATACAGATTGCCTTTTTGTGGGACTTATGCAGTTTGCAAAAATAATGCAATTTATCTGGGACCACCCAAGAGCCTAAGCTAATGATAGATGTATAGAAAAAGTCCTCTTTCAGCTTTAACTAAGAGCATAAAAAAAAGATGGATAATAAATTAAAAAAATACTCTTATAAGACAATTTCTCTGCATTAAAAGTAACTTAATTTTCAACCTAAGCTAAAGATGGATATATATATATATATATATATCTACACTTACTCGTATTGCAACTTTAACTAAAAGTATAAATTAAAGATGGATAAATGTCTGCTGGAAATAAACTTAAACTACACTTAAAAGTCATTTTCTTTTGTTATTTGCATAAAAAGTGACTTCATTTTAGGGTTTTTCTTACACGGCAGCCATAAAACTCAACTCGATTAAAACTTACCTCGAGAGTATTTTCCATTTCGGTGCTGGCACGAGAAAAAAAAAACAGAAACGAATAAGAAATGATGAAAAAGATTTGTACTTTTTCTTGCCTGTTATATTGTTCAACTTTTGCAGCCCTCACACCCCGACCACGACCCCGCCCCTCTGTTCCACGCCCGCCCGCCAAATGTTTTCCACTTACGAGCAGTCAAGGGGTGGCAGGCACTTTGATATATATATATCGCACATGTCTCTATCTATAAAACGTCAACTTTATTTGGCCAACTGCGGCCCACACACACCCAGCCCAACTCACACACACCCAGCACACCATACACACCAACCATCCATCCACCCCTTCCAAATGCAATAAAACCAGCTGTCGATTTGTTTATATTATAAAAAATAATTAGTCTGTATTCAGCGTCGAAGTCGACGAATCTTCACATATATGATATTGTATATATGGTATGTATATGTAAGTTCTGCTTGTTTTTTTCTTCTTTTCTTTTTTTCTTTTTCTTTTTTGTTTTTTAACAAGTTTCATTCTTTTCGTTTTTGTTGAGGGCGGGCGGGAAGAGGAAGATTTGAGGGTGATTAAAGTATAGGCTTGGTGTGATTACTACGCTTGTTAATAATTGGAATAATACGAAATACATAATAATGCAATACAATTAGTTGATTTTTTTTTTGTTATTTTCTTATTCGTTTTTTGTTGTATTTAATTCAATATGTTTTTTGTTTTTGGTTTTGTTTTATGCTGGATGAATGCGACTAAAAAGGCAATGAAGGAATGTTATCGTTAGTTAAATGAATAAATAAATAAATGTATGTTAATGTTTATAACTCGCTGATTGATGCAAAAATTTAGCTATTCATATATATGTATGTATGTATGTATATGTATGTATGTGTGTATGTATAAGTCAGAGAGAGACAGAGAGAATGCGAATGAGATGAAAGTCGCTGCAAAGTCTGTTGCATACTTTGAGGCGGGCTTTTCCTCTCCTGCTTCTCGCTTCTCACTTCTCGCTTCTCACTTCTCGCTTCTTGGTGGCGTGCAGTTGCATTATGTATATATATATATATATATATATTCATATGTATATTGTTGCGTGTATTAGTTGATTCTTTAGTTTTTTTCTTTTTGCTTCATAAAATTTGCATTTACCTTTTGTCTTATTCTTATATAATATCTCTGATAAATATATATATATAATATATAATTTATATATATATTTTGTTTAAATTTTATACGTTTTGTTTTGGTTTTTTTTGTTTTTTGTAACATAGTTGATTTAGGCAAAAATGGCAACAAAATTGTATGTTTAACATTTGTCTACTAATTGCAGAAAAAAACCGTTTATAGTCAGTGGTTCTTGTTCTTCTATATCGTGATTTTGTTCTTGTTGTTGTTGTTGTCCGTTTTTCATTTGTTTAGTAGATGTATAACTTTAGCTAACTAACAATTAATTTAAACATTTTGTAACTTATAATTGGCAATAAAGTGTTTGAATAAGCAAACATTTAACATTTAGCATACAATTTATCATTTAGGTTCTCTCATCTTTTGTCTCTTTTCGTTCCCCAAACAAATAACCCAAAATAAACAATAAATAGCTATGATATATATATATATCTATATATAATGTATATATGTATATATGATATATGTATGTATATAAATGTATCTCTGCATTATGTTTTTTTTTCTTCTTTTTTGTTTTTTTTTTGCTTTGTAAAGTCGTAGTGATTGTGGCCTGATTAAGTACATATGTATTTTTATTTATTTATATAGCTGCATTAGGGGTAGTCATGTTGGCCCAATACTCTTTTGCTTTGCTCATTTATTGAGCGCTTCGACTAAAAAGCTTATCAAATATTTGTGATTTATTTGTTAGAGTTTACAACAAAAAAAAGTGAAACTATCGTGACTGACCCTAATAATTGAATAGGGGTAGTCATGCTGATAAAATCGTTTTCCTGTCACTCTTAATTACTGCTTTGTGTTTTTTTTTTTACTTTACTTTACTTACCCTTTAAAAATTAGTAAGGGTAGTTAAATGTTTGTTTCCCTTATAGGATTTAAAACGGTTAAATTCTTTTCATATATTGACTTTGACGACGTCGAAATGAGTGCAAGCCTCGTGAGTATCCCTTAAAATTGAGTAGGGGTAGTCATGATAATAATTTTATTTGTATTTTTTATATATTGAACCAACGTGACTACTCCCAATGTGTAGATTTTGTATTATGCTAGCTGGCAACTTAAGATACTTAAAGCCCCGTTTGAACTTATGCGTGTATTAGTGAGTGAGTGAGTGAGTTTTGTGAGTTTTTTTTTGAGTGTATGGCGTCGTCTTTATAGCATAGGTATAATTAGGTAGTTGGGTTAGATTAGAGTAGTTTTTTTGTTGTTTTGTTTTTTTTTTTTTTGTTTCATTTCGTTTCGTTTCTTTTGCTTGTTTAAAATTGTGTGTTGTGGCAGCCGGCGCCAAGTAAAAGTTAATCAGTCGCTGTTTTTATTTTTTCTTATGTTTTTTTTTTTCTATCCATATGTCAGATTTGATGTGTTTGATATATATAGTTAATTCTTTGGCCTTTGTTAAATGCTTGGAATAGCTCTCGTTGCGCTGATTGGTGGGACAACAACTCTCCACTCTGAACGTGGTGGAACAAATTAGAAATCGCTGATCTCGCCCTCAGTCTCTGGATAGGTGCAGGAGAACGGTTGCAGCAGCCAACTGCATAGTCCCTTATTGCTGCCGCCGTCCTGTCGCTGCCGCTTCTTGCCCTGGCCCCGTGGATAGTTGGCTCCGCCGGAGATGGTGATTCGATGTCGCTGCCCCTTCGACATGCCCGACGCAAAACTGCTCTCATCCGAATCGCGCACGGTGGCGACACTATGATAACCACTCTCCGCCCGCCGAGAGATGCCCGAATGCTTGGAGGTGCGTGGCGTGGAGGAATCATGGCCACTGTCATAGGCCTCCGAGCTGGTGTTCAGCGGCAACAGTGGCAGACGCGATTGCGCTGCCAGCGGCAATATATTCGTGATCTCGTTCAGTTTGTGCTGCGCATCCTCGAGTGACCCCTGGCGGCCCATTGTTGTCCCAGCTGCTGTCATCGATTTCTCCTCCAGTTCACAGATATCATCGTGTTGCGGCGCAAAACGTATCTCGCTCTTCGGCAGACTGGGATCGGAGGCGCCATCCGGTTGACGCAACAACGCATAATCATCCATGCCGGCAATCTCCATGATGCCATTCAAGCTGGGCAACGAACCCTGGCTGGGACTATGCGATGGCTGCTTGGGTGGACTCGGCGTCAGGCGATAGGCGGGCTCACTGCACACACTGCTCTGACCCACATTGAAACGGAACGCTGGCTCACTGAACACACTGCCCAAATCCGTGCGATAGAGCGTCGTCGAGGGTGTCACCTCAGCCATCGCCAGCTGCGAGGTGAAGATCTCGTGCAGACGGGCCAGCTGGTCGAATTGGTGTCTGTGGAGCAGGGAAAGAGGGTAGCAAGAGACGCCAAATTGAGCACAAGTGGAGGTAAAATATATTAAATTGCTAGCTCTGATTGCACTCAGAAAAAAATCTAAATGAATTTTGGGAATTTTCATTTTTGCATTTCTTAATAATTGAAAATATTTCTGAAAATAAAAAAACCTTGCCAATTTTTAGAATTGCTTTTCTTATATTTAGAAATGATTGATGGAAACAAGAAACACTTTGTAGCTTTCGAGGCGTTTTTAAGCCTTTTTTTGCACTTGAATTTAAATGAATGAATTTAAAATGTAAATTTAAAATAACAATCTTCCCAGCCTTAGAACTGTCCAAACTTTGTCAAAGCTGAACAGATACCTAAAAGTTTTGTACTTTTCAAGAATAAATCTCACCTGGCTCTCTCGCCGCACTCGCTGAACGATTCGCAGGCCATGTTGAAGCTGGAGACAAAGGACAGATTGTCGCAGTGGCTGAGCGTGGCCAGCGGATGCGGGTGTTCCTGTTCGCTGCGAGCCATTGTCCGGGCGATCTCCTCCTCCGTCACCTGCAGACCGCAATCGATGCTGCGCTGCGACGAGGGATGCTGCGAGGAGGCGCGACTCGCGGCCAGCTCTGCCTCCTGGAGCTGTTCGCGTGACACGTGCCGTGAGAGCATCCGTTGCAGATTGTCGTGGGAGATGTCCCGCGAGCCGAGTGGATCGTCGAGCAGCGGCAACGCTGGCGGCACCTCTGACGGCCCACTATCCTGATCATCGCCATCCGGCGGCACATCTTGACTGCAGTTTTCTATTCCCTGTGGCTGGAGCTCTACTAGTTGCTGATCCGTCTGGGAGCTGGTTCGCTCGGGCAAATCCAGCCATTTCTGTTTGAGTTGTGAGAGTTTTAAGTGCAGCGCCGTCGGCGACGGACAACTGCTGGTGCTCTGGAAGACTTGTGAGGTCTGATTCTCCACCCACTGGCGTATCATGGTCTTCTTGTGCGCATCCATAAAGCCATAGCCGGGCGTCTGGGCAGCTGCGGGCAGATTGCCCGCTGTGAGGGAACGACACGATTGCGATTTGGGTCCATCGACCCAAGTCTCGCACTGCTTCACATGGTTCACCTCGCGCATCAGGTGACGTGCCTCCGCCACTTTGGCGCGGGACACGCGCGGTCCATCGATCCACTGCTCTTCGGTGATCTTGCGCATGCCCGCCTCCAGCTGCTCGAGGGCTGCCCCCGGATTGGAGCCATGTGGCCGGCGCAGAGGCGAACCCTTTGGCGTCGGCATATTCGATGCCTTGGAGCACATGTGGCGAGGAATTGGTGAACCTGGCGGCGGCAGCATCATCTCATGTGCCATCATCGTTGAGGCCGTGGAACAGGAAGCGGCACCGATGGTGTTATTAGTGTTATTATGTCGCTTCAGGCTGCCATTGCTGCTCAGCGAGGGCTGCAACTTTTTGGCTAAGGGAGTGGAAGAGAGAGAGAGAGATGGAGTGGGAGAAAGAGAGTGTTGGTTAAGGGAAGGAAATTCAGTTAACTACTTAGAGATAATGTTGACTAAGTCAGTTTTAGTGCTTAAGATATTGCTATAGATTATATATCTTCCTCTATGACATCAAATAGATGATGAGCAAAGGCTGTAGACTAAATAGCCAAGTTCTCTGACAGCTTAATGCTAAACCTAGTTGATAATGATATATAAACTTAATCCTTAAACGATCTTTCTTAGGCAGAAATTTGCCATACTTGAATCAGTTCTCAATTTTGGTTGGTTCTAGATTTGCTAACTGAGATAGATCGGCCAGAAAGAGACTATCGACAACTCGTGATTCATCTGGACATTGTAATTTATTCATCAATTTTAATCTAAGCCACTTTGCGACCATTTAAATATGAGATGTTGGTGGTGCTGGAATTAGAGCTTTCAAGTTGTATGCCTTTTAAGCTTTAAACTATTTCCTCTACCGATAATATTATTTACAAGTTCTTAGCTAGAACCAGACAACTCTTGCTCTCCTAAACTAAATTTAGTTCCCCCAAAAAAGCCCTAGAGCAAAGCCTAGCACTTAAGTTAGTAGACCATCTAGACAGAATAATTTAGTCTACCAACGCCAGGTTGTAAATCTAATGAATTGAGGAATTTCAATTAAAGTCTCATAAGCAATGCCTGTCAATAACAAATTGGCGAGTGTTGCGGAGGGTTGCAATTGCGAAACTTACCCTTCTCGATGGCTGCCTTCTTCATCAGTGGACTGGCACAGTTCGATTTGGGTTGCGCAGTTGGTTTCTCGATGGGTTTATCTCCCTTCAGAGCCTTGCTCGGCACTCCACTCCGACCATCGGCTGTGGCACTCAGCGAGGGCAGATAAACGGGCGGATGTTCACCATCTGTGGCATCATCGTGGGGTCCCATATAGATGACAGTATCCGCTGATATTTCCGAACTCGATGGATCTGCGCCCGAGCCAGCCGAGGAGCCAGCACCCCCGGCGCCGCCAGGATTAAGACCCTGAGCCAGGCCGACAGCCAGTGGCATGGGTACACGATGCTTGCGACGACGCAAACGATGAATGCGGGAGGCAATCTGTATCGTGGAGAGGGCATCCTGGTAGCACTGTTCGTGGAGGACATGGGCGACAATTGCCACATGGCAGGTGATGGGAGCCAAGCAGTCCTTCAGCAGCGGCGTCAACGGGTGGTCCTTGTGCGGCGGATGCCTCTGTCCGCTCAATATGGCCAACAGTATGTTGCCAATTCCCGAGAGCGGCAGACCACCGCTGCGATTCGCACAGCCGCCCAAGTCGATGATATGTAAACGGCTCCGACCGCCGGCAACTACACACCAGAGAAAGAAAGCATAACGAGAGTGTGAGAGAGAGTGGGGGGGGGGGGGGTGAAATTGTGGCTGAGTGGGGTTGAGTGTGGGAGAGATGGTGGGGTTTGTGTAGAGTGTGTAAAGGGGGGTGCGAAAGCGAAATGTGACACTTTAATGGTCTGGCGTCTAGTGAAACATTTAGCGGGCCACTTGAGTGGCAACAACAACAATAACAACAACAACAGCAACAGCAACAACAATAAAGACGACGTCAACTACGTCTACAACTCGACGTACACAGTAAGAAATGAAAAGGTTTTGACTTGATTAAGCTGTTCGCTTTTTATATTATGTAAGCGCTTCATTTGCTACAATTTCAGGCAAAAGGCTGGCAAAAAGTGTTGCTTGTTGCAAAAAAGGTTGAAAAATTCTTGATTGGCGCATAAAAACTAATTGTGATACTTTTACTTTGAGCGTAAAACGAGTACACAGTAAAAAAATAATAGCTAAATTGGGCGTAAGCATAAAAAGAAAGTACTGCTATCTGAGTAAGCCTCAGTGAAAAATTCCAAATTTAACATGTACTATAAATTAAAAAGAACACGAACTGATTGTTCCTATGAAAACTATGATATAGTAGTCTAATGTCCATATTAGTTTTGTTCTTAAGGCAGCTACTATTATAAAAATCCGATCTAGTTAAAACTGAGCAACTGTTTGCAGAGAAACAAATAGACAGAAAGACAAGGCTGCATCGACTCGGCTGGTGATGCTAATGAAGAATATAAATTCCTTGTTCATAAAACCATTAAAAATAAGCAAGGATCAAATTCTTAATACTTAAATTACCACAACAAACTATATGCAATTAATAATCCAGGAATGCTTTAATTCAATTAGAGGGCTTATAACTTTTGTAAATACAAAAATAATGAAACAAAGCATGAGAAGCTTAAAGGAATTTGTAGCACACAACTAAAGTTCAAATCCTGTTGACAAAGTGTGCATTGACTGTAGGGTTTTTGTTCCAGTGTAAGAGTAGGGGTAGGGGTAGGGGGAGGTGTGGGAATAGTAAAGCTGTGGACTACTTACCACCCCCCTTGCGGGACAGGCTGTACTGGTAGACGTGCAGCGTAAAGATGAGGGCGGACTCCAGCGTCGTCGTTGTATTCGAATTGGAGTTGGAGTTTGAATTGCAGTTGGAGTTGGAGTTAGAGTTGGAGTTGGAGCTGTTGGAATTGCCAGAACCGGAACTTTTTAAGCGTCCGGCCAGCGCCGAGTCAAGAAAGAGAGCCGCACGTTCGGCGGTGGGTGCACGTAGTTCCGTTGGGCCGCCAAGGAAGTCGTCACGCAAATAAATCCCCGGGGAGTCGTCAGATTCTGTGTCATGGAGTGAATGAAAAGGGCATTAGCTTTTATGTGCGAATAAATGCCACTCCATGTAGTTAGCAGTCATTCGAGCAGCAGCAGTAGCAGGAGCACCACAAGCAGCAGGAGCATTCTTGGGGGGGTTATTGCTCTGCCTCACAGGTTAACTTTATTCAAATTGGGGGCGTACCCCCCGCAACCCAACAGCGCACCCCAACCCAACATTATCATCAGCTGGCCCAGGGGCAACATTACAATGCCCACGCCCACATTTATTACCCCGCCTCTCCGCCGCTGGCTGCTAACAGGTGGAAGTTTTCGTAATGCTTACCAGCCGCATGCGAGATGAGCAAATCCGTGGAGAGAGCATCCGGTTTGGTTGCACTGACGCCAACGGCACTAACGCGCACAGAGAAACGAGCTCCGCTCTTCTGTCGCCGCTCCTGTATGCCCTTGTAGAGCCAGGCAATCGCACAGGCCGCTGCTCCAAGTGCTCCAGTTCCCAGCTCCCCGAGCACCGTCTGCGGCTGCCCAGTGCCCGGATAGCCCATGGCCAGCAGGCATCCGTCGGAGCCCTCGAGCACAGCGGGTATTACCTCGCTCAAGGCAGCCGCACATACGTCCGACTGGAACATAAAACACACAGTGGATGTTTACAATTATGCCATTGATTGATGGACATTAATAAGAAGTAAATATGGACAGAATACAGTTAGGCTTATATGTGAGATTTATGTAGAGCAATTCATATATATCCATTCTAATAATTATAAATGCGAACATGGGAATTTGTAGTGATATTATTAAGTTTAGATAGATTATACTTTGCTTATAGATTATCTTATCTTAATATTTTGAAGTCTTAATCCAAAAAAGCCAAATTTAAAAATGTACAAGGAATGCTCAATTAATTCTAAGTTCTTGAGCTTAAATTTAAATTAAGGATGCACTTTGAAACCATATGTTATCAAAATGCTTTGAAAGAAGATTCATTTTATTTATATTTATGAATGCAATTTTATTATTATTGCAATTTTTAAAATTATGCCTTTGATTGCTGCACATTAATTAAATAAATAAATCAAATGATGCTTATATGAGGAGGGAGATTTATATAGAGGTAATTCTAAATGGAATATAAATAGACAGCTAGGAATCATAATTATTGTTTATGCAGACTTTCTGTTCTGCTTATTTATTAAGTTTATACTGATATTTTTCAGTTTTAAAGACATATTTTAAACTTTAGTTAAGGCTTGTTTGTATGCACTTATCAGCTTGCAATTAAAAAAGATTCCTTTTCTTTACATTTCTGAGTTTTTTGAAGAATGCAAGCTTAAAAATAATTGCATTTTATATGAAGTCTTATGTCTTGTTAACAATAATTAAGAATGGTCAAGGAATACTCGATAAATTCTTAATTCACGAGCTTTAGTTAGGTATTCATTTTTATTTGAAGAATGCTATTTTAAATGTTTTCAAGTCTAAAGCCTTGAAAGCAATATTTAAGAATGGTCAAGGTATGTTCCATAAATTGTTATAAAATCATCATTTTAAACCCGTATTTTATCCCCATGCATTAAACAAGATTCCTCCTGTTTAAGTATATTATTTTGTCTAAAGAATGCAATTCTACATATCTGTGTTTTTCATATATTAAATTCATATTAATGTGTTTAAGTATTATATTTAAGAATGATCAAGGACTGTCCCAACTCACCTGTTTATCGTCCGCTGTGAACAAATTATCGAATGCAAACATTTTGGGCGCTGCGACCATCGGTGCCCGCTCCTGTGCTTGGGGCGCACAAACATTCTTGGGATCGGTGAGGGTCACCTGTCGCTTCTTCTTGTCCAGGGCCATGAAATCGTGCTCGGCACCCGGGTCCGCTCTGTCGGCGACTCGTAGCATCACTTTGACTTTGCCAACGCCGTAGCACTCGCGACTGGCGAGGCGCCTCGCCAGGCCGGGCGGCATGGGCGGCGGTGCACGTTGCAGGGCACCACAGAAGCCACCGTTGCGACTGCTGCCGGAACTGGAACTCATTGCTCCACTTGGATGGTGTCGTGCACGGCTATCAGTTTCCATAGTTTTATGGAAGCTATGTGTTTTTTTTTATATTTTCTATTTCTTGTGGTGTTTAATGGAAGCACTTGAGTTTCCTTCTGGGCGAGAGACATAAAAACAGGGAGAACAGAGAGGAGCAGCAAGTTAATAAAGATTCGTCCCAGAGAAAGCTGTCCAGGACATCATCAACTGCTTTCGCTCGATACATTGTATTTGACTTATATGGCAGATGGAGACAGACGGAGCGAGAGAGTCCTTCGCAGTTACTGACATAAATTGTGATTTTTTGGCCAAAAGGGTGCTGCTCTGGGCAGGGTCCTTTCGTTTACTATGGTAATGGCCATAACACTTTCTCTTTATGGTTATGGGGCATCTGTTTATTGGGCATATGCTTCACAGACACTCACAGACACTCACTCACATTCAAACTGGGAAGATTCACTGAGTTTTTGGGGGACCAGTTTTATTCACTTGTAGCTTCTTCGTCGTCGAGCAGTTTTTATCTATTTGCGGTGCTTTGGTTTTTATTTCACAGACATTTCGTTCGTTAGTTGAGAATTTGTCTTTTACTTTTACTTCTCTTAGTTTGGAAATTATTTGAGTTAATCTATGTGTGTGGAGAGTGTTGTTTTTAGAGCGTCTTCTTTTTTTCTTGAGTTTATAACTTGTTAGCTTGTAATTTTCTAAATTTTACAGCTTAGTTTAGTGTTTGTAATTTTAACTTTGCTAAAAATTGTTAGCCGTTTCTTTTATTGGCGTTTATTTAGTAATCATTTCGTTTCGGTTAGTTTTGTTGCTCCTGTTTTGATTGTGTTTTTATTGTGTTATTTTCTTTGTTTTTTTGTATTTTTTAAAGTTCTCCTAAGCTTTATTGTGTTAGTTGGTGATTGCTGTTATTATATATATTTGAGATTTTACGACTTTGGGGTCAGATTCTAGACTGCATTTTATTATCATCATTAAAAAAAATAACATGATATTTTAACATAAAGTTTCGTTGGGGGAAATAAATGTTATAAATAGACTTTTGAAAAGCCAAATTATTACATTTTTGAAATGTATTTCTTTATGTTTTTGAAAGTATTAGTGTTTAATATTCTGAAATTATGAGTTGAAACTTTAGTTAATGATTCTTTTGACTGCTTTTTATGGGCTGGCTATTAAATATGATTCTTTTGATTTAAAATTATCATTTGATGATTGTAATTTTGAAAAAATTGCTCCATTAGTTGAATATTTTCTTATTTGATTAATATAAATTTCTTCTTTATTATCTTGTAATTAAGGAAGAATCTTTTTATTTAGTAATGATATTTTTAAACAATCATATTTAAAGAGATTGTCTTATTTAATGTTGGGTTTTGTTGCTCTTGGGGGGTTTTTGGGGGATACGTGTGTAAGGGGAGGGGTTACGCCTTCATTATGAACATGATGCGGATTCAAATAAGGAACGTGACATTTTTGCAACGTCTTTTCATTAATATTGTCCCTTTTTTTGGCTGGCACGTTTCTTTTGTGCGAATGACATGGCAACATCAACTTCATTTTTCAGATGTCGCGCACCTGCCACTTGCAACTTCTTTTAGGAGCGTTGTGCGTTGTGCCACCTTTCTGAGCTTTTTGCCTTATGGCTTTGGCTTTTCACACAAATCGATTGGCAATGCCTTCTAATTGTACGCAACAACAACAGCAACAACAATGGTTGTTGAGTGGAGGCTAAAGAATGCCATGGCATTGTATGGCCCACAATATTAGCACAACACACACAGACATACACACACTCGCACTCACACACACACACACACGCACACTCGCACACACACACACATAGCGCACACACAAACCCTTTATTTTTTATGACTGGCAATTTCTGGTTGTTGATTTCATCTTTGGCTGCGACGCTTTGGCTTCTTCGATTTTGTTGATATACATGATTTATTTTAGCTCAGTGGAGTTGTGGGCTTCTTAACGCAAAACACACATTTTCAATTCATTTTCAAACGCACACACAGACAACTCGCGACGCGAACGCCACCAGCGTACCGTCAACGTTGGCATTACAATCGCAACTGAGACAGGACGGCGTTCAACGCTTTTTTTTCTAAGAGCCGCTCTCTCTTTATGCATGGCATGGCATGCGCGGCAGCAAAGAGACAGAGAGTGAGAGCGCGACAGCGAGAGAGCGCGCCTCCGACTCACAGCTGGCAATGCTGTGGGACTTTCGTTTTGGGGTTGGACTTTCGCTTTTGGTCGCTAAGAGAGCGGTCGGCTTCGCACTCTCTTTGCAAAAGTGCCGTTAGAAGGCGCAGGTAAACAAAATCAGCGAGGCTCAAAAAACAAAAGGAACAACGCAAATGATGTTTATATTGTAGACATCAAAATGCTAAAAAGAAAGAAAGAAAAAAGCACACACACACTCACACACAAGAGCAAGACAAGAGGAGCAGAAAGCACGCACACAGACACTCATGCTGATAGTTGAGGAGCTCAAGCGTCACTTAAGTGTTTGCAAGGGGGGTTGAGGGGGAGACCCAAAATGCAAACGATGTGTTTTAAGTTCGCTTACATTTGACAGCCAGAGTAGAAAGCCCCGTTTGGAGTGTCAGTGTGTGTGTGTGTGAGTGTTTGTGTGTGTGCTTAAAAGCATTGGGTGGACTTTGAACAGGATACAGAACATCCATCTATATGGACATTGGTGGGTGTGGTGTGGGAAAGGGGGAGGGGCTAGAGCAGTTAAAAGTGTCGGCGTGCTGACTGACAATGTCTCAATTAAAATTGCAAACTGAAGTAAGCTCTTAACTATGCTGGCAACATGTTTACCATTCGTGCTAAAAATACATTTAGAATACTTTGATTAATGCATGTCAGCGTTATTCTCGAAACATTAAAAGCCTTAACTATATTTTAATCCTGTTCACAGTTTGAGAGTGATTGCTGTGCTTTTGCTGTTAGTTTGCGGTTGGCAATGCTGCCATAATTCCGTTACCGAATGCTTTGTATGGCAACGCTGCAAATTCAAATTCATTGTTGACAAAATTCACTTGGGAGTATTTGGAAAACTATAATCATAACTCTTTTGTTATTTTGAATTGATAATTGAAAAACCCTTTTTTTTTACTGATAGTTTGTTAAACTTTTATTTCTCATTATCCTTTCTGTTTTTTTTTATACATATACAATATAAACTTGAGTATCATTCATTTTTTTTGTTGTTTTTCTGTAGCTTTTTCACATCGTACACAACAACAATATACTGAAATACATATGTTGCAAATATAAATTTGCCGAGTTGAAATGCATTTAACGATGAATGGTAAAAGTATCAGCTATATATATGTGTAGATATAACTGATCGTTACGCTAGCTAGATCGGAAGTGTGAGAAAATAATCGTATATATAACGCATAGGGGGAGGGGTGCTTATAGAACTATACACTTAAGATTAGACAAACAAAATTGAAACAAACAGCCTATTGGAGAATGTTTAGAGGTAAACTTGAATTACATAAGAAACAACAACAATGATGAGTATGGTGTGGGGAAGGGGGGTCTGACGGGGTTAGCGGGATATTAAATGATGTTCGTTGATTTCGTAAACTTTGTCACACATTAAGTCGTTTTTTTCGTCGTTTTTTCGTACGATTTGCTTGAAACACAAAAAAAAATTATTTTCAAAACAAAAAAACCATAAAGTGGGTTGGCGAAAGGGGAGTGGCAAGGAGTGGTTCGCCTAGTGTGAGGGCGCGCCATAGGAGCTGCTGGGCGCGGAGGGAGCTGGCGGAGCAGCGGGCGCACCATATTCAGAGGGCGGGGCAATGCTGTTGGGATAGGGGCCAGTCTCCTCCTTCTGGGTCTTGTAGCGAATGAAATACACTTCCGGCTTGCTGGGCTGCGTCGGCGCCGGCGTTGGGATAATAATCTCTGGCTGCTCCTCCGGTTTCTTCACGAGCACATATACCAAAGTCTTCTCCTCGTTCTGCGGGAACTGGGGAATTATGGGTGCCGTTGGTGCCGGTGGCGATGGTGCCTTAATGAACACAATCTTGTAGTGCTTTTGTGGGGGCGGCACATAAAGAGGTTTCCTAAAGCGACCACAAAGAGAGAGAGAGAGAGAGAGAGAGAGAGAGAGAAAGGAGAAGGGTTTTTATATAAGTCAAAAAATCATTTATGCAAATGATTGAGAAATCAAAAATAAAAATAAACTTGTTTATCTGGCTAATAACGAGAGCTGTCACAATTTGCCGCCCACATTTGTTAGCATTACAATCACCGTTAGCCTCTTATATAAAGTGGAGTACAGTGAGTACTCTCTATGTTAATTGCGTTCCTCTTTTTTTCGTGCAATAATTAGCTTGAAAATGAACAGCAACAAAATATATACAGATATATCTATATGTGTTTGAAAAACTTAACTTAGGTAACATCTTAGTCACGCTTTGGCTATCTTCTTCCCCTTGGGCAATTAACATTGCCCGAAAGACAACAATAACAAACAAATGACAAACGGTTGAAAAAAAATATAAGCAAAATAATAATAAAAGATACTCATTTGGAAGACACGCTTTTTGGACCTGCTCGGTATTAAATCATTTTTCCTAGTAACTGACAAAGTGCGGCACATTAAAATTAAAACAAAAATTCCCTTCTCTCCCTTCACAAATGATAATGCAAAAAAAAAAAAGAAGAAAAACCAACTGCAAATGTTGCAATCATAATACGAGGAGGGAGCAGGAGGAGGAACGCTGAACTGGATTAGATGATTAACGTGCATGTTTTGCAACTCTATTTGCAACTCTTTGCCAAAGATGCCAAGTTGCACTTGTTAGCAAAGTACTAAAATTATGTTTGTTTTATTGTTGCATCGGTTGCACCATCAATTGTGGGAGAATTTTTTACAAATTTGCCTAGGATTTTTTTATGAGCTCATTATTTGTGCCCATAACTGGAGCTACACACGACACAAGATCATTGTGCAATTACACATAATGGCCATAAACAATATGTGGGAATTAACTGGAATAAGTTGCAAATTTGTGAAAATACATGGGTTAAATCAAGCCCATTTTGAAATAGTTGCAAAGAAATTGCACATTTTACAAAAAAGAAACTGAAAAGATCAACGCATTCAAAAAAGGGGTCAAAATATCATCAGATTGAAAACTGTCTTCACCTTTGGTAAATACAAAAAATAATCATTATACTTTTTTAAGATTTGGAGATTATTTATGCCTCAAGATAGTACTATAAAAGAATACCGAAAACGCGTTAAGCAACTTTGGAGTTTTAGCTGCTCTTTCGGCAATTTAATCAATATGCAAGCTGATTGGACATTTTGTAACATTTAAAATACTTACAAGTATGAATATAAATAATCTTCAAGAGTTACAAAATGTCCAGTAGATTTACATATATATGTAAATTTATATCCTTTAACATATGGATATTTATTATTGAAGAATTCCTCTTGAGCAAACTCTCATAGTTAGTCTCTATTTCAACACATCGTTTTTTATATTTTTCATAGGCTGAAGAGTTCCCACCAAACCAGCTAACAAAACTCCATAAACTTCTACAAGTATTATGCAAGTATCCCCAAAAAAAAATCCACTTTGATGATAAAAAAAGATCAAGTTAATTAATTTGAAATGAAGTCGTATAAATCATTTTTAGCATTTTGACTAACCTGGGCGCCTGGTACTCGGGCTCTGGTGGTGGGACATGCACATAGACATGCTTGTGCACCACTGGCGGCTGCTGTGGTGGTCCATATTGTGGTGCAGGTGCGCCATAGCCGCCGCTGGGACCACTCGGCTGATAGCTGCTCGAGGGAGGAGCGCTGTACGTGTCACGTGGCGGCTCCGGGCGTGCGGCAACCAGCGCCAAGCTGGCCAAGACGAGCACTAACTGCAGACCAGAACATAAACAAGATACAAGATACAAGATGAATGAGTAACGGCAACACACACACAGAGAGAGACACACACACACACACACGGAAACATACCACACAACTGGACTGCATAGTGCTGATTAAAGATCGTTTAATATCCGTTTTCAAATGTGATGTATACGGTTTGAAAGTGCGACACTTTATTTCGTTTTTGATTTTGGTTTTTTTTGTGTTTTCGTTTCTTGTTTTATTTTTGTGTAGACAGCTCGTTCGACGCGGAACCTCTTACACTTACTGCATGCCACAACGAATGTTGCAGTTTCTTTTATAGGCGCCGCTCAGTTCGGCGAGAAATACAAAATTAAGTAAAAATCAACAGCGACGGCGACGCAAGCAGCCGCGACAGCAGCGCCAACAGCAGCGCCAACAGCAGCAGCAGCAGCGCCAGCCAGTTGGCAAAGAGCGCATAACCATGAAGAAATTGAAATGTATAAAACGGCAACAACAACAATAACAACAAACTACAATAAACTACAACAACAAGAGTTAAAGAGCCACAGCAGCTGGCAAGTCATCTGGGTCTGGGGGAAACTGAGGCTTAAGCTGCTGCTCCTAGCTGCGACTGCGACGTCGACTGCGACTGCGACTGCGACTGAAGCAGCAGCGGCAGCGGCGCCGGCAGTGTGGTTAGCCGTCTGCTGACCGTTTCTGATTTTTGTGGTTTTCCTTTTTAATTTAAACTGATTCAATACCCTCCTAAAACTTGCCATTAAGCCAAATAATTGGCAACAGACCAGCGCATCTGTAAGCCCAACTATTAACCGAATGCTTCAGTTAACAGCCGCATTATGTTAATGCTCTTGCCTGAGCGTATATCTGAGTGGGTCAGTGTGTTAAGTAAGACAGAGGATTCTTTGCCAGATTGATGTATGTAAGTCAGAAATATATCTATACTTATATATTTCAATATTTATATATATTTAAATAATATAGAATAAAAAAATAATATATATATTACAATATTTATAATTATTTAAATAATACACAATTTGTTTCAATTTTATGAATTAAATTTATTTAAAAACTGCACTATTTTCATTTCACATTAAATAAATAAATTAACACAAAATTTGTACACATACAGTTATAATATATATGTATCATTTACGGACAGTTCAATCATTTTTCAAGTTTTTTTCTTTTTAGCGGAAAAATGTGTATCACAAAGGTAAGAAATAATAATTACATAAATGTGTGTGTGGCATCAAAACAAAAAAGATTTCCTCAATAATAAAAACTGGTTGTCTAATCAGGTCAAACTTAATAGGCGAATAATTAGAAATAATTTCAAATAATCAAATAATCGATTGTTATCGATTGCAGCACTTAGGCTATATGTATATATTTAGTACTCTTTCTCTCTCTCTCTCTCGCTCTCACTCTGCCTCTCTAAAGGGCATTTCAAATGCTGTATAAGGTTTACTTTATTTACATGTTACTTCTTGGTTTGGTTTTTGTTTGTCGTTGTTGTTGTTGTTGTTGTATTTGTTACATTATTGTTTTGATCATTTTGGAGGATCGCATCATCGTTGCCTGTTCGGATCGTGTGGCACGATTCACTTTCAATTTCATGGATGTGGATGTGGATGTGAATGATGCGGATTCACACACTGGAAAGAAGGGGCACTGGCAGAGGCACTGTGTTGCCACCGATCTGGACTCAACTGGAACTGGACTGTGCTTGGTCTTATTTCACATTTCTTCATCTCACACTCACCCACTCTGCCACACTCGCCACACTTGCCCCCCTCCCCCCACTCACACTCACACTCACTGTGCCTCTTTCGCTTTTGTTGTGTAGTTTTGTTGTGTTGTCCACAAAAGCTAATAATGAGCTTCACGGTCTTGTTGGGATACCATCACCATTACCATCACCATCACCATGTTCCCCATCTTCATTTCCATTTGTACAATTTTTTTTTCTCTTTTATTTTTATTATGGGGCCATAATGCAATAGTTGACTATGAATTTCTTTAATTTATTTTTTCTGGCTTATTCAATAATTTTGGGGTATGCCAATGACATTATTTGTTTTCTTTCCACAAGCAGAAAATAAAACAAAAATAAATATAAAATATGATTAGTCAAAAAAAAAAGTTACGTTTGTTGGATTTTTGTTGCACCCTTTTTTGGATTGTTTGTTTAATGATTTGTTTTTTCCTTTATTGGACGCTTTTCTTTGCTGTTCATGTCACGATCGGGCAATCTGATCGCTCAGCCTTAGCTTCGTTTCACAGTCGCTTTTTGTTGCTATTCCTCCCGAAGGTGTTTCTTGAGATGAGCAACATCCATAAACTGAGCGAGCTGAATCAGCGATCATTGACCACTCCTGCAATGGAGTTGCGGGAGAGGGAGTGTCTACAAATTGCTGCCGGAATTTGATTGAAACTGGCCTCGAGGACTATACCTGCAACTGGAAGTTGCAACTGGTCTTCTTGGTGCAAAATCTGCAACTGTAACCGCAAAAGGAAAAGTAAAGCGCCAACTGTCACTTTCCACAGCAGCATCATCATTTATAAAGTGCCGTCAGCCAAATGGTAAATGTTATTTGTCTATTTTTAAATGATGTTTTTTTTTTGTATCTTTTCCCATCTTTTTCACGTTTTGTTGTTGACTTTGGTGTTCAGCGCGTTGCATTTCCTCAATTTCCACATACATAGCTCATCTCTCTAAAAAAAAAAGCCCAACACCACAACATCATCATCTTCATAATGCGCTGATTGCTGCTGGTTGGCTGTCGAAAACAGGTGCAGGCTCAAGCCATAAAGTATGGAGATGATAATAAATTAAAGCGATTAAGCAACCAGTCAATATTCAAATGGAAAAATGGAATATTTTTGGAATGTTGACTTTACGCTGCGGAATTCTGCCTTCAGAATTGACATCTCGAACAGCTTAAGCACAGATCTGTAAAATGAACTTAGATATAGAGGTGGAAAGATAAACACAAATAATAGTTAATTGATGTGTAAATGGATAATAGCTGGATAAATGTTGAAGATTACTAATTGATACGTAGATAGGATAGATGTCGATATGATAAAGATGATGGTCAGATAGATGCGGGTTGATAAATGGAAACACCGATATTTATAGCTGGAAGATATAATTTTTTAATATATGTAATAAATTTGATATTTCGTGTTTAGCTGGATAAATAAATGTTGAAGATTACTAATAAATGATGGAATGATGGTAATATGGATTGATACGGACTTATTGATAAAAAGACCTATATAAATAAGTGCAAAGATTACATTTTCAATAAATCTTCATAATCTATAATAATATCTATTTGTATATATTATTCTTTATATATGATTTAAGAGTACTGTTATGTTCGACGAATATATTTATTAATTATTGAACTACTGTTATGCTGTTATGTATGTGCTACAGTTATATCAACACATGCTTCCTTATTTGCAACTATATCTGTCACACATCTATATTTATCTATGCTCTCTGTGATTATTGTGTCAAGCTCTATGATTCTGAGCTGTGCACCAAGCATGTCAAAATAAAGAAAAAGCCATATTTCATTCAAAATCTTTCTGCTTTCTCCATTACACACAACACGAGCCGTGTGTGGTGTGTGTTCGTGTGTGTGTGTGTGTGTGTGTGTGTGTTCGTGTGTGTGTGTGTGTGTGTGTATGCAGTCGAGCCATCATCATTTCCATCGACACCTTGCTGAATCTCACATACTAATTATTATTAAGTATCTTGTCGACTTTATGTAACCAAAAAAAAAAGAAAAAAACCATTTAAATAATATTTTATTTACATAAAAAACAAAAAGGAAAAAAAAAAACAATTAAAATGCGTTTACGCAAAGCTCACAAATATTTTAACGGAACTTTGAAGCAGAGCCACTTGTTAAGGTACACTGACATATATAAAGACAGGCGGACAGATTGAGTATCTGTATCTGTAACTGATGGGCTCGGCTCTGAGATACAAAAACGATTCGTTGGCCAACTGTCTCACAAATCTATATTTATTATATATATATATATATATGTGTTATATGTGTGGTGGGTGCGTTTGCTGGCAATCGCCACTTGTTAGTTTCAATTTGTCAAGAGTTGCACTTGAAGAAGAAAGTAAATTGTTGTCTTCACGAGGAGATCAACGTAAAACGTATCCACATTGCGATGTCGAGGTAGATGTAGTGTATCTGCACAGGTGATGTAAAGCTGATGTATTGCATAAGCGATATTTCCCATTTCCTTTTTTGATTTCTGTCTTCTTCTTTTTTGTGTCTTCTTGTGAAGCTATCAGCGGTTAACGATCTAATTAAGACGAGGGGAGGCCTTGCATTGAAAATGAATTTTATTGTTTTTGATCATAAGGTAATGTAACGATAAAGATAACGTAATTTAACAACAATTAAATGTACATTTGTAGTTGTAATTTTTAACGCATACGCAAACGGGGCTGCATCATGCATTGTATATATTCATATAAATAAATATATATATATATATGTGTGTGTGTATATATATATGAGTAAATATATCTTTAAGTTTAAGTATATAGCGCCATTAAATGAAAAACAGCCGACGCTGAACTTGTAACTTGTGCCGCTTTGGAGGCCAGGCCACAAATAACACAAACCAAAAAGACACCAAAAACAACAACAAGAGAAACAGTATAGTATAAAATATCGTTATGGAAGCGTCGGCATTTTAATTTGTGGTAGTTGGTAGTAATATACTCGTAATTTATATTTATTTGCCCAGCCTTGGGGGCCATTAAAACTCCAGTTTTATGCTTTCAGGGACGTGGATTACATATATTTACAATTGACGCTTCTTCATTTTTCTTTTCCACAAACAAAAAATAAACAAATTTCACACGCAACAGAAAATAGTAAATTGACCAAATGCGTAGATTATACTACAAATATATAATATCTGGGATTACAAGTAACTCACACATATGCATCATATAAGTACATACATATATCTTTCTTCTTTCTTCTTTTTTTTAAATTTTTTGTATACTTTCTTTTTATTTTTTGATTAATCGTAAAAGTTTAAAAATTATTGTTCTAATATAGGAACTGTTAAGTCCTTTTGAGTTCAGGTTGCTTGCTCATTAAAACCGTTGAGTTTTTGTTTGTTTGTTCCGGCATGTAAAACTCATTTGAAACGCAGCTCTTTGCAGGCACAAATATTGACTAGAAAATCGGGTTTGTTTTACTTAAAAATGCTTAAATGGGTTCAGCTTGTTTGTTTTTGCATTTAATTCGCTTGTGAGTAAAAATGTTTACATTAATCAGCGTTTGTTCCTATAAACTTAGGCACTGCTCATTTGAAAATTGGTTCGAACCTGACCCGTTAACCGAAATTAACCGTTTGACTTTCCGAACCGGAACTGGAAATAGGACTCCAATAGGACTTTAAGATCGAAACCTGAATTTTTAGTTTGTTTTTATAAAAGAACTCTTTTTAAATTGATTAAACTTAAAAAGAGTTAAAAGCAGTTGCATTGCAAATGAAATTTGGCATTGCTTAAGATTAAAAAGAGTTCAAGATGGAAGCCACAGCGGCTTAAAGATTAAAAGCAGTTGCGTTTCAAATGGAATTTGGCATTCCTAGTATTTTTGGGGGTCGTCACGTATGGTTTAGTGTTAGTTAATGTTTGTATTTGTGTGTGCCTTGTCTTAGTATCGCCCATAGCCGGCCTCCGTATCAAGTGCGCCCATTGCGCCCAATTTCTGGAGCCAGGCGGCGTTGGAGTTGGAGTTGCTGTTGCCAACACGCTGGGCGGTCAGCGGATTGTTGGCCTCATTGTGCAGACGCATTTGGTGTTGTTGCTGTTGTTGTTGTTGCTGTGGATCCTCATTGCTCAACTCCAAAATCTGCAAGCACAAACAAAACCAAAAACACAAGCGTTAAACTTACTTAGTTGTTGTTTGGTGTTATGGCGTTTGTTATTATTATTATTATCATTGTAGCGCAACGGTTTTTCTTCTTTTTTTTAGATTGTGAGCGGAGCTGACGAGGTTTGTTAGCTATTTCAAAAATCTGTTGAAATCTATTAGGCGTACACTCAGAAAAAAGATTGCGTTGAATTTTAAAAATCTCGGCCTTAAATAAAAATCACCATGAAAACCAGAAAATTTTTCATAAAAAAACAAAATTTCTATAAATTATTTATTTTGAAAAATGCATTTATAAAAATTTGAAATGCATACAAAAAATTTTGAAAGAAATTCTTACTGAAATTCTGTAACATCGAAAGTGATTTCAAATTCAATTATTTGAACTTATAAACTATCTAAAATGTTTGTACGAGATATAGTATGTGTGAGATATAGTCAACACGTTATCGAATATTATATATACTCCTTTGTAAACATCTGAAAAGACTGCCCGCAACTTAGATATATATTTTCTTAATTTAAAAAAAATTACCTCAAAATTAAGAAAGCGAAAACCCCTTTGCTTTAAGAATAATACTTTCTGAATAATAAGGAGAGTTACAAGTAACTCGTAAGATGCCAAAAATATGCCGAATTTGCAAAAATGCATGTCGATATTTTTTCTGAGTGTACATATTTTAACGATATATACGTGTGTGTGGGAAGCGCGAGCGGTCACAACTCTTATTTTTTTTGTTTTATGTTTTTGTTTTTTGGCGCGGATCATTAAATCGAATGAACTTTACACGTATCTGTAACGCCTGCTGCAAAAGTCGAGGGGGCCTCTGCTCTCAAAGCTGAGCTGCTGCTGTGAGCAGATGACTGAAAATGTGTTAATGGGGGGTATTGTCGTGTAATTATCAGACCTCTTTTCTTAGCCGACTTCGGCTTAGCTGCCAGCGACCCCCCGTTGCTGCCTATCAGCTCTTTTGTTTTGGCGAACGATGTGTGAACAACAACAAAAACAAAATTAAAAAAAAAACAAAAAACCAAAATTAAAAGAGAGACAAACAAGAAAAACCTAAAACAATTTCGCGCCAAGTAATTATATTATTGCTAATTTAAAAGATTGTTTTTTTCCCATCTCTCTCTTTCTCTCGTTGTCTCTTGGGTTATTAATAACGCTTTTGGGCTGCTGCAAAGATTGCAGTTGTTGGCTCGAGCTGTTGTTAAGGAAGCAACAATTTTAGCTGTTATCGCATAGCATCTGTTTAGGAGGGGTTCATCACTGCCAGCCCACCGCCACCCCATGCTGCAACAAGATGTGGCAAGCGCGTCCTCACAATTTAGACAGTTTAATTTGAGAGTTGCCGTTAAGTGCAAAGTTATGTGATTGGATAAGGGTCTCTCGGATTGTGTCGTCGTCATCTTGTTTGTATTGTTTCCATCGACTGGGGGACGAAACAATGGCAGATTCGTAAATGATGCAACAGTCTGGGGGTTGCTTGATTTTAATGGTCCCGCCACACGATTTGGCAAATAAATGCTCTTAAATATCGCACTAAACGATTATATATCAATGGCCTAGTCATATAAAAATAATCATTATTATCAGTTGTATGCCATAAAATTAACTACATGTATTGTATAGCTAAGGTCACAAACAGTGCTATAAATAAACATATAAATTTGTCCAATATTCGCTTTTGGTTAAATTTTTCAAAAATTTACCATGAAGTTTTTTTTCACTGCTATTATTATTTGGGTTTAATGTTGAGAAAAAATTCCATCAAATCATTGACGGCACAATTTTTATATATTTTTTGTTGATTTTATTATTTCGCATGTTTGACCTTAGATTTGGTTTACAAATTTTTCAAATTAATACTTTATTATGATGTGTATAAATAATTATTTTCGTTTTGGTTTTGTTTATAATGATCAGTTTATTGGCTAATAATTGTTTGGGCCTACACAAATTGATGTGCCTAATGAGCCACTTGAGTGTTTTTTCATATTACTAAATTAGATATAAATATTAGTAAATTGGGTAATTTTGTTTTGCAGAATCCAAAAACAGACACAGATATTTCAACTGGAAGCCTGTTTATTAATTTAATGATTCTCCCTCGTGGTGCACACAAAATCCTTAATCCCTGATGGCACATGAGACAAGAACAGTTTGACATTTACACTCTAAGATATATACAAACAACCACCCAAGTGCTTAACTTGAGATTTCATAACATAAATGGGACAGAGGACAGAGGACAGAGGACAGCGGACAGGCGAGAGGGAATTGTTGTTGTTGTTGTTGTTGATGCTGTTGTTTTTATTTCTCCCTTCGCTAAGTGAAGTTTTGTCACATGTCACAGGCTGAAGCTAATTAACAATAAGCTGGCGCTGTTTGGCAACTCATGATCTCAGGTTCAATGCATTATACGCTCAACTGACAAGTGGAATTCTCTACCTCTCCCTCTCTCTCTCTCTGTCCCTCTGTCTCTGTCTTTGTCTCTGTCTGTTGTTTTATTATTTTCTGCGTGACGTTGCCAAGTCAAAGTTAACCTTCGTCAGCAGCCGCAGAAGGCTCCAGCCTCAGCCTCAGCCTCAGCCGCAGCCACAGCGACGTCATCATCAGCGATTTGCTATTTGACATTTGAGTTTCCCGTCATTGCTTTTGCCACATATATTTCTTTTTTCATTTTCATTTTTATTTCTATTTTCATTTCTTTGTAGCCAATGCCCCTGGCATTGCCTTTTGTTGTTGCCCCCTGTCTATGTTGGCCAAAATATAAGGTTGTGCGCGTTTCACGTCAGCGGCTTATCGATTCGCAAAGGGCCCCGACATGACTCAGACTTGAAATTGGAATCGGAATCGGTTGCTCTCAAACTCAAAAAAAAAAAGAAAAAAGAAACAGCCTCAGAGATATATAGAGCTACATCCTGTGACTCTTGGGAGAAGAGGGAAGAGAAATGGGAGACACATAAATAACTAAACTTCATAGAAATGGAAAGAGATGGGAACGATCTGAACACAGAACACAGAGAAATGGAATGTTTTGGGTTTGATAACAGAGTAAAATTAATATATTTAAGCTGGAATGAAAATACTTCTAATTACAGACTGAAAGTCAGCACAAATCTATTAATAGACTCAAAAACAGACTAAAGTAATTGTCAGAGTCGAGAGAAACAAAATTGGGATAGAGATTGAGACACACAGTCAAACAAAAAGGAGATGCACAGAGATAAGGCCAAATATGAAAGCAAAAAGAGAGATCCCCCCCTCGAGATAGCCTCAGCCAAATAAACAGACTCAAGGACGGAACCAGCACACAGACGTTGAGACACTAGCAATCTCTGGTGGCCATCAAGGCCTCTAGAGACTACCACGTAGGTAGCAATTGTTCGGCAGAGAGTCCGGTAATTGTGCGATTGCCGTTTTATCTGATGCTACACATACTCATAATAAACTCAAGCACTTAGTTGCAATTGCAGTTGTTGCCGTTGCAAGTTGATGTTGCAGTGGGTAAACAGTTTTGCAGCTGCATCTAAAATCGAGTGGCAAAAATGGATATGAAACTGCGGCACATCCACAAACATCCATTAAATTGGCCCCCGGTTGAGCAGCATTTTTCTACAGCGGTTGCGAAAAAGAACAGGAAACTGGGCATAAAAACAAAAAAACAAAATATAATCACACGAGCAAAAAAAAAAAATCCATAAGAAGCAGAAGGCTAAAATGTGTATATAAAATTGCGCAGGTTGGCCAAAGATGAGAGCTTGGAAATCTTTGCTTGGTGATTGTAGCCGGGCAGGCTCTGCTTCTGCTTCTGCTGCTTCTGCTGCTGCTGCTGCTGCTTCTTTTGCTGGTGCTGCTGCAGACCGTTAAGATGACCAAAAAATAAAAGCAACTACAACAATAATAACGACAACAACAGCAACAACAACAAAACATCTTGCGAAATATGTAAAATATTTGTGAAACGGTTGCAGACGCACCAACAACAAGTTGATACTTGTAAGCATTGTGGTCAACAGCACTCAGTTGGAAGAGCTGGGGTTGGGGGCAGGTGTGCCTTTTGCGAGTAACCCTATCTAGACCCATTGGCCCAGGCCATTGGCTGTTGGCTGTTTGGCAATGACGTAACAAGCGGGTAACCCGCTGATGACCACCAAACCAAAACTGACCAAAACAAAAACACGTCGCAAAATAAAACCTCAATAATTGGCGACATAATTGCAACTTAATACCAAGCTTTTGCCTACCTGCCTCTCTTCGTTTAGTTAATTATATCGCAAACACCAGCAAAAAATAACAGAAATCATCGTTGGCTATATGACTGTGGGATACCCTGTAATCAATCCAAACTTATGTATTAACAAGTGACCTTTAAGTATGCCCCAAATAAAGACCATTCATATAAGCCTGTTCATTTTTGATGGGGTTGCTAAAACTTAACAGTTGAATTCTGTGTATTCTTTATAAGAACATCTATATTAAATTTGCTGCAATAAACTATTATGATTTGAACTTTCTAGCTTTTCTTAGGCATTCTAGCAGTTTCAGCAGCTTAGTATAAATATGACATTTTAAAGTCCCATTTAAGTATATTAGTAACAATAAAATAATATTAACTAAGGTAGATTTAATGAGCTTCAGGATATGCTCAAAATTGGGTATCAAACATTGGCACTTATAGTTAAATATATTAAAAGTCTCTGAGTTATGCTGATCTAGAATATCTCTACATATATCATTAATAGGGTAACCTTCTGCTAGTTTCAGAAATGTGCCTTCAAGCATTTCTCATAATGGGCACAGGGTATAAATATACGTTAAGGGCACACATTAATACATAAACAATGGCCTTTCAACAGGCTATATCCACTTACAGTGGCCAATCACAGGGGGAGAAAGAGAAAGATAAAAAGAGAAAGAGGTTGATAGAGAGGGGGAGCGAGAGAAAGGGAGACGTACCTGCAGCATCAGCTCACGCAATTTATCCAATTCGTCGCCGTGCGACCTTGTCGGCAGGTATCGGCTCTCGCAAGGCTGCAGGGGCACCACCACCAGGAGCATCATCACCACCACCACCACCGCCAGTGGCAGCGACAATTGCAGCTTGTGTGACGAAGCCCGATTCCCAATTACACTCATGGTCATTATGTGGGCGTTGTTGTTGTTGTTCTGGTTGTTGTTGTGGCTGTTGTTGTGGCTTACAGGTGCAGCGCCAAGCGGATTGTGGCTTTTCCCTGTAAATATATAGAAAAAGGACTTTGTAAGAGTTTTAAATAAGGCTTAAGGGATTTGCAGGCGTTTCAAAATGTAGTATAATTGTTGCACAGCTGCGTCACACTCTGTCGTCAGCTGAATAATATTTAAAGTGTCATAAATTGGTCGCTAAGCGTTTAAAAAATCACTGAAAATGTTGCACAGCCGCGTTATACTCAGTCATCAGTGTAATTATACATTCCAGACTCAATTGAAATGTCCCTGCGGTGCTTAAGTCATAAATTGTTGGAAACCAATCCCATATTTGAAAGGAATACAATTTTGAGCATTGCTTGACCTCTAGAATAATACTGCAATCGAAACGCAATTTTTGCTTTAAATTTATGAAGAAATTGAATTAGGGTTGTGTTCAAACTTTCCACTGCGAAAACTTTGTCAAAACTAATCCAATTTTCATTAGCTATGTGGTTTGAATGACAGTTTGACCTTTTAACAAGTTCTAAATAATAAATTTCAAACACGTAGTAAAAACTCAGCCAAAAAGAAACCACTACCAAACTTTGTGAAATCCATTATTAGATAAATTTCACATCTAAAATTAAGGACCCTAATTTGAACTGATAAAAAGGTTTTTTGCTGGCTCCAGGTCTAGAATTTTTTTATATATACTTAGATATATTAAGTATCTTAACACAAAATCCAACTTTCAAATCGTTAACTAAGCTTTTCTAATTGTGCACAAAAACAAAATAAACTAATTTTGTTTGATGGCAAAAGTGTATTAAAACGTTTTAGCCTTAATTTAATTTGAGTTAACACTTTAAATGAAAATGAATGGAATGCAGTTTTGTAATACGCCCGGACGCTGACTCACTGGCAGACGAAGAAGAAGACCAATAAAATGGAAAAAGTGTGTTTTAGTTGTAGTTGTAGTTGTTGTTTTTAGATTTGCGTCACGAGCCACACAGTTTATTATCTATTTTATTTTTCGATTTTTTTCACGCTTCTGCACGATGTGGTGAACTAGGATAACAATGTAGATTTAAGCCAAGCTGCGTGCAGACGTTTGTATTTATAGCCGAAAAAGGCGACAGCGTCTGAGATTTTAGTGGCACTTTTGGCCCTGATGACAGAATGGTGAAGCGCTGCTGTTGCCGCTGCCGCTTCTGCTGCTAGGATATTATGTCGTACACATGCGCTACACACACACACGCACACACACACACACACAGATACAAATACCGAGTGAGTTAGTTAACATGGTTCTTTGGGTATGCGACTAACATTCTCTGACCATTCGGCCCAATGCCGAATTCTTTCATCTTTTACATTTCGCATTACGCTTCGAGGACAAATGTGCGCGCGCAGAACCAGAGCCAATAACAACAATTACAACAATAACAACAACAATAACAGTGACAACAACAAGTTGAAGTGTAGCAGCAATAAGAATGCTTGACTAGGCATACCACTTAGTTTAAATAAACACATATTAAATAGATAATATGCTGACTCCACCAGTAAATTTATCTATCGATTGGTTATCTTCCATCGGAACAAGTAACTCAAGGTTATGAGCATCGTTTTTGTGTCCTGTATTTTTAGAACTTCACTTGTTTTTGCCAAGGATAATTCACCTTATTATTCGGAACCTATATTCCTTACCTTAATTTAGAAAAAATCTGGGTTTCATGGTGTTTTTGATATGAAACGTTCTATTTTTCAGGGCGATTTATTTTTTTTTGAGTCAGTTCAAGTCTCTGACTATTTTCTAGGCTCATTCTTAAGATTATTTCCTTATTTTGTACCTTTACCGAACTGTTGATTTTTGACTTGGCATATCTTCCTAAAGTATTGCTATAATATCTGTCTGGCAATGAAAGACTTCAATATTTCCGTTACAGGGTATAACAAAAAGCAAAAGCACAGCATCAGGCATATCATTGTCATGGCAGTAATATATTCTATACTATAGATATATATATGTATATATATATATATATACATACTATAATAATGTAAATGTGTACGTGTGCGATTTGACATCAGTATTGTCTGCTTGGTGGGCGTCATCCTGGCAGCCTTGCCCTACAACAGAATCGGGTGAAATGTTTTCGCTTAGCAAATCTCATGGTTTACTCTCAGCTCAATTGTTATGGTTGTTGCTGTTGCTGTTAACATTCTCGCTCTTATTCTCATTGTTGTTGTTGTTGTCGTCATGGCTGCAAGTTGTTGACATTGCCGGGCGTCAATAATGTATCTCCAGTTCACTAACTAACTGGCCAACAAAACTGTGCTCATGATGTTGCCTGGCAATGTTACCATTTGTATACCACGCACGGACTCTACAAAAGACCCTAATCCCCCCTCCTCCATCATCAGCCGTAAATTTTTGATATAGCGCAGTTTTGTGTGGCCATTGCTGTGATTGAATACGTGATATGCATCGCAAATTTTGAGAATTCCAAGGGTTTTTACGAGCAACTCTCGAAGTTAAGGAATATGCGGGATGTGCGTACGAATGAATATGTTATTTTATTTATGGATCGCATTGCCAACTAAACGCTTTATGCAACTGTAAAAAAGAAAAAAACCACACACAAAAACCCTGCACATAATAATATTTACAAATTAACTGCCAGCTCGCTTGTGGTTGAAGTTGTTTTTTTTTTTTTTTTTGGGACTTCCGAATAATTATCTTGGTTTGTTTAAGAAACAAAAGCTTTTTGCATCAAGCCGAATGAATACATGCGGAAGCTGGGCGCTAGCCAAATAAAAGCTCACTGCTATGGCACGCGGCTGAAGCATGCCAAAATACGAGCTAACGGTAGTTTAGCTTTGAACAGCGCCAATTTTTGTGGTTTGTGTCCTGGTTAATCTGATTTTCGGTGTGAATATTTAAATAAATTAATTGATATTTAAAGATATGATTCTCAGAAGTACATATATACAATATAAGTATATAGTATTTACGATTTAAACTGTGCAAATATATGTTACACGCAAAGGGAGCATCTCTGACCATATAGAGTATACAATTGGTCATCTAGAGCCTGGTCGATTTAGTCATCCTGTTCCCAAAGGCTATCACAACTAGAGATACGAAATATAAGTTTTCGTATAACAAAAGCAGATTAAGTCTATTATTCCGTTTTCCTAATATCGATACAAATCGATTTTCAATAGAAATAATTTCCATAAAATTAATAAACTGCATTAATTTAAACGAGTTTGGCCAGGAAGACAAAATCTTTTCCATTGCAATGGAAAAATGCAAAACAATGCTAAATTGTGGGAAATGCAACCTGATGTATTCAACACAACAATAATTATTGTATTTTCAACCGTAATATAGCAATTAAGTTGAGATCTGGCTGAGTTTCTATCCAAATGAAATTCAAAACAATTTGCTTTTGCATATTTTTATTCAATTTATTCACTTTAATCGCTTGACATTTACAATTACATTTACAATACAACAACAGAATGAAGGTTGACAATTTGGAAGTATACGATTATTAACGATATGTGTGTGTGTGTATGTGTGCGTTTAGATGGGATATGGCTGGTAAAAAAAGGTGTTTAACTTAAGATTTTCGCTTAACTAGAGGGAGTAACTACTACGAGTAACTTAATGGTTAGGGCTACTTAAGAACAACTAAAATACATTCAGTGGCATTCTACAAAACATCATTTTTTTGTTGTTATTTTTTTGCTAGTTATGCTTAGGGATTGCATCTGCAAACACAGCATGAAGGAAACAGGAACCAATCCATAAAAATGCCCTTGCAATCGTTATCAGGATCGTAGGCCAGCAATCGATGCCATTTGTATTTCTGCTCACAGCCGCATTCGCCCTCGCAGCGCGATGTCTGTGTATTGCTATGGAACGAGAACAAACACATTAGCTAAATAATATTTGTATATATATTGATATATTGATGCCTCACCTGCACACCTCCTGATGTATGGCCTGCTCAAAGTGCTGTGTATTCACTATGGCCCGTATTTTGCCCGCCGAATTCGAGGCCCAATAGGGTGTTACAATTTCGATTTTCGATTCGCATGCATCGAGTCGCCCTGTGCCCGATTCGCCATGTGCTCGCGAGTTGCCCGGCAAATTGTTGCCTCTACTACTGCCACCAGCTCCTGCACCACCTCCCGAGGCGCCTCTGTTCCGATTACTAGATCCACCCGCTGCCGCCTGTCTCTTTTTGCGCAACTCGCCGAAATAACTGTCACCCGCCTCGCCCGCCGTTGCAGCATAGGCGCCGGGCGGTATAAATATGTCCGGCTCGTCTATAAAGCGTCGCTTGCGCACCTTTGCCTGTCCACCGCCTCCTCCAGGTCCAGCACCACCTCCGCCACCACCCTCCATGTTCATCTCAAAGTCACCGTACATGCGACGCATCAGCGCCTTGTTATCGTCAATGAAACGCTCGATTTTTTCGCTATGGGAGAAGAGCAGAGATTTGTTTTTGAAGTTAACTGAGAAATATCAGAAATATATAATATAATGTGAATAATCTCATAAGGTTCTCGAAATATAGCCGTAAAAGGGGATGAGTGGCGTAGAAATGTTCTTCAGCCAACTATTTTTAAACGGTGTTCTCATTGGGGTTTTTCTAGACTGGGCAATTTAGACTTGTGCATTCATTAATCAAAGTCCGCCTTTTGTTACTAATGTGACGAAAAACGTATTGGCAACATTTTCCCAACTAGATAAGTGCTTACTTACAATTTTCTTTATTGAACAATAAAAGCTATTGTTGTATTTGATTTTACCATTAAACAATTATTTTCTGGCAACGGAATTTAGTTATCCTTGGAATAATCAAAAATGAAATACACGTGTGAAGTGCTAAGCTTAAACTTTTGAACTATAATTATTAGCACAGCATTTTCAAATGACAAATACACTTGAGTTAATTATTAATTGCAGTTTTGAGTATATGAATCATATTTTTTTATTGAAATATTTCCACAAATATGCATTCAGTTGAGTTTATGATTAGTTATTTTAGTTATTTTCAGTAAATGAATCATATTTTTTTTTAAATAAAAAGCCACAAATAATTCATGAAATACCACAAATTATTTTCCAGTTAATTTTTTATGCTGAGTTTCTAAGAGTTCAAATCGATATTAGCATATTTTTAGCATACTCACATGGGATAACTATTGCCGGCCGTTGGGCAGAATAGCTGATGATATCGCTTGATGCAGGGCACGCCCTTAATCACATCACCACGGACATCCAGACCGAGCGCCACCGAGAGCGCTGTCCACCAGATCTAGAGGGAGAGCACAGAAGATAATTGGCATTAGCATTGGAGGCGTGATGGGGGGGAGGGGTCATCATAACAATTAATAGCCGGGTGTGAAAATGACTCAAGTTAACAACATAAAGATTTCATTTCATTTCATTTCATTCGATATCATCGCATTCGCATCGCAACTCTTGCACAGCAGCATTCTACACTTGCCACTCCCCCCGGCCCCCGTCGTATCTCTTAGAGTATTTCAGCATCTGTTGGTATGTGTGGATTTGAGTTGGCATGATTATCATCACACCTCTTAACGAAACGAACTCGCACGACCTTCGTGCGCCAAAAAACAACATGAAGAGAGACACACACTCACACACACACTCACACACACACACGCAGAGATCGTCAAAGTTATTTCCGCAAATGAGCAAACTCGATCGATATACTTACTTATATTCTCCAATAGCAGTAAAATAAACACGCGCATGTCCATTGGATGGTTAAGGGGGTAGGGGGTTGCTTGTACTTACCGGAATCTGCAAGAATGAGCCATTATTTGATTTTGGATAGGAAAACAACGGCACTACGGGCACACTGCCATTCTTCAGATAGATGGGACCCTGTATGGGCGTCACAGTGGGCATCGGACTTTTATTGCTCGGTTTGTCTGTGAATGTTAAAAAAAAATTAAAAAAAAAAACAATTGGAGCTGCAGTGAGTCACGACATTGGCAAGGACAAGAGGCGAACGCCGTTTTGACTTATCAGCATTAATCAGTGGATCAGTTTGGGTTAAACCTCAAAAAAAAAAGAAGAAACAGAAACTGAAACTGAAATGTTAAAGAGTGTAAATAATTGCAATGCATGCCATACACAAATCGAACTGCAGTTGACATATAAATTATATGAAATGCATAAAACACATGCTTGGCATTTGTAATGCAAGCCAGTCTCGCTGTAGTCCCCTTACCCCTCTCTTAGCCGGATCTTGATTAAACGTGCAACAGTTGAGCTGCTGAACTTTCCCTTTCCCTTTTCATGCGTTTAGTTTTGGGGAAAGGATTTTTTTCTTGCACTTAAATGCGCATAGAATTTAAGTTTCGTTGAGTTGGTGTTTTCTTCTTCTTGTTTTTGTTGATGTTGCTCTGTTTTTTACGTGTACTTCGCAACTGTTGCCGTTACATTACAAGTTGGACTCGTTTTTTTTTCAGGTAGCTCACGTCTTGAAGTCTTCTCACATGCGCAAAAGGTGAAACCAACAAGATCTTGAACAATGCGACTATATACAAGTGCAAATATGTACTTGATATATATCTACATATATGTATGTTAGTGTGTGTGTGTGTGTGTGTGCTCTCGCGTGTGCACGTCTTCGGCGGCATTTAAGACAAGTTGAGAGCCCGTTTGTTGAATGGGGCCCGACTTCTTGCATAATGCCGCAGACTACATAAATACAGATATGCATATATATACATATATATATTATATATCTGTGGCAACACACATTCCCGTCTGTACAGCCAGGCACTTGAGCTTGATGCCCAACCTGCCAGCTTGCCACAATTGAGAGATGAGTTGGAAAAAAAAGAAGGCGCCCCAAAACAAAAAAAATGAAGTGAATTATCAAATGCGCTGACAGTTGATTTTTTGTAGTAACTGTCGCTAACTCTATTAACTGTGTTGCTGTTATTGTTATTGTTGTTATTGTTATATAGCTGTAGCTGGCTCTATAACAACTGATACATAAATCGTGGTGCGTGTTAGTCAGCGACAACAGCTATAAAAGTCAAAATCACTCTGTGGCCATTACTGTCCGAAAAAAAAAAACAAAATAAAAAGCGACCTTGTCGAGTCGGTTTGTAGACCTTTGACCTTGCTCCGTCTACTTGTGGTAGTTGTATTTATGCCTGCTGCTTCTTCTTCGTGTGTTGTTGTTACTATTATTGTTGTTGTCTAACAGCAAAGTGCAGAAGTTGCTCTCAATTGGAAAGATACACAATAGCAACAAGCAAACACGTTGAAGTAGCAAATAAACGGAAAAAAACAGACAACAACAACAACAACCATTAACATGATTGCAGACGTGGTTTATATTTAATGTTAGCTGATATTGAACAGCAGAAAGCAATTTGTGAAAATATATATATCACATCATTTGGCAATTATGCATGCATCTTTAATCGTATTTCCTGATTGTGTCTTTTGAAGTTCTATGCTCAACGTGAATAAGTTTCAGTCCTGTTTTTCAGTAGAGGGGATTTATTTTTATTTTATGTGTATATTTATACTTTGAGTAATTTGTTCTGATTTGACGTGCTCATTAGGATTATACAATTTGTAATTTGTGCGAATATTTTAATAAATTATTCTCTTTTGTTTTTTTTGTCCACATAAATAACTTGCTCAATGCGCGAACTAATCCGTAAATAGTTGTCGTCTAATGAAACAGTTTTTTCATAACAATTAAATTTTAATTTAGAAATGTTAAAATATAGCCTTTAATTTTTCAATTTATCAGCTTAAATTTATATTAAACTAAAAATGCTCATGAGACAAATAAGAGTAAAAAATGTTAAATGCGTTTTAAATTATATTTTGAGCATTTTTGAATAGAATTTTTTCAGTATTTTACGCACCTTTATCTTGCCCCTCGGCATCGTAGTATTCGCCATCATCATTCTCGTCCTCCTCTTCGCCCTCCTCCACATCGTAGTCGAGGACAGCATGCACCTGAGTCCTGGAACCCTGCCCGGCCTGGACACGCGTAAATCCAGGCGCACGTTCCGGATAATTATCGGGCAACGGTGCAACGCCATAGGTGCTGGCTGGTGTCTCCGTCTTCCTGCCACGTTGAGCCTGACCCTGAGCCTGATTCTGAGTCTGGCCCTTGGGTGGATGTGGTGGTTGGTGTGGTTGCTGTTGTGGTGGGGGTGGTGGTTGTGGTTGGGACTGGGGTTGGGGTGCTGACGGCTGCTGCTGCCTGCTGCCAAAACCGGTAATACTAAAACTGCCGCTGTTCTTGCTAAATGTGGCACTGGCACTGGCCGCCCCATGGACATTATAGTATTGCTTTTGTCCGGTCGATTGTCCAGCCGGAAAACGCGTGTAGGAACCCTCGGCGGGACCACGACCAGCCGATTGTGTTAGCTGCAACGAGCTCTGACTTTGTGCAACGCTGCTCGAGCTCTGAAACGAGACACTATTCTCATTTGTGTCCGTTTGTTGCTGCTGCTGCTGCTGCTGTTGTTGTTGCTGCTGCTGTATGTGGTAGACAGAGTTGCGTGCGGCGCCAGTGGGTGGCAAGTAAGCGGTGCCCTGTTTGCGCCTATACGGATAACCCGACTGCTGTGGCGTCTCCTGCTGCTGCTGTTGCTGTTGCTGTTGCTGATGATGCAATGTGGGCGTGCCATAGGGATTATTTTTGAAATGATCCTGACCGGGCAACGACTGATGCGGCTGCTGCTGCTGATGATCCGCCGGCGAGTAGAGCAGATTATTTGTATTGCTCGCCAGCTGATGGATCGGATGCAGTGGCGCCAGTGTGACGCCCCAGGGCTGAGCCAGGGCACCAAATGGCAGCGAGAAATTGGCCAGTGCCATGTGTATGTAATGCTAAACTTGCGAATTACGTCAAAAAATTGTCTAATTGAAAGATCTGCTTTTTTTCTTCTTTGCTGTTCTTCGTCACTGCATGATACGAATGACTTAGGCAACGAACTTGCGAGTTAACCTACATATCATAAAAAAAACACAACTAGAACCAGAAAAGCGCGCGCGCTTTAAGGTGATTTATGCAAAAGCAAATTTAATACCCTAACCCCCTCAAGACTATAGCACACACACACACACACACTGTATAAACAAACACAAACACACACACGTAGTCAAGTTATGTATTATATATATATATAGATATATGTGCAAATGTCGTGGTTGTTGTTGTTGCGATTAAGGTGCTAGTGTATGTTGTGTTGTGTTAATAACTTGCGCGTCTGATTTTTTTAATATTTTTTTTGCTGGGCACACTCGCTTAACACACACTCAGCACACACAACAGAGCGCGACTCTTGTGCTAAAATACCATTCACGACAAGCTGACAATCGAGACTGAGCCGAGAACGGCGTGCGCCTTTAAAAAACTTAATGGGAAAAATATATTTCCAACCAGCCGCAATACTCAAAATACAAAAAAAAATATATACAAATACAATCGACTTTAAAAACAGTTGCTCCAAGCTGCTCAAAAGAGTGAGTCCGCACTCAGCAACGTTCGTTTTTTTTCTTCTTTTTTTTGAATGGCAAATCGAAAAATAAAACAAAACCGGAAAAATATGCAAAGACAAATCAACGAACTGTGTTTGCTCTAACATATGATAAATCAATTATTCTTAAAGTGAATTGACAAATAAAGTTATCTCATTCTCATCGATATCAGTCCTTAATGTTTTTCGGAAATATATTTGACGTGCTTCCTTGATAAAAGTTTGGTATTGTGCACTTCGATTTTTCAACTTTAAAACTTAATAATACATTTATTCCATCAAATTTGAGATCAGAAGTATTTAAGAAAATAATAAACTTGTAAAATATTTATTGTAGATATGTTTAAGGCTGAGAGTTTTTAACTGCACTAGTTTCTTGCCAAATACTTTTCAATTGAAAGTTAAAACCTAAAAAAAATGGAAATAATTTTATTACTGTGGAATTTGCGTTACTTCAACTAAACCCTGGCTTAATTGATAGGAATTTGAAAGTATTGGGCATAGTGGGAGTTTTTTGATGATTTGTGACCTAGGCCAATGCTTGGGTCGACTCGATGCTTCACGTTTTGTGTCGATTTGGCGACTCGTTTGTTTCATTTTCGAAAAGCGCATATTAATCACCAAACAAAATCGTCGCCGTCGTCTTGAAGGCAATGAAAAGCAAAAGTATTTTTAAAGTGGGCTTTAAAAAAAAACAGGTTGTGAAGAGCCAAAGAGTAACACTTGCTTAAGAGAGAGGGAGAGAGAGAGTAAAGTCAACATTCTCTCGCTCTCTCTCTATGTGTCTCTCTATAGATCTTGAGCTCTTTCGCTCTCTTGAGAAAATTGTTTCTAATATCTGAGTTCTTTAGAGGGGGTTGCAGGTGTTTTTTCTTTCCAACTATGTCGCTGTAATGCCGAGTGCATTTGGCGATGAGCTGGCAACCATGATAATGATGATAATGATAGTGATGATGATGAGTTCTCACTCCTAGCCAGCTCAGATTGCGTATTCATGCCGACGTCACATCAGCACTTTGCATATCAACACCTCGGAACTGGAGCAGCTCTCTCGAATCCAATGCGATCGATCAGCTTCTGCTCTCCACTCAGCTATGAGGTATGAACTTCGAGCTATGAGCTACTAGCTGGTCACAAATCAAGACAACTTGTCAGTCAGTCAGTCAGCTAGTTTACGGAAACGGATGCAGCAGCTGACGTGCCCCATGATCTTATCTTTCACATGAATGTGTCAGGGAATTCCGCCCTAATGAGGCCCAAGCTCCTGTTTACCCATTTGGCACGAGTCTTATGTGATTCACAATATTTATTATTGATTTATTCAAGTCGCAAATATCTATAATTAATGTGAATTACTTTATGGAATGTTGGAACTTTATACTTAAAAAATTGATTCGAGATAATTCATTACAGAATAAACCATCTACGAAAATATTCTGCACTTATGATTTATGATTGTCTATTTACTTTCAATTCCTTTTGCTCTTAAATAAAGAATATATTTATGTATTTAGATTGTTACAAAATACAATCTATAGTTTTTATTGTTAAGAATTTAGATTCCGCATAATTTATGTTGCATTCTCTGCAGCGCTACGGCTTGGAATGTTTGAACTTTTACTTTCGAATGGATTCAAACTAATCTTTAGTATGTGTGAATTAAAGACAAGATACCCATATGCAAATGAGTACACCTAAACTGTAGCACATGGGTTGGCCAGCTGCCCAGTTGACCGAGAGCTGACCACGCCATGGCCGTGGCTACGGCTAAATGGCTATGGACATGGCTAAAGGCAGGCTGTTTTGTTTTATGACGGACAACGCTGACCAAGCCCAACAAATATCGCACATTTGTTGCAACCAGGGTTGGTCTAATACAATTACGAACATACGTAAATAAATACCTTCGATATACAAGTGGGAGTGCTTCTGTGTGTTATTCGTCCGCTCGTTAAGAATATGACATTCAAATTGGCACAATGGGAAAATTTTACAATTGACAATTATTTTTTAAGCGCCACTTAATATAAAATGAAATAGTTTTAGATATTTTATGATAAGACAAATATGCCTTTGTCAATTTGTCATCCTGACTAAATATATATATATATATATAATTATGAACTTAATGGACCGCTTGCCGAAATCCACAGACAATGGAGTATTTTTAGTTATTATCCATATCAATCATTCGCTAATGTTTATACATCTAAACAAGTGGTAAATATTTGCCAGCCCTTCAAAATTGATTGGCAATGCACAGATCTATAAACAGATATACTTGTGTATATAATATGTATATGTATATGTATGCATTATGAATTGTTATAAATTAGAGCCAAAGCTAGAACTTGTTTCCTTAGAGTAATCGCACAAATAGTTTACCCCAGCAACAATAGAGTGACAAAAGACAAGCGCCAGTTTGTTTAAATTGCCTTTCCCTTTTTTTCTGTTTTTTAATCGTTTTTTATGCTTGAAACACTTCTTGGGTTCAACTGCTCAACTTATCTCAGCCACTCGACAATCAATGAGAGCGGACAAATTGAAAAAATCTACAAAAAATGACATATTCTGCTAGCGCCTGACGCGATTTTTGGTCACCCTCAGGCTTATTTTTTTTACTCACTGAGATCGACGAACAAAAACGTCGCCTGTCAAAAAATTAAATACAAGTATAACAATAAAGCCGCCTGCCTTATCGAAATTTGTGTGCTCTCGAGCATTTTGGCCTTAAGTCGTTAACAACAATTTTAACTGACAATCTTTTGTGCAGTCACAATCAAATAAAACGCCAAACATCAAGTGTTTAATGTCGATTCAAATTCAATTCCTATACCTAAACCAAATCCCGAACCCCGAGACGAATGCCACCAAAATATTTGTATGTATGAATGTGGAGGCAACCAATACTCTACCTATGATCAGGCGATCATATATATATATATGTAGTCGTTGATCGATTCGATCAGCATAAAATACAACAATACAACAATAACAGCAATAACAATACAAGAAAAAAATCGCTTTAATTAGAACCAATTTAAAGCGTGGACCAATTTATCAGAAGCATTTTTGAAAAGTAGTTGAAAACCAGTTGAGATCAACTTCAGCGCCATGTGCACACCTCTCGAGGGAGACGGCGGGGTATGGATTGGGGCGTGGCTGTTTTACGGGTATGTGCTTGACCGGAGCTCTATATATATATGTACACAGATATTCACTATAACTCAAAACCATTGCCATTATAACTTATTCGAACTGAACTGACATTACCATTTACGCATTTATTTTTCTTTGTCAATTGTCTGCGGCTGTGATATGGTTTATGGTTTATGGTTTATTATGCGAGTTGTGGAAACCCCAACACCAGGTTCAAGTGCACATACCACAATAGTGTTTGCTACATAAACGCTTATTTATTGTTTTTTTTGTTGCTACATCTGGTTGCGAGTATCGTTTCAGAAGTAACTAGAACATTATTTGCTTCCTCATTGGTTGTGTCTTTAAAAATGAAATTGCTTGGAATATGTGTGAAGTGCATTTGTTCTATCAAATAACCGATAATAAATTAATAATAATTAACTCTTTCTCACTCCCCCACTCGCCTTATTATTGAGCTTCAGCAAACTTTTTAAGTAGCCCTCGTTAACTGTAGCCGCCGCCCAACACTTTCCGCTTTACATAAGACACCTGGAAACGAGTTAATTATTTTGCTTCTTGGCAAACAAAAAGTTGACTCAAAAAAAGAATAAATAAATAAAAACCGCCAAAAAAATTTTCCAATCATTAATTACCTTTCCATTTCTGGGTATGTTACCTTGTTCTGGGATTACGAACTGAATTTTATTGCCAGCTGAGAGCCAAGCAGCAATCAGCACTGGCCAGCGAGCACTACATACATAATACAAGAGAATGGTTGTCTAATTGGTAACTTAATACCTATCATATTTTGTTTTACTGGGCACACCCGGCCCAGCCTGGCCATTGCTCACCAGACTTTGGTTCTGGTTCTGGCTCGGATTGTGACTGTGACTGTGGCTGTGACTATGGCTGTGACTGTGGCTGTGTGTTGAGTGTGCCACAGTGTAAACCTCATAATCGCTGATCGCAAAGTTGTAGTCGCCAAAGAGCGTTAGATGTGCGGCACTGGGTCCATCATAGGAGTGCGGCAAATTCGAGTAGGAGTCCGTGTTCACATTACAATTGCTCGATATGAGCAGGTCGGCGCCGGCACCAAATATGGGACCACAACTGTGAAATATGTTAAATGATTAGATGATTTCTTCATTTGGTGTTGCGTTGCGTATTTCCGTTCAGAATTAAATGGGTTATTCAACTGGTTAGCAATTTTTCAGGTAATTTTTTAATAATGAATGAGAAATAATAGTTGATTGCCATGTTTAGCGTAGATTCTAAATATGAATTTTAAATATTGTGTTTTCAAATAGAAAATAATTATTAATATAGAGCTCAAGTCATGAACTTCTTTGAAAATTGGTTTAGTTTTGGCAAAGTTTTAAGGGTGTATCATTTACCAACGATCTTTTTCATCAATTTGAACTATAATACGCAACTGTAATTGAGAGCCACTTACTCAGGATGGTAGCAGATGGCATAGGGTTTCTTCACAATATCAAATTTGACGGGCTGCTCGCCGTTGGGTGGATTCAGCATAAAGAGAAATGCGCGTTCCGAATGCAAATAGCCACCCTTGCGACTGCTCTTGGCCCAGGCGACATCCGTGTAGCCGCCACTGATCTCGCCATGGGCACCCAAGCCAATGACCATGCAGGGGGCGACGCCATCGCAGTAGCGATGAAAGGAACTCGAACCGTAGCCATGCGTCGAGGCGCGAAACACCAGACGCCAACTCTGCTTGGGTGCTCCCAGCCAGCCATTGAGGACGCCCTGCAGCGAGAGCTTATCGTTTCGCAATATTTGCGAGCCGGGAAACATGTTGACGGCGAGACGCGGCTGCAGTCGTTTATCGTTGTCCACAAGCTTATTGGGATGCAAGGCGGCGTAACGATAACGTTCCAATGACAACTCCATAGGCACGGCGCCTGTTGGTTCGACCTCCTCGGCAAACACCTGACTATCGATGAGCAGCAGACGCACATGGCCCATCACGCCGCTCAGATGCTGACAGACGCGAGCACGCTCCTCCTCGGTCCAGTGAGCTGTCGGCTGTGTGACGCCCGCCTGATATTTGGCCCAGGCTAACACACAACGCCACACCTCCTCCTCCTCCAAGCAGAACTGGAATACCGCAATAAGAATCAAGTCAGAATATAGAATAGTGAAATACCTTTGCAAATAAGATAGCTAAAGATGGGTTTACAGACTATAGAATTGTTAGAGCTTTACTCACATAGTCCGAGGAAATGATTTTGATGAGCGCCTCCTTTGTGAGCGTGAGAAATGAATTAGTTTTCACGCACTCGCCGGCATTCTCTCCAATGTAGATGATGCAGCGTTCCATAAACGAAGCGGCGCACTTGGCACCTGCAAGATAAAAATTACAAATGCAATTAGCAAATATAAATTAATGAATTAATTCACCTAATTGTGCCCATTAAAAAGTCGCTCGTTTCGTAAAAAATTCTCTCATTTTATTGTGCAGCAGTTTTCCAGCTTACAATTAATTCACTTATTTGTTATTATTTAGTACTAGAATGGTGACGACGTTTTAAGCTTATTCCTTGCTGGGATTGACGTTCTGTATGAGCGTTATGTTATCGCCCTTGAGCATGATGCGACCAAGATTCTTGCGCTGGCGCGTCTTCACATAGACCTCCTCGGCATCGTCGAGCACCAGGTTCATGTACTCATCGAAGCCAACAATGTGGCCCTCGATGCGCAGCGAAATGTTCTCGTAGAGCCACACTTGGACACGCGATCGACTCTGCAGGTAACGGAAGATCAGGTTGATGGGCTGCACCATCACCTTTTGCACCTTGGGGTTGCCCTTAAACGACATTTTGTCGATTTGTTATGGAATTTCGCCAAAAATGTGTTTGCCCAAAAACGTTTGCGTTTTTTCTTCTTCTCAATTGCCGGCGTCTTTTCGGTGGGAAAAAAGAGTATTTTGCTATCGATACTAATGACACAGAAAATTAAGTCACATCGAATGTCCGATAACAATGTAAACGGATATCGATAGTTGGTTGTAGGCCGGTTGCGTCAGAAGGTCGTCGTTTGGAAAGTTTGCGAGTTTGCAAGTCCAAAAACAAAACAAAAACATGGCTCACGTTGACAAGAGTGAAATTATGGACCAGGTGAAGCAACAGATTGCCGTTGCAAATGCCCAAGAGCTGCTCTCACAAATGTCCACAAAATGCTTCGCGAAATGCATCAACAAACCAGGCACTTCCCTTGACGGATCTGAACAGGTAACCAAATACAACCACCTGTCTAATCAATTGTGCATGATTATTGAATGAAATGTTTCTCGTGCTGTGTTAGAAATGCATTTCCCTGTGTATGGATCGCTTTATGGATTCGTGGAATCTTATCGCCCGGGCTTATGGTCAGAGGTTACAACGTGAGCAATCGAAAAATTGAGCAGCGTGTGCGGCGCTAAATGAGGCCAACAGCTGCATCATCAACTACTCCTTGTTGATAGTTTGTTCCACTTAGTTATATTCGTTGTTGAAAATGATATGCGTAATAAACAAAAGTTTCATACATCTTTTTCCCATTTTGCCTAACAAATAAAACGTGTGAAAGCGATACTTTCAAAAACATCGAGACTAGCATCGATAGTTTGGTATTTTTATAAAAAGCAACGTTGATCTTGCTAATATCGAAAGTGCCAATCAGCTGTTCAGGCAACGTGTTCAACTGAATGGCAAATTAATTGAAAATGAAAATCGGCAGAGCGCGCTAAAATCATATATATAAAGCTCGTAAATATAAAAAATTGAAAGTAACGCACCAGCTTTTTCGTGTATATCCATAACGGCTGTTAGAAATGTGCACGCATTATCCACAGAGAGTGTGGAAATGACGTGATCCTCACAAGCAGCTCTCAACTCAAATACACCCATATCTTGGGCCAAAGTTAACATCTCAAAGACGCGATAATCTTGCAGCATAAGCTGCATAGGAAGAAATCTGTTAACAATATGTTACAATTGTACAATTTATAACCAACCTTTGCTGTATAAACATATAGGATAAACTGTCGAAAGAGTTCAGCATTAATATGCGGCAATCGTATAGCAGTCGGCGTTCCAGTTCCAGGTGCTGCCGGCGACACTGTGCAGCCGGGAATGGGAATGCGACAGACCTCACCCCTCTTGGCCGTCTTGAAGCTCTTGCAGCTAGAATTAAACGAGTTATTTTGTTAATTAAGTGATTAAATCAATGCAACCATGGCCCCCGACTGATTGACTCTGTCACAAATGCCGACGCGCGGTTGCACTTGACATAAAAGGACAAATCCAATCGGGTTGGAATGTGTGCGTGCTGGATATTTTCAATACTTTTCAATAAACTAACTGGAAAAGGCACGATTGAAAAGTGAAAACATATTTATTATAAAAACTAATACGTTTTGGTTAGTTAGTCATAAACGTATAACAATTTTATTTTAAATGCTATTAAGCGATTTGTATTTATTATACATTTTAAAGTATTTTCCCCAATAACTTGAATGCATGTTAAATAACAATATAAATTTATCTTTTGATTTGAAGTCGTGCTTGTTCATGTCACGAGAGTATAAATACCCACGCGGCTAGCTTTATTTCTGTGTGTAATTTTGTTAACTAACCGCGCCATAAGAATGCTTCGATGTGCATAGATTTTCTCATCGTCGCGTCCGCATATGAAGACGACATCGGCGCTATCCTGATCCTCGCACAGCCGCTGCAAATCCTCAATTAGCTGTGGGAGGCCAGCGAGCGCCGGATCGCTGTGTGGAGAACGAGCGCTCATTGCCAGAGTACGGAATAACTGTTACTTTTTCTTTATTTTCTTTTGTTTTTTGTTTTTGTGGACGCCGAGTGCAAATATTTTGCTCTGTTTTTGTTTATGTTTGCACTTCCACGTTCCGTTTGGCAGTTCTTTGTATTTTTTGGAGCGTAGCCAAAGAGAGCGCGAGAACCGGTTTGAGGCCAAGAAATACACACACACATACAAACAGACGCTAGAAAACCCACGCCACGAACTAAAATCGAGTCTGAAAAACAATTAGCCTGCTATTTGTGCGTTGATTTATTTGGCAACAACGTTCAAAATACAAACGATCCGTTTATTAAAAATAATTATAATTATGTGCACTTATCAGCAGCTTAATTTAAGTTCGATTCACTTGTTTGTTAAAGAACTTTTAATTGGTGCGCACGCGTCGCTTTGAGCGAATATCTCGCAGACCGCGTTGTTGCTGAGACTGAAGAGGAAGCTGCACTGACGTGACTGAGACGAACGCTGTTCACTTTTGTTTGACTAACTAAGCCCTCTTTTTTTTACCACATTCTCCAGTGTCCGTATGCTTTCTCTTCGGTCTGTGCAAGAGAGGCGGAGAGAGAAAGAAAGAGAGCAGAGAGAGGATTGCGCAACAGGCTACCAACAGGTAAGATTGATTGATTGATTTTTATACTCTTGCAGCGAATATCACAATTTTGTGGTGAAGGAGACTTCTCAGATCCCATAAGGTGTATGTGCCCAGGAATATATAATACTAACATTTACAGATACAAAAATATAAACTCAATAATAAAACAATTCATATACTTTAAGAATGACTCGGATCAACTTTAGATATTTTATGCAAGTCATCAAAACGATACTTTCAGGACGAATGAAATTTTCTACAAGTTCTACTCCACATAAATAGCATACTTTTAGACTATAATTAAAATCACAAGAGAAGTGCATATTAATTAACAAAAATTTTTAAAGCACTTATATAGGCTGAACTGTTAATGATTTCGTTCGCGAAATTCAAAAGGTGTAAAGCATACTTTTAGGGCGAAAAATAATTTAGCGAAGTTTTGCACCAGTTAACTTCCTAGCAATGCAACACAAGCAATGCATAAACTGTTCACAGTAAAGTATTCCAGCTTCTCAGCGGAGTTTCGCACCTATTCTCTCTCAGCAAGCCTTGCATAGTAAGCAAATCAAAGGTTTTGACGCGTTTTGTAAGCGTTTTTCACTCGATTTTACTTGTACCAAAAAGGCTCAAGCTCGGCAAAATCCTTGCAGATTTTCAAAGGATATGGTGCGTTAGAATTTTTAAGATCAACTCTATTGCATTCATGCTGTCATCTAGGAATAGGTCCAAAAACACGAATTTCTGGATTTCTCTAAAACTGTCAGCTATAAAATTTCCTTTTCGGATCCATATAAGCACACAAAAATTTCTTTTTTTGTATTTGTTTTTCAAATTTTTATTATGCATAATATTTACCGTTTGTTGTTTTTTTTTTGAGTTTTTATATTTTGTCTTGACTTTACATATGTAATAATTTGTTTCGTTTGTTGTGATTTATTTTAATTATTATTTTTTTTTGTTTTTTGTTTTATTTTATTTGTTTCTGCACTACTTAAATATGAAACTTTGAAGTCAAATTTTTGTTGCTCTTTTCTAACTGTTTAATTTGATTAAACTTTTATAATCGCGTTTTGTGGCTGCCTCCGCTTAACGTCAATCGTCCTTTTTGTTTTTGTTTTTTTGTTGTTGCTCCACAATTTGTACATTTTATTTGCATTCTGAATGTCACAATAAATAAATAAATAATAGTACGTAATAATAATAATATGTTATAGTATTTGACAAGACGCGGATTTCTCTGTGTGTGTTTGTTTTTTGTTTTATATATGTGTATATGTCTGTATGCTTATTTTTTAATAACTAATGCCTTTAATTTTTGTTCTTCTTGGTGTTGTTTGTTGCTTAGCCTTTGCATATTGAATTCTCAATAAAATTGTAACAATATCAAAGGTTTCCTTTTCCTTTCATTTTTTTTTTATAAGCAGCTATTCATTTTACGTTTTTTTTTTTGTTTTTGTTTTGTTTTTCAAACAGGGCAAAGTTCTTAGGCGGTTTTGTAAAATTTGATTATATATTTGTTTTATTAAAATGATTGTTGTTTTTGTTGTTGTTGTACATACATATATATATTTATATATATATATATATCTTCTTTGGGTTATTAGCAAAAAATTATACAAAAACTGCAAAATTTCTGTTCTTTCTTCTTGTTTATTTTCATTTTTGTTTTGTTTTTAATTTGGTAATTTGTAAAATTTGGCCGTTAATATAAAAATTGCTGAAAACCGTTTTGATTAACCTTCATGTTTTTTGTTGTTTCATGTTGTTTTCGCTCTATAAAGATGGATTTTTTGGGGGGAGAGGACGGGGGAAGTTCTTGTAAAATGAAACTCAAAATCGAAACACGAAATAATTAAATGTACAATAATGTGTATGTTGTTTTGTATTCTTTTTATTTTTATTTTTAATTTTTATTTACTTTTGCATAGCAATTTGTAATTCAGTTGTTTTTTTGTTTTCTCTTGTTTTCTTTTTTCGCATATAATTTAAATAACTTTTCTTCTTTTTTTTTTTAATTTTCATAACAATTATTTATGTTTTGTTGCTTAATTTCTCACAATTTAAGGTGTTAATCTTTAAATGTATGTATATAATATATTTGTATATGTAATTTTTGTTGTTTTTGCTTTTATTATTAAATTTTTTATACAATTTTACAAGTTTTCCGCTGGCGACTCTTAGGATCTAATTAAATTTTGGTTTGAAGTTCTCATTTTGTTTTGTTTGTTTTTAATTACGAAATTCAGTTAACGAACATTAAACAAAAATGGTTACCTTATTTGTTTTGTTTTTTTTTTATGTTCTTTTAGAAAGTACAAAAACACACAGGCATAAATAATGTTTTTAATTTATGTATGAAATATATGTTTAACAAAATTTTATAGATTTTTGAAATCTCTGCGCGCTTTCGCTTGGCTCTTGGCTTGGCTTCATCTTCATCTTTATCTTTATCTTCAACTATCCTTATCAATCATCAATCATCACCAGCTGCTTTCTCTTTTCCCATAATTCACAAAGTGTTGGCAACGAAATCAAATAAAAGGACAATATACACATATCGTTTATCGATACATGCACACACATTTATCGAAAGTATCGAAAGAAATGATGTATTTACATAAAAAAACGAGTATTTTTCCATATTCACATGGTACAAAGACAAAAACTTTTCTGCTTACATTTCTAGATTAGCATTGTTTGTTGTTATTCTTCATTTGTTTTCTTTATAAACTAATTAACTAAATGCCTACAAAGCAAAGCTTACAAATTGAAACAGAAAACTACAATTAAATAAATTTCTTTTTGTTTTATGTTTTGTTTTGTTTTGTTTTCAATTAGGCGCTACAATAAATATTAATGTTTATATGTATGTATACGTAAATATGTATGTACTGTATGTTTTTGTAAATTGTATATGTATATGTATATATATATATATATATACATATATATATATATATATATATCATATCATGTATTTTAGTTGTTAATTGTAATTTTATTGTATAAACTTGTTTAATTTAACGCGACAACTTGTATCAGTGTTGTAAACTATTTTTGTAATTATTACGTTTTGTTAAGATTTGTTTAGCAATTCGTATTTTTATTATTTTGTTTTATTTCATTTTGTGTTAGTATTATTTCTTTTTTCTCAGTGGTGGGTTCATTTTGTGTGTGTATTCATCTCTTTTTCATTCGCAACGTCCTCGCTTTCTCTCTCTCTCTCTCTCTCTCTCTCTCTCTCTCTCTCTCTCTCTCTCTCCCTCTCTTTCTTAATGTTTTAGCTTCCAACTTATAGTTAGAATTCAACTAAAAAAAATAACTACAATTACCGTTATAATTACAATTAAAAGTAATTAAAAAAATAATAAATTGAGTAGATTGTGGGGTGTGGGGTTGTGGGGGGAAAGGGCGCTTGAAGAATCCTTGCCGCTGTGCGGGTAACTGTAAAAAATTGTGTGTTTCGAATAATTTGCTAAAAATTTTGCAAGCCTCGCTTTGAGTTTATCTCTCTTTTTAAATGTCTTCGAAGATTACGTTTTTTTCTTTTTTGTTTGTTTTGCCTTAAGAAACTTACCAAGAAAATCAAATAAACACTAATTAGAATTAGATTAAGAATTAGAGTAAAAAATATCGAAATTACGTGTACAAATAATAATAATTACTACAAAATAAACACACACGCATAAATTGTGTTCTTTTCTTTTTTTGTTTTAAATCAAATTTACAAAATTAATTTGTTGTTTTTAAGTTGTTAAACTTTTGTTTTTTGTTTGTTTTTGTTTTTTTCATTTAAAGCTTTGGTTTCAATGTTGATAATTTCTGCAGCAAAGTTGAAGAAATAAGTATATCAAAAGAAAATGTTAATATATATATGTATATGTGTAGAATATATAGATAGAACAGCGAATTGGAAGCCTAACAAATTTTGTGGTTATACGTGAGATCAAAACAAGCTAACAAATTTTTAAAAGGGGTTTATCTTTTCAAGTTCTCAGGGGGTTCCTCCTACTACTACTGTTAAGAACTCCCTTCTGATCGATCGATCGGGCGCTGCTGCTGCATTATGTGCGTTTAATCCTTGAGCATCGAATTTCATGTTTAGACTTAAGCTGAAAGCAAGCTTGCTAAATGTGTCTGTGTCTGTGTGTCTGTGTCTGTGTGTGTGTGTGTGTGTTAAAAAGAGACGATTTTAACTCTTAATTCTAACGGCTAACTTTTTTTTCTTTTTCTTTTTGTTTCTTTTTTTTTTTGTTATTTGAAATTGCAATTGCGATCGAGGCAGGGGCGTGGCTGCAGGGGTGTGTGTGTGTGTGTGTTGGCTGCTGCTGCTTAGACAATCTCCTTTTTGATTTGTAATTCGCAGTTCGTTGTTGTTGTTGTTGTTGCTAGTGTTGTTGCTGCTGCTGCTGCTGTTGTTGCTGGCGGAGTTGGCGGCCTTTGTTTCTTGCTTGCTTTGGTTGCCATCATTACAATTGGCGTCGGCGTCGCTGCAGCCGCTGGCAGCGCAGTCGCAGTCGCCGTTGGCGCTGCGTCGCGTCGCTGTCGACGATGCTGCTGCTGCTGCGTATGTTGCTGATGCGCATGTTGCTGGTGATGCTGCTGTTGTCGTTGCTGCAGCGGCATCTCATCATCATCCGAGTCAGCTGCATGCTTAACCTCCTCCACCTCCGCCTGGGCCTCCTCCTCCTCCTCTTCCTCCTCTTCGTCCTCCTCCTCTTCCTCTGCCTCTGTTTCTGTTTCCACTTCAGGCTCCGCCTCCGCCGCCTCCTCCTCCTCCTTGGTGTTGCTGCTAATCTTGGCCAGCGCTTGGCACGCATTCATTTGCGCCTTCTTCATTGAGGATGCATCGCTGCTGTTGCTGCTATCGAACAATTGTCCTGCTGTTGCCGCCGAATCGGGCGATTGGGGCGTGGTCGCTGTGGGCGGCGCTGCCAGTGCGCTGCTATGCGGCGCCAGCGCCTGTTGTGGCTCCGCCTCCTGTGACTCTCGTTGCTGTGACTCCTCGTGATCCTGCGATTCCTGCTGCTCATCCAGCTCCAGGTCCTCCTCCTCCTCCTCCTGCTCGTGCTCCATTTCCTCCTCCTCCTCGTCCAGCTCGTCTTCATCTTCACTGGAGTCGGTGCTTTTGGCATGTCCATTCAGCTGCTGCTTGCTGCTGCCATTGCTCTTGTTGCTGTTGCTGTTGCTGTTAATGTTGCTGTTGCCATTCTCCCGCTCCAGTTTTAGACGCTTGTCAGCTGGCTGCTGCTCTGGACTTGAGCTTCTTCGCAGTTTGATTGCCTGAGTTTTTTGCACTTTGTTGTTGTTGTTGTTGTTGCTGCTGTTGTTATTGTTGTGGTTGTTGTTGTGGTTGTTGTTATTGTTGTTGTTGTTGGCCTCATTACTGTCACCCAGCAACAGTTGCTGCTGCCGCTCGTGCTCCAACTCATCATCCTCCTCCTCCTCGTGCTCCGGTTCCTCCCCCTCCTCATCGAGCTCATCCACTCGTTCCACTCGCTCCACTTGCTCCACCAGCAATGGTTGCTTCGCTCGCAGCTCGAGTTGTCGCCGGCAACGCTGCAGTTGCTCGCCCAGCTCAACAATGTGCGCCTCCTGCTTGTGGAACAGTTCACTCAACTGCAAATTGTTGTAGCGCAGTTGTTGATTCTCCTGGAGCAGACGCTGCAGCAGTTGCAGCACACGCTCCCGATCCTTGGGTCGTGTGTCCCGCAACGCCTCCACTGCCAGCTCCCACGGTGGCAACATGGCGCTGCTGTCGGGCTCACCATTTAGACTATCATCGTCCGTATCCGTGGAGAGCTCAAATTCGCTGCCCAAATGCGTTTTACAACCATTTATGGGCAACTGTTGCTGCTGATGTTGCAGTTTCAGCTGCTGTTGCTGCTGCAGCTGCAACAGTTGCGAATGCTGTTGCTGCTGCTGGTGCTGTTTGGGTGAGCTGACCACATTGGAGGAGTGCGTGCTGAGGTTCAAACCGGCGCTGGAAGACTGCGTGGGCGAATAGCCCGCCGAGGGTGAGTGTGGCCTCTTATAATGATGCACTGCAGCAGCAACTGTTGCTACGGCTGCTGCTGCTGCTGGCAGCGGAACTGCTATTGCCGGCTGCGTCATCATCAAGTTCTTGTTGATGCGTATGCGACTTGGTTCATTGTTGCTGTGCAACAGCAACTTCGCATGCTGATTGACGGTGGCAATGATGTGCTTGTTGGGCGATGTTGCTGCTGCTGCTGTTGCTGTTGCTGCAGCAACAATGGGTGCAATGGCGGCAACAGCAACTGTTGCTGGTACGGGCGATGTACTTGAGGTGATTTCATTGCTGCTGCCCGCAGAGAACTCCTCGGCGGCTGCTGCTGCTGCTGCTATTGGGTGGGGCGCTGGTGGTGTTGGTAGTGGTAGTGGTGCTGCTACAACAGCAGCTGTTGCTGCACCAGCTGCTGGTGTTGCCACTTTGGGCATGGGTGAGCTGCTGTTGGAGCTATTGCTATGATTGCTGTGATTGCTGCTGCTGCTGCTGTGGTTGCTGCTGTTGCTGCCATTCGAGGGCTCCGTTAGAGGCGTTGCTGCCCGCTCCTGTTTTATGTGCAGCTGCAGCTCACGCTGCTGCTCCTGATCCCGATCCCGTTCCCGCTCCCTCTCCCGATCTCTGTCTCGCTCTCGCATTCGCTCGCGTTCCTTGCTGAGAATGCTTTTGCGGGGCGCCAGCGCCACATTGGGCTGATAGGTGCGCTCGAAGCGTTCCCGATCTGTGCTGCGCACCACCCGCTCTGGATTCTGCAGCTCCGGCGGCTCCTGGCACGCATACGGCAGCGAGGAGAGTGCATTGTAGGCATGCAGATAGGCAGCTGCTGGTGGCCCTTTGGCTGCACGCCATGGCTGGAAGGCGCTGCTCGCCAACGCATGTTGGCCGACAACGACTCGCTCCTGTTGCTCCCGCTCCCTTTCCCGCTCCCTTTCGCGCTCCCTTTCGCGGTGCTGTTGCAGGTGCTGCTGCTGCTGCTGTTGCATGCAACGGGCGTACATGATGTAGTGTTGTTGTTGCAAATCGAGTGCATGATAGTTGCCAACTGCTGCAACTGCTGCTGCTGCTGCTGCCGAACCGGCAACTGTTACTGCTCCTGCTCCGGTTACTCCTGCTCCAGCTACACCCACGCCTGCTCCTGTTCCTTGGGGCGCCTTGTGCTTCTTGCTTGGAATGTCCAACAGGTCGACGGCAGCGCGATGTGCATGCAGATGGGCATGGCTGTGGCCATGTGGATGTGGGGGATGTGGATGCGGCGGATGCGGATGCGGATGATGCTTGAGGCTGGCGGGCAGCGTCTGATGCGATGGCGGTGGCACGGCCTGTTGCGACGATGGTGGCGCCACCAAGCCCAGCGGCACCAGCAACGCATCCTCCATCATCATTTCAGCCTGCTATTAGAGAAAGGAACACACAAAAAACACAGTGCAAATTAGTATTCCGAGAAAATGACATAAATAAAGAAATATATAATGGAAGTAGAAAATAATTGATTGAAGTCAATTTTCTTTATCGGTTAAATATTCCCCGTTTTTTTTAATATCATTAAAATTAAGCTAAAATAATTAAGTAACATGTAAAATACACGATTATTTGCGCAGTGTAACCCTGCCTGACTGGCAGTTAGTTGAAAATTGATCGGCCATAAAAATAGATGCTGCAAAACCAGTAGCAAACGGGCCAATAATTTGAATTGCCAGGCAACGTCGCCAGCATCGTTTGCGTCGAGCTGCGGCTAATTATAAACAAACAAGTGCCCCGACAGGATCACCACAGTGGTAGACTGAAGCACCGATCTATCGGAGCCACCGATCCACCAAGCCAATTGCCCCGCAGCTATGGCGCCAATTGTCATTGAGACAGGCGGCCAACTAAGTGCCTCCAAATACACTGCAAAACAACTATTTTGGCCAGCCCAATTTTAAGGCATATTCTTGGATATATTTTGTGGAAACTTAAACTTAAATTTGCAAGTTATCCGATTCGACACAGAAAACTAAGGAAAGTAAAAAGGAGATAAAATTATATTTAAAATTAAATTTAAGAAAAAGTAATTGTATTTATTGCAGGTATATAGGAAAACCAAGACCCAACCATAAATATATAAAAAGATGTTTAAAATGGAGTTTCTTTATGATAGAAATAGAGAACTCTGCATAGATGATGAGTTCATACAGGTAAAGTCTATTATAATCATTACAGATTATTCGAAATGGAATAACGAAGAAACGGGTAGGCCTGAAGGGAACATAATCATATATCTTCTACTCCTATAAAACTTAAAACTATAAACTTAAAATAAATCCAATTTTATGAGACTTATTTTCGTATGAAATTTAATTTGAAGTATTTTTACTACTATGCAATGGAAGATGGAGGAGGAGGCTCAGAACGGGGCACAATCGATCTAATAGGTCACAGTGCATATATCCCTATAATGATTTTTATTTTATATGAAATTAAATTTATTACTTTATATATATATATATACTTTACTAAACCCTCACACTTCCAATAATTCTTTTCGATCAGTGTAGGTGTGTCGGGGTAACTGGCTAGCTTCTTTGACTGCATATTTTGCATTATCATTGAGCAGCATTTGCCGGAGACATGAAGAGCCATGGAACTTGGAAACAGGAGGAGGAGGAGCAGCAGCAGGAGGCGTTGGCCATGGCGACTTTGACTGAGACTGCTGAGTCGGTTTTCTGCTTGTGATTCTTGTTTCTTTTTTTGGTTTCAGTTTGACTTGGCTCAGCTTTGCATTGGGTTGCGTGTTTGCCTAGCTGTTAAAATGATTGGCACCGCGGCCAATTATGGATACAACGACAACTGAGCTATAATGTGATTTGAAATGGAGGCGCCGTCGTCAGTTGCCAGTTGCCAGTTGCCAGTTGCCAACATCCTCAGTAGCCTTAAACATCTGCGACTTTGGAGTCTGCTTTATGTTGCCGAAGGTGTCAAATGGCCACAACAAGGGAGGGAAGGGAGGAGACTGAGCAGCGGGTGGTGGGTGTAAAGTTCTTGGCCGTAAACAAGGCAGTTAATCGGCCAGTTAAGCTGCTGCTAGTCGGTGTCATTAGCCAGCGATTTAGTCGCGGCTCATTAGCATAGCCAAACGCACAAAAACAAATATGGTATTGGCCAAGTCTAAGCAAATGGTCAAGAGCGAAAACCGATTACATTTATTCGACTGTCAAAGCAAAAGCAAATCTCACATCAATGTCAGCTAATTGCAACACTGATGCTAATTTAAACTGACCATGGCGGACAGCTGTGAGATCTACAAGCAGGCGTTGAAGAGCTAATATAATTGTATGCTTAGATAGATTTTATGGATTTATAAATATACATCATCATTGAAGGCTTAAGCTCCATAACTTGGCCGAAACTAAAGCGATTTTCATAAACAAGACAGTTTTGATCATAATTTGACAACTCGAATTAAACTGACTTGATTCATTTAACCAATTTTACAGATGGCACAAGAATATTTGAAAAATATTAATTTGGTAACTTGTACTAACAAGAAACACAAACCACAAAGTATGCAGCAGAAATGGCACATCAGTGGAGCACTCAAGGAGCCAAAACCAAACCAGAAAAAAAGAGGAAAGTTTTATAGAGATGAGTAAAAAAAAAACGGTGCACTAACAATGTGAAAAAACAAGGCAAACAAACAATGCAGTTAACTGAAAGCCTGACCGTAACTTGGCTTAAAAACGATGGGGGTAAACAAGTTGGCTAAAAGCGTTTCGCTGGCGACGGCGGCATTTTGCTCAAAAATGTTGCCAACACAGAGATTAAGTAAACAGAAGAGGACAAAAGCTAAAAGATATAGACGCGTCGATAACAAAAACTGGAAGCCACTCAGAGAGAGAGAGAGAGAGAGGGAGAGTGAGAGAGAGGGAGTGAGAGCAACACACACACAAACACACACACACACAAATTAACCATTAAACAGCAAAATCATAAAAATCAAGAGCCATAAAGAAGTCGTCGAAATGAGCGCCAGTCAACAGAGCAACCAGCACAGACCCCAGTCAATAGTCAACAGCAGACGGCAGACGGCAGACAGCAGACAGCAAACATTACCCCACAGTTCACAATCACCAATCGACAATCGCAGCAGGAGGAGCAGCAGCAGCAGGAGCAGTAGTAGCAGGAGGAGCAGGAGCAGCAGCAGGAGCAGAAAGAGAATCGAGCTGTTTAACTGTAAGCAGATGGCAGCCAGCGATAGATGAGGCGAAGCCGACAGCAAAAAACAGCACAGCTTGAGGCCTTTTACAGCTGGAAGAAGTTTGAGAGAGGGGGTGGGGGTAGTGGCGAGGGAGGGAGCAGGTGGGGTTGTGGGGTTGGGTGCTAAGCTCGGCTACCGGCTAACCTACAGTCTTTCTCTCTTTCTTTCATTTACTTTTTGTTTTTGTTCTTTTTTTGGCGCATGCCTCTCGTCGTCGTCGTCGTCTCGCTGACGGGCGCAGTGACAAATTGCTAAAGACTGTCCAAGCAAGGTGGAGGTGGAGCAGCAGGAGCAGATGGGGTGGTGCGGGTGCGGGTGCAGATCGGTACAGTCAGAAAGCGGGTGCAGCTGCTGCTTAAGTCCAAGGTCTTTTGCCATAACTCAACACCCAAAGATGATGAGGAGCAGCGGGCAAAGAGCAACAAGATCTGTGCACAACGATATTTGAATACCCTAGCAAAGATAGTGCTGTGAGGCATATTTGTTATATACAAGAGGCAAGTCTATTCATAGAAAATGTTTTCATAATTAGTAAATATATTTTAAAAGTGTTAGGATCGGGTAATATCAAAATACAAGCAAAGAACTATGCTAAAATAAGCATATTTTTTAAGCCAGTACAAATTTAAAGAAATCAATTCAATAACTCAATCAATTAAAACAAGAACTAAATATTTTAATTAGAGAAAGTATCTGAGCTTATTACCAAGTATTTAGGAAGGACAAAAAAAGAATCAGTTGAACGTTGTTGAAATTGTGACAAGGTTTATAATTGAATCGTGCATCAAAAAAAAGACTGCTTTATTTTTCTTGAGTGTAGTTTTGGGCTGCTATCTCTATTGTTGTTGTTGTTGTTTTTGTTATTGTATAGACATTGGCGACACACCTTAGCCAAGTTTATGACCAAGTTATGTTGTCCCCAATTGCAAGTGTAAAATAAAATAATTGCGCCCAAGCGGCGGCAAACGACGCCAAGCCAGATGAGCCAAAAAAAGACAACAGCAACAGCAACAGCAACAACAACATAAATAACAGCAACAACAACAACATAAAAACAACAACAACAACTTAGCAAAGGAGAGCCTTGGCAGGCGACATGACTTTACTTGACGATAAGATCATGGCAAATATTGACGATGACGACGACGATGACGATGATCGAGAGGGGCTGAGGGGCAGCCGTGGGGTGCAGAGAGGGGACAGATGGAGACGTGGCTGGAGCCAAGCGATGGCGTTGACAATGAAGCTGATGTGTGTGTGTGTGTGTGTGTGTGTGAAGCGGGGCTTGGCAACAAGCAACAGCAGCAGCCATTGATTTAGACTGGCAATTATGCAGCCAGAGAAAAGCGCTGCCTGCAACTTAGTTGTCGCATGTTGTTGTTGCTGCTGTTGCTGTTGCTTGCCAATTGATGAGGCTGTGTGGCTCCAATGGAAATGGAGCAGCGACCCATATGCAACTTAGCTAACAGCCACAGACAGAGACAGAGACAGAGACAGCAATAGAGTTGAAGACAAGAGTCCAAGTCCAAGTCCAAGTCAGCGTCGCTTTGCTGTCAGCTTCATCTGCATTTGCTGGCGTCCGTTAGCCCCCGTTCAAGCTCCGCCCTCCCCTCAATCTACCCCAACTTTTTTAGTCTGCGTCTGGCGCGGGCCGTAAACTTGTTTGCCAGTTGAATCGCATCGCATCGCATCGAATCGAATCGACATTGCCATCCCCCAAAGACGCGACATTTACAATTTAAATTCGTGTTGCTTTTGTTGTTGTTGCTGTTGCTGTTGTTGCTGTTGTTGCTGTTCTTGCTGATCTTGTCGGTGCACTCAGCGAGTGTAAAAGAGAGAGGGAGCTGCAGCGGTGGGCAACGGCTCAGCCAAGAGTAAAAAAAAAGAGGAAGGCACAACTACAACAAGCTGCGCTGGCATGCAAAAAAAAAAAGAAAAAAAGGCTCAAGCATGACTTAAAAATACCTCGTTTTATTTTTAGAACAGACTCGAAATAAATAAAAACGAGTGTAAAATTAGTTGGCAGATAGTATCAGTATCTATGAACATAATGTAAATCAATAGTGACTTTTAACATCATTTTTAATTAGGCTATAAGAGTGTCGAAGAAAATAAAAATATAAGTAAATACAATAAAAATAATAGAAATAAAAAATC